CAGTCATAGGATTTCCATTGATCGAAATAAAAACACACAATCTATTCCATCAAGACCAATTTTCTTTCTATATGTCAAATTTTTTATTAGCGCTACTCCACCACTACTCTTTCCAATATATCAATCGGTCATTTTAATGTAGAGCCAGTTGCTACTCTCTTTTTTAAACCTAAATTTCAGGATTTTTTAAGGACTTTGTGAGTGTGACAAATGACGCATGATATTCAAAGTTACAAATAATCGACAAAAAGAATTATTCAAACATATGGATAAAAGAGCAGGCAAATCGAATATCTGGTTCTATTCTAAAACAAAGGAGAGAGTAAATGTAGAGAGAGGGAGAAAAAGAAATTGTGTGGGTCTTGGTTTTTTTCTGTGCTGATTTTGTTGACCTACCCAATTGATTATGAACTAAAAACCGTTCCGTGTAAGTCTTTCAGCTTGAATCAACGAGTCAAATAGGTCTACAAGGTTTAAACCAGTTAGACATGTCTAGTCTATCAAAAAAGTCGTTAAGAACAGGTTCATATACTAACTAAAGAACATAATAACTACAGTTTGTCGATTCGTGCTGGTAGATCTAGAATAAACGAACCCCTTCGATATAAAGCTCTAACTGGATGCAACATTTAATCTAGCTGAACTTCCATTGAACGTTAATTTCATCAAAATCGGTTTGCATCAAAATTTCTGCCAGAAAACTTGAATCTTTCCAGAATGTTTCATCCAAAACAAAAAATCTAATTTGCTAGATCTTGACGAATTTCCAGTGCCGTGACTACAGAATGGAGTGTATGCCCCTTCTTTCAAGAAAATGTTTCCTCTTTAACAATTTCTTTTCTCGCAAAACTTTCGTCTAAACTCTTACCCAGATTTGGTAGCGGCTATTTAACGAAAACGGGCTTTCTCTCACGTTTTCTTCGAAGAGGAAGAAAGTTCAAATTGATAAGAATAATATCATTATCATCCAAATTTATTTACTGCTTATTCGTTTTGTTATCCATACCTGCTACAGCAGCGAGCAATGAATGTCCATTGAGTCGATTAAAACTTATCAAGAATCGTTTAAGGTTTCCACGATGGGAAATAAAAGATTATTTCATTCAATCTTATGCTCGATAGAATGAAATTTTTTCAACTGCTAGTATATCACACAATTAGCCAAAATATGAGAAACACATAAACATCAATTTATTGAATAAATTGAATTAAGGACGGTTGTTTTTGACGAAAAATCTTGGAGAGGAGCAAAAAGTATTACTCGTCTAGTATTATCTTTTGAAACAGAGATAAATAGTCAATAGATATATGTATATAAAAGAAAATTATGTTTTCTTACTTCTGTGATTTTCTCCCAAAAAACGTTATACTCCTCCTGCTTTTTTCTCTCTCCACAGCACTGAAAATTTTGCACTATGAATTAATATGACATAGTAAATTTGGTTCTATGACAAAAGCATTTGACCTTTACATTCATCCTTTTCTCGAAATAATTTTTATGTTTCACATTGATAACATCATATTTGGTATGTAAATTAATCAACATTTTTGACATGTTATACTAATGATGTATAACACTTTTACAAACTAATAGAAATACTTTAAGTTGTATTTTTCTTTGTCTTTGATTATTATTTTTCCTTTCATTCTTAGTGAGCCATTTATACTCAAAATTATTAAAGTAGATATAATAGTAATACAGTATTATAAAATAAAAAAAATATCAAAACTCAGGTAATTGTATGAATTGATTCCACTGAAGAGATCGAACGGGCAGGTAATAATAGCTAATCGTAGAATAAATAGCAATAAACGAGAAGAGATTGTCATTTCATACTTAAACCGAAATAACAGCTACACTCTATAAAAAAAAGTTGTTCTTCAGATTTTCAAAGAAGAGAAAAATCAATGAGAATTTTGTTTTTCATTTGTCCCAAATAGGGAACTCAAAATTTGCTTTTCATTTTCGAAAGAACAAAAAAATCAGTTTTTCAAAAAATTGAAAAACAAGTTTTGAGTTCTTGAGAGCTGAAGAACAGAATTTGAGTTCCCTATTTGGGACAAATGAAAAACAAAATTCTCATTGATTTGTCTGTTTTTTGAAAACCTGAAAAACAACTTTTTTTTAGAGTGTGGTCAGCTGAGAAAGAATGTAAAATGTAAGAAATTGTAAATTCATTTTCTTACATTTCCCATCTTTGTTAGATGTCTAATAACACCGGGAAATAGAGCAAACATTTCTGATCAAAATGAGACATCTCCCAGTTCTGAATGATGTCCTAATCAAGAGTTATGAGACTTCTGCCGGAAGCCCTAAAACATCAGATACTGGCACTTCGTCGGGTATACACTTGAGAAAAAAATGTTACTAGGTCGCAATTCGAAACAGTTTCCTTCTTTAAAAAGGACCCGTAAACGGTGTAAAACTATATAATATTCGAACTAATTAAATCACATAAAAAATTATCGCACTTATATCATAACGTAACAGATGGTTTTTATCCCAGTAACCTTCATTTATGACGTTAGTTTCTATTCACCTTGGATAGGACAACAGTGTAATAAGAAACCAATTACGTTTATTGGCAGTACAAGCGTTAATTCGAGGAATACCAAAGCAATTCCAGCATGCGTAAATCCTGTTTTTAAGCTAATAAGTTGCAATGTTGACGATCCTTTTAAATTTCATCGATAATCTAAAAAGTAACGAAATCTTTTGTTGATAATGGGTCATGAAGATGTTCATGTCAACATCTTACTTCACCATGAGCATAAGGGTTAACAAATTCACTAACTCTGAATATCGATGCTATTATAACTAATATACCGATTAAAATCTAGTTAGTAGTTAGAAATTGACGAGTGATCTTCAAAAAAAAAGATTAATCTAGAAATAGTGTATTGTAACCAAAAACTGGAAATCGTACAATCTTCCTTGAAGAGAATTTATCAGCTAGAATAGTCATTTCCCTTATGTTGAGCAGACACTGTCACATACCTATGCTGCATTCTCTGCAGCGGTATGTGATAATGTCTGCTGCAGGTCTTCCACAATGTTCTCTGCAGACCTACACAGGTCTGCTCGTGAGAATTCCACCTGCTAGAACTGAATGTGCAGGCTTGTTAGCAGGCTCTGCCATATTAATCGTTTTTCATAGGGATACAGTAAAAAATAATCAAACTTTACACTTTACACTTAAATAGACTTGTCTAGAAAAAATTAAACTGTTAGTGGAATGAAAAGTGTTTATATTTAGCAAACTATTCTCAATAGAAAGGATTTCATTTTTTAAGCATTTAGATATTAAATTATGTTATCAACGCCAACGTTTTCGATTAGGTAGGGGAAGGTGGAAGAATTTTCTCATGTTGTTTGAAATGAATTACTCACGTGAGAAAAAAATTTACTCACTCACAGAAAAATTGCCCTTTTCTTTTCTGGTTATAAGCTAAATTTTTTGAGAAAAAACATGTTCAGAAAATTTTTTGGAGTTGCTCAATAAAACTTCTTCCACCTTGCCAAAGTTATACTGAAAACGCTGATCAAGTCTATGGTGATTTCGATTCAGGTGTCATTCAGTTTATTTTAATCATATTTTCTCCTGCTGTTAGCACAGAATTATCTCTCGCTACAATATCAAATTATTCACTCCGCTATAAGTATGCTGTCTACTGCTCATTTAATTGATGCCTATACTTTGTTTTCTACCAACAGTAAACTGACGATTAGTAACCAAGGAGAAAAATCTTGAATACAGATCTTGATAAACCTTCAAAGATTTCTCAAGTTCCCCGCTAGATCTTTAAAGAACTTTTGCACATATGGTAACATTTTATCGATCACCGTACTTGTAGTTTCTGAGAACCTTTTTTTAATGTTACGATAGAGAACATCAAGATGTATGTATAAAAAAATTCGATCAAGTTTTTACTGAGTTATTCCACTATGACCGGCCCCGTGGAATTTTTCAGCAAAAGGTACTTATAAAAGCACCTTGAACCAAATCTCGCTCGAAGGAAGCGTTTTCAAGGAAAATTGACTGTAAAATTAATTTAAAATCCAGTTTAACAAGCTTTGGAAAATCCTTCGTTTATATTCTAGGGAATCTAATTCTAAACAACTTTTGTACCCACACTTCCTTGAAAATACGTCCTTTTAGCGAAACTTTGTTCATGGTCCTGGACGACTATGCGCTCTGGGACTCTGAAAAATCGGTCTTATACTTCTCGATTTTAGACTCTTCCATTTGATTCCTTACGTGAAAATGTCTCTGTTCTATGAGTTTCAGACTTTCTGAACACTTTCTTCTGGCTCCGAAGAATTCATAGGAATCCATAGGATGCAAAAAAAAACTAAATTATTCTTCAAATTAGTCAAAATTGAATATTTTGATCAAACTATCTTTTTTCTCCTAGAATCTACTCTGCATTTGGCCTTACGTTTACGCGGTAGTCCTCCAGAGTCTCGTCCTAAACAATACCATTCGGCGTGCCGCGAACTGTTCTACAAAACTGCATATTTGGTTTCTTAGTCAAGGGGGGGGGGCACCAAATCCGACAGGATCAATTTTCAAAGATTAACCTTGAGAAATTTAGGGACAGCAAAATATTATCCCGTAGAACAAAACATGATAAACAACTTGTACGCTAATGTTTCGGCTCCAAAATGCTTGCCCGCAGACAAGGTCTCGAAAAAGCACACTTTTGGCCCTGGAAAACCCATTCACAAGGTCAAATCCGAATTTCTCTCCACCAAACCTCGTCCAGAAATGATAATAAACTTTTCACAGATACATCTCGAGGCACTCTATCGATTGGTTACAAAACCGAGGTTTATATAAAATATTTTATTTAAATTTTAATAAATGAGCAAAAAAGGTCGAATTTTTCTGGAAAACTCTATAATCTGGCAATGTTTGAACCAAATTTAAATGGGGCACGCTCCTAAAAATATACAAAATCATCCCCAATAAAAGAAAAAAAGTCAAATTGTTCTTTTATTAAACACGTAAATTTTTCTTCTCCTCTTTTGCTTCATTTGTCACTTGAAAACGTTTTTCTTTCAAATCTTTGTTTAATGAATTTTTTTCAATTTCTAATGCCTTTAATTCTTTTCGTGTTTGAGCTAAATCATCTTCTTCCATATTTAAATCTTTCAAATATCGATTAAGTAAATCGGATGTATTAATTTTTTCTAATGATTTAATATTTTCTCTTAATCTTTCTTGATTAGTAAATATAGATTTAATATGTGAATTAAGATATTCAATTTGTTGATTTAAGTCTGTCAAATGTGTTTGCATATCTTGTAATGCTATTACTTTATCTAACAATAATTTTGGTAGTAATTCCTTTGTTTTCCAATCATGTATAATTGTTTCTGATATTTCTGATCCCTCAACACCATTTCTAATCATATAATCAAGTGCCTGATCAATATATTTACATTTTGAAATACGTTGTATCATTTCCATTGTTGCTTTATCTAAAATGTTCAATTGTAGTAATTCTATCACTTGCTTTTTCAAGAATGTATCTAAATCAGTTAAACCAGTTAAAAATTTTGTACTTGTTGCTTGTTCTGCGACTACTAACTCAACTTCTTGTTGAGAATCTAAACTCAATTGATATCGAGAGAAACCCATCACGGATTTAATACAATTTTCTTTAGTTGTAATAACCCAACCACCTAATGAGACATCGGCACTATGATCAATATAAAATTTTTCTACGCGTCTGTCAGCCGAATTATTTTTAATGACATATTTTGTTCGTTTAGTATGATTTTGATGAAATTCTATACCGATAGGAATGGTAGCTAATGAACTGTTATCCGATTGAGAATAGATAATTTCAACATGTTGAATATTAACTTCTTGTAAACTTGATGGCACAGTTTTTGTAATGGATATAGTTGTATCTAATCCGTAATTAATTAATTGGTCATCTTTTACCAACATGGGCGTAAATTGACATTGTGAAACAAAACGACCTTCTTCCAATACACCGATGGATCCGGGTGCTAATACTGAGCCTGTATCATTTGTTAAATGAACAGCTCGAATGGCATTTAAATCATTCACTTTTGGATCATAGTACAATACTAATTCACCATGTACACGCCATTTATCAATTGTTACCAAAGCACTTTGTTTAGCCGGTATGGTTGTCAATGATGGTAAATTATAAAGGACATGTTCAGCTAGGCCACTCATTTGTGAGGCATCCAATGATTCATAATCATCATCATTACTGGCTACTTGTTGAGATTTATGTTGTTTAGGATGAGATTCTGGAGGACCACCGCGTAAACGCAAAACCAAATGCAGAGTAGATTCTAGGAGAAAAAAGATAGTTTGATCAAATATTCAATTTTGACTAATTTAAAGAATAATTTAGTTTTTTTTGTATCCTATGGATGTATAGTGTTTGACAAATAAAAATAATAATAAAATCAGGAAATTTTCTTACCCTTTTGTATATTGTAATCTGCCAGCGTTCTACCATCTTCCAGTTGTTTTCCAGCAAATATTAGACGTTGTTGATCTGGTGGTATACCTTCTTTATCTTGAATTTTTTGTTTGATGTTTGCAATTGAATCCGATGCTTCAGCATCTAATGTCACTGTTTTTCCAGTCAATGTTTTAAGAAAAACTTGATATGATGATCCAGTTGATTCATCTCCGCCTCGTCTTCCAGACGTTGCTGTTTGAGCATTCGCTGGTGTTTGCTTATTATTTTTTAATATTTCTAATTCATTGGCCACTAAACTTAATAAAACATTTGTCCAGTCTTCATCTGTTGTATTTTTGACTAGAGCAAATAATGTTAAATTTACTTTGGCAGATGGCATCTTTGTAGCCGATGTTTTATCGGAATCAATTTCCAAACGATATAAACACTTCCATTCAACGGTAGGAAAAATGTAGGATATTCGAATGTTTTCACCTACTGTTGATGATAATTGATCAATATTAAAATAAATTTTAACGTTATTCGATACTTTTGGCGTTGGATTTCGACTTTTTGACAATTTGGTTAACATTTTCATAAGTTGATCTTGTAAATAAGTATTTGTAAATTTAATTGATTCAATAGTATCTAATTCAAAACTATGAATAGATTGATCAGTAGATAACATAACATAAAGTGTTGACTTTGATGATTCAATTGTATCCTGTGATCGTTCTAATGTTACAGTTGACGTTTTTTTATCTAATAGTATAATGGTACCAGATAAAGTTTGTTTGTTTATTGTGAATTCGATTTCGCAACCAATACATGATGTTAAAAATTCTGCAAAACTTGATGTTTGAACAAAATTGTATAGACCTTCTTCAGAATTTTCCAATAAAAGTTTTTCATGTGCTTCCACATCATAGTTAACAGTAACCGGTTTTGGATAATTAACGCACAATGTATCAATTACCAATTTTTTGTTAACATCTGGAATTTGTAAAATGAATTTTGACTTATCTTTTTGAACTTCACTAGTTCTTTCAAAATAGCCTAAATCATTTTTATATAAAGTAATATGTTGCAGTGGAATCATTTTTAATAAATGAATATAATTTGTGTAAAAAATATTAATATTTCTGCTCTTTTTATACCACTTGAAATGTCGTAGACGTTGTGCAAATCTCGATGTTTTTTTCTATTAATCATCGTTCCACATGGACTTTTCTTTCCTTTTCGTCATAGCACATTTTCTTTTTCTCCATACAAATATCGTCTACTCACAAAAAATAGTTGATGGTAAGTGTAACAAAAATAAGACATGAACAGCAACAAAATAATTGACAACCTGGTATATGAAATAGGTAATATATAGTAAATGAAATTATTTTATCTTTGAAGATTTTAAAATGTATTCTCTTATTATTTTTAATTTTTAGAGCAAATTATACATTTTAGATCTCTTTAGTAAAATATAACTTGAATGGAAAAGCAGCATTTCATCATGCGTCCTCTACAATAAATAACATTTTGTATTGACTATAGTGACATATTTTGCATTTTCTCTTGTTTTTTGTTTAGTATGCTATATTGATTGTACTCAGATGTCACATTGCATCAGAGGCACAACATATTTTATATGACGTACAGCTTTTACTGAAACAAGTTGTACCTGTAGCCCAATAACTTATATGGTCACCACAAAAAAGCTTTTTTACTCAGTTTTTAGTATGTTTATTTACTTTTGAAAAAGAGAACGACTGTAAGAAAAAAGAAAAAGAAAAAGAAAAATTTACTTCTTTCAGTTACCGAAAACAACTTGATATCGCGTTCAAATTTCCACTTAACCAGATTTGAATAGCAAAATGGCTAATTGTCCCAAATAAAAATAGATGAAATGCTTTGTTTCATGCGTAATGTATGAACCAAAATGTCTGCCCACAATACAATGCCATGTTGGATTATATTTTTTATCAAATTCTTTTTTTATATCTAAATAAAAAGAGATAAATCATCAAAAAATAGATAGACAAAATCAATAGTTAAGAATAAAACACACACTTACATGCAGCTACATCTTTTTCAATATTGTAGTGTTCTAATGCATGCATTGTAATATCAATAGCATCTTGTTGCATCTCTTCTGACATATCAACATTTTTAATATCAGCTTTATTACCGTGAATAGTCATTTTTTATTCACTCGGCTTATAAGTCTAAAGAAGCTGAAGAAAAACAACGGTGTGATATAGACTGAAGTTGACTGTAAACATGATGAATTTGTCAGACTGTTGCTATTCAGTAGTGGTTTTCTTAAAGAGTATTGCAAAACGAAACTAATCATGGTATAGATCTTAAGGTTATATTTTTGCTATTTTTCATAGCATAATGCAGAAGCAAAAGTATCGGGAAGATATATGCTGAAATAATGCAAAGTTTCAAACGGTTGTGAATCTCAAATATGGAATATAAATAACTCCGATGATAATTGTTGTATATGTTTACACAACAGTAGCAATTTAGCCAATACAATGTAGTCGCATATAACGGAGAATGTCTGTTGAACCATGACGGACTATGAAGATAAAAAAGAAAAATATCAAAATAACAACATTACTCCACTGATAATAAAAACATTTTTCATATGAATTACTAACTTCTAATGGATTAATTTGTCATGAAAAAGATTAGAAGAAAAGGTCACGTTTTTCATATATGTTAAATGGGGTAAATACTGTTCTGAATTGATCCAAATACTATGCTAATTGAAAAATTTGTTTAAAAACTCTAATCATAGTTGACAAAATCGTCAAAAACTAATAACAAAAAAAATGATATCCTATCTTAAAATTCTTTTCCTTAACTTGTCAAACATCAGAAGTTCAAAGTGAAATTACTCAAATTAAGATTGTAGAATGTTGGAGCATAAAAAATGGAATTTATCACAACTTGTTTACTAGAATAGTTTAGAAAGAAACGACGTTTCACCGACATTTTTAAAAGATACTTCATTTTTCTCTTGATTTTCATAGAAACCAGTTAGTTTGAGACAATATGGTTTTCTTAGGTCCAATCATACGATGTAAGACATTGTCCTTGGAAATAAAGTGTCACTCTAGCTTAAACCTTTGTATATCGAACAGAGTTCGTTCCAGTATCACATACAAAGCCCATATCAATCGAATGAGCGGCAGAAAATTGTTATTGTGTTCATTCTTAACTAAACTATCAGATAAAATTGAGCGATATTTCATTTTGAAGAATGATGTCTATTTCATAAGATTTTAGTCATTTTAATCGTACTGGTCATAACCATTCCTAGTGAATGAATTATTATCAATCCAAGAGTCTCTCACGAAGTTGATTAACACTGAAAATGATACTAAATCAAAGTCTTCTGAATCCAGAAAGGGTTTAGGAGAAGTTTTTATTTTTTAAAAATATCATAAAGGAAACCAAGGGGTTCTTATTATTCCACTGGAAATTCAAACGGTTTATTGAGTGAAAAATATGTGCTTTCTTGTCACTGTTTGGTATGCGCTGTTTTTACAGAAAGATAACTGATTTTTTTTCTTCAGTATAGGATCACCGTCGAACTGTGTTACGTTACCATGCTGCCTGTGTCTTAAGCTAGTAACAATCGTAGATTTTACAGAAAAGACATTTCAACAAAAACAAAATCGACGAGTGTCATCATAGTTTTTTAACCAGATGCTTCCAATGCACAAAAATACGAAGCTTTTCGTATATCTCATAGGAGGTTAATATTTTGATGAATTTTACAATAGATATGGGCATATTATGCAAGAAAGTTAGTTTTGATTACTTTCTCAACAATCAATCTGATTCAACTGGAACTCAGAATTGAAGGGTTTTTAATGATGCTCTTTTTGGTAGGCATATCAAAAAAATTTCATAGGTGCTCTAGAAAACCGAGACTTTTTCATTACTCTAAAAGAGAAAAAATGTTATCCAAGAAAACATTGAACAGTTCAAACTGTAATAATATAAAAGTCATACACGAAACACGATAACAATTATTTAATAAAAAATTTTGGACAAATTTTTATCTGGATATTAGTTAGTAAATTAAAAATAAAAAATTTTGCCTTTTTTGAGATTTGAAATACTGTGTCTCCGTAAAGAGCAAAAATTTTTAAAAAGTCATATGATAGAGCTTAAAAAGTTGAACAAACGTACAAGATATTTGAACTATAATTTTCTAGAAGTTTAATAGAAAATCTACTCATTTTTTTAAAATCTTTACACAATTTTTGACTTTCAAATGTCCTCTATGTTTGTTCAGTTTTTAACTTTTGTTTTATTACAGTTTGAATCCTTCAGCTCTTCTTGAATAATTTTTTTACTGTTTTAAAGTAATGAAGAAGCCTCGGTTTTCTAGAGCACCTATTTACATTAGAGATGAAATTTTTTTGAAAAAGTTTTGACTGCTTCAATGAGAATGAGACTGAAAATGACACTTTTATAGAAAGAACTCGCACTAGTCTTCTAACGGGTGTCTCATATTAAATCGATTTAGAGCCAATACGTTAGAAAACACTAATCGTTTCACAAAAGCAGCATCCATATTTTATATTATAAAATATGGATGCTGCTTTTGTGAAACGATTAGGGTGTCTCATAATAAATGAGCGTCTCTGTATTTTGATTTTAGCTTTTTATTTTGTCAACGCTAAGATATATTTTTTTCTCCAAAAGATGCGCCGTCAAATTCTCTACAAAATGTGTGCTAAGTTTATTCCAGAACAGAAAAGAGAAAGACTGCATGAAAAATACTAAGAAATTTTAAGACGCCAACTTTCCAATTAAGAAAACAGTTTTTTCAGTTTTATTCTTTGACTTTTTAAGACATGAAAAAATTAAGCTCGACATTTTGTACCGCTTGAAAAACTCTATCTTCTAGCTATAATTAGAATTCTACTACGACGCAACTAGTTACATGAGAATTCTTTTGTTTTCAGATAGTATGTGATATTTATTTCTCAAATACAGATTATTCATATATATGTGATAAATAGCTCCACGCCATCTAAACAATGAGTCATACGAACTATGTCTATATATATATAGTAGATTAATTTTAACGGAAATATTGAAAATGAATGTATCCTGAACAAAATTTTGTATTAAAATATTTTAATATTTGATAGATAGGCGCAAAAATGTACATTCTTTTTCAATATTTAATATATTCGATTTGTTCTATTTTTCGGTTAGTTATATATATATATATAATTAGATCCACCTCCACCTTGTAGTAGTAACGAATAAATACTATATTATGTTTGTTTAATCTGTTTTCTTAATCTCTAACGTGCCTTACCTTGTCTCTATAATGATACATAGTAAATAACATTATTCTTGATTTATCTGACGTCATAGTATATTTTATCTATCTATCATATTCTTGTTTTGTATGTGATAAAAATTGAACGAAAAGTTTTCTGTTTTACATATTACATCGAACAATGCTATGTCACAAAAACATAGTACACCAACACATGAATCGTACAATCTCGACGATTTATCAGCAAAAGAAAAATATGAACAAGCAGCGATTGCAGCTGATTCAGTGGAAGCAAGCAAAGTAGCAAAAAATATTTTACTAAACGGTGGAAGTATAGTTGATGCCACTATAGCTGGTTTACTCGTGAATGGTTTAGTAAATGCTCAATCACATGGTATTGGTGGAGGATTTTTTCTATTATTTTATAGAAAATTAAATAAACAATCAAAAGGAGAGTGTATTGCTTTAGATGCTCGAGAAGTTGCACCAAAAAAAGCACATTATCTCATGTTTAACGATAAAAACAATTTATTATCATCTACAAGTGGTGGTTTATCAATTGCTATACCTGGTGAAATTGCTGGTTTTTGGGCACTTTATCAACGATATGGACGTTTAAAATGGCGAGATTTATTTCAACCAGCAATAAACATGTGTAAAAATGGTTATCTTGTTCATCGCGGTCTCGCAACATTTTTAACACGTTATAAAAATGATTTTAAAAATGATCCAATTACTGAGCAAATATTTATTGATATAAAAACTGGTCAAGAATTTCGAGAAGGAGATTATATTAAATTACCTAAACTAGCAAATACATTATCAATAATAGCAAATGATGGAGCAAACAGTTTCTATAATGGTTCATTAACGCCATTGATTGTCAGTGAAATTCAAGCGAATGGGGGCATCGTAGAAGAAGAAGATTTAAAAAATTATCAAGTGAAATTTTTGGAACCAATTAGTGTTTTGTTACCTAGTAAGGAGAAAAAAAAAAGTGTTTATAAAATTAAAGGATAACTGTATGTGTATATTTAGGTCTCGGTTTAAAAATCTATGCTCATCCTCCGCCATCATCTGGCATTCTTGTTCTATTTATGTTATTAATGTTCCAGTATCTTGTTGAATCCGATTATATTCGAGAAGAAAGTGATCTTATTCATTTAGTAGTTGAAACATCGCGAACAGCATTTGCACATCGTACTAAAATATGTGATACTCGATTTTCATCACCAGAAACAACACATTTTCTCTCATCATTACTCGAACCAATATATATTTCAACGTGTGTAAATAATATATTATCATCAAAAAAATTACGTGATTCAAAATCGATTTATTTAGATGAACACAGTTCCTTTAGAGAAGATCATGGTACATCACATTTTTGTGCAACTGTTAGTGATCCAAATGGAGATGGAATTGAAGCTATATCTGTAACAAGTTCAATTAATTTAGGTTTTGGTAGTAGAGTAATTGGAGAAAAAACACATATTATCTACAATAATCAAATGGATGATTTTTGTCAACCACAAAAAACCAATACCTATTATTTACCCTCTCATAATTGTAATTATATTCACGGAGAGAAAGCGCCCGCATCGAGTATGTGTCCATTAATATTTATCAATGAGAAAACAGGCGATTTGAGACTAATAATTGGAGCAAGTGGTGGTACACGAATAATAACCGCTGTATTTCAAGTGGCTGCACTTCATATATTATTAAAACGTAGTCTTAGAGCAGCAATTGATATGCCAAGAATTCATAATCAATTATGGCCAAATCAGACGTATTTAGAACATGGATTTACTAAACAAATACTCACTGTGTTACAGAAGAGAGGCCATTCAGTAGAAAATCTAAGACGAGGAGGTTCATGTGTTCAAGCTATACAACGGAGAGATGATGGAAACTTTATTGCCGTATCGGATGGACGCAAAGGTGGACAACCAGCTGGTTTCTAAATAAACCAATTTTTTGCATTATTTAAGCAGCATGTCAGATGTTACTTATTTAAAATGAAAATATTTTTTATCATTTTTGTTTTTAACAGAATTTTTCTTGTGGATACTATAGAAGCAATATTTATTTATATTTTAGAAATATGGACAAAATGCATTATCTTCTTTAATATTTTTCTTGAACATATTCAGAATAAATTTAAAAGTTTAATACATTCTATCACATTATATGAAAAAATTATTGTTAGTATATAGCACACGTTTATGTTAAAAATTAGATCTACCAAAAGTTAAAAATGAGAAATGAATATGTATGTGTAAATATCATTTTACAATTTGTAAAAGAGAGAATAAAAATCATCATCTATTAAATATCTGTTCACAACCTACAGAAAAACGTTTAGTTTTTAGGCACCGCAAGATACGCTGGAGATAAACAAACAATTTCTAAGATATTTTAAAAAAATGCGTGAACTGAAAAAGCTAAATACATCATACTAAAAGCATAAATTATGAATAATAAGTGTACTATTTAATTTTTTGTTTGTAGGCATGTTCTAAACATCCGTTTTTTCGTATTTGCCTTCTAATAATAGCCTAAAAAAAAGAAAATAGTCAATATTAAATATTGTTTCCTTCGTTCTTGTAGATTTTCTACAACTGCGTAATTCTAAGCTATGTGGAAAAAAAGCGTCTGACAGACGTCAATATACTAATGAAAAACACTTACGGTATGATGAAGAAAAGGCAACTGGACTTGTAGCACGTGATCGCCTCAATGGGCTCACAGATCGACTTGTTCCTCGACGTGTTGGACTGGCAGTTCGTGACCGATTTAATGAAGCACCACGTTTTGTACAAGCTTCTCCCTACAAGAATATTAGCGTTAAACATTTTGAAAGCAATTTTATGACTTAGATGAACCTTCATTATGACTCTTGAACCTTGCATGAGACATGGCCAGACGTGATGATTTACCAATGGAGCAGAATATTCAGAATCATAACTACGTCGATACCTATAAGCAAAATTTCCCGTTAGAATAATGTCATCAATTTTTATTTCATAGTCTTTAAACATACTTGCTGTCATCAAATACTTCTGCATCACTTGCAAAAGAGATGTCCAATGGATAAGCCAAACATGTCATATGCCAAGCGACCCGACATGCTTCACGAATATAAGTGCCCAAAGTCGAATATGTCACACCTAATGGCAAACTTAATCGTGGATTACGGTGTAAATTATCAATTACTTCCTGAAATAAAGCAGTCTTCTATATAATTTTAATAGACAAAAAGTCAATCATTGCTCTTTACCGACACCATTGATGGTAAATCATAAAAATCCACATTTCGATTAATATACTCTTGAACAATTTCTTCTAATGTTTCTGGGCCATTATGTGTTATAGCTAACTGTGAACGCAAACGTATTTTCCAATCAACAAAACGTCGTTTTGACAATGAAAATGCTTCCTGATGAACGACAATAACAATATTAATAAATTTTTTAACTAAACATTTGACAATGCCATTTTATGCATACCTGAATGATATTAAATATAATACGTTGATTCATATCATAATCATCTGACACCGTTCGCAACGTATCCATAGCATCAAGACGTTCTTTAACAAACATATCACTAAAGCGTTGTATTAAATTACTTTCACGAATTTTTTGTAATGGTTCATCAGGCGATAATGGTGATGTTGATCGAACCACAGTAAGTGGTGACACTGCCCTTGGTGTATAACTACTGTAGCTAAAATCAATAGTAACACAGGTATATTATAGTATATCTGAATTATACCAAGAAATTACCTTCGTCTTGGTGACAGTGAGCGTGAGCGTGATCGACGTTGAATAGAATTTATGTCATCTCTTATTCGCCGAATTTCTCTTTCATATTCTGCGGCCAATAGAGAATGAGGTTGATAACGTTCAAGTGATAAACGAAATTCGGCATCATGCAATCTAGATAACAATAAACAGTCTCATTTTCATGGAAAAACTTAGGTAGCAACTAGTCCGTATTTTGTACCGTGTACGAAGATTGCTAAGTTCGGCTTCCGTGAACATTTTTTCATCGGTTGACCGTGCATGTTCATCAAACAATTCATGACGAGTTTGTTCAAGTCTAAAGAGACTCAGAATATAAGATAGAAAGAGAAAATTATAGTATAATATCCTGTACTCGATCAAAGAAGTTCGGTGTAAAATTCTTATAATTAGTTGAATTAGTGGGCAGTGAGATTCGGATAACTAAGGTAGTGTTTTACCAAAAGAAAATAACATGCAAAACGTGCTAAGAATACATATCTTAGACTGAGAATGAAAGTTAGTAGCTCATGCACTAATTTTCAAGAGTGTTTTGCTCAGCGACAATATCAGATGGTAGAAAAAAAGACTAATTATTAAAAGTTATTGGTTCGAAGGATAACTGAATCCAAATAATGACTTGAATAGCCTCTCTGATGCGAATGAGACAATCTGGTGACTATAGTCAATATTTTTTCTTCTATTTAGAGATACTATCTTTGAACACGTCATGGAATTAGTATCTAAGTTGAATGCCTCTGTACTGAGTGTACTGTTGATAAAATAATTTTGCATAAGATTACATCCATGTATTTTTGAGTTAGTATAAATGTTAGAATTTCTAGTCTATCTAAGTGAAACAAAAACAAATCTAACACGCACTCAGCTTCAAGCACGGCGTTATCAATACGTGCACTCCGTAACTCAAGTTCGAGTTCAGATAAACTTTGATCATACTCTTGTGCCAATGCATCATACTCAATGTCTTGTGTTTTTCGTAATATTGGCCAATATAAATCATTTGTTAATATCCCATTCAAATACGATGCTTCTTGACTTAAAAATGGCAATAGACGACTTTTGATGGCTGCTGTTCCGCCGTATAAACCACCTAGAATCAAACAAACATAACACATTTTACAACACGACACAACACATACAAACAAACAGCTATAAGACCATAAATCGGTTTAAGATAAAGAGAGAGAGAGAGTGAGAGAGAGAGAGAGAGAGAGAAATTCGCTAGTAAGAGTTAATCACACAGCGTCATCGCTGATATCACCTGGTGCTTGTAATATCTACTTCGAACAATGCAACAAGTGTATCAGCCACTTCGGTGTGTAAGCGCGCTTAACAACAGCAGCGCGCAGTGCAAGTACGTACGCATTACGAAAAAAAGGTGGAAACACGTAAGATGAACAGACATGATCATACGTGTGTGTATTTGGAAATGAGTTGTTTGAACAAAAAAAATGCTTTTATACTAGTGTCGTTCGAATGATGATAATGATTATGGAGAAAAATATATAAATGTGAAAGAAAAAAAACTGAAAAAACCTATTACTCAATTGTCTCAACGTCGTTGGATAAGAGAAAAAAAAAAGATTTGTTTTTTTACAGTTTAGGAAAAACCGCTCTCTTTCGTTACACACTTAAAAAAAGTATAACAGACGCGCACAATGTTAGAAATTGAACGCAAACCCGGAAGGATAAAAGAATATATGTGTATATACCATTCCTTTTTTTTTCTTTTTAAACTACTTTCTTCTTCTCATTTTTTCTTTTTTTTTGCTATTAATGGAAAAATAAGAATTTTTCAACTCAAAATTACAAACAAAAGAAACTATCGTCCGATGGAAAATGCAAAAGACTTTTTTCCCGACATATATAGATTGTTGATTACTATATGTTCCTCTTCATCTTTGTGTGTGTGTGTGTGTGTGCTAGCAATTTTTTTTCCTCTTTGTCAAAGACGAAACGACGACGAGGTTTGTTTCAATTAACAAAAAAAATGATCTAGAGAGATGAGGAATGCGAAACTTTTTTTTCCATGTTGAGTATTTTTCAGTAAAAAAAAAAAGAAGAGGATAAAATTAGAAAAAGACAAGAATGTTCATCGACAATGGTCGAGAGAGCGGAAAATTGATTTCGATGTGAGCATCTCTACTATTCTTTTGGTAGTCTACCGTTGAATTTGTTAAATAATGGCATGTTTTTACTCATGTTAAACAAAAACTTCCGTGCGTTTTAATTAAACATGCTTAATATTTCTCAATCGTTCAAAACGTTGATTCCGGCTTTTTGGTGTATAATAAAAGGACTGTAAACATTCATAATTCTACTTATCTGTTGAAACGATACTTGAGCTCAAAAGCAACTCTTATCTATAGTAGAACTAAAAACTATCCGTAAATTAGCTTGAATAGTTGGAAGAAGAAAACAAAGAGATAAAATAATGAACATCACTGAATATCTCATACTCAAAGCGTGTTCTATCTAATTCTAACTGAAATGGCGTAACGGTTGACTGGTATATCACTAAATCATATCTGAAATATTTAATAGTCTACTCTGCGAATAAAAATATTCTTATATCACGTTTTCACCACAAAATAAGTAACACTTAGACTTGAGAATAGAATTAGATATTATGTTTATGACTACTACTTTATGGTTTATAGAAAAAAAATACGTTTTGAATAGCAAAAGAAAGATCTTTAATAAAGAAATAACAAAAACTTTTTTGTAGAAACAAACATCTAAACACTAGTTCTCTAAAAATATCGGTTTTCTTTTAGAGACACAAAAATTTTTGTTCGGCGTTAATGAGAAAAAGAGAGAGAGAGAGAGAAAGAGTGAGAGAGATGGCTTTTCTTCTTGGTTGCGAGAAGAAAAGAAGCCATTTTCCTTCTGGTTAATAATTTTACTAAAAAGTTTCTTTGTTTGATCATGAAGCATTTTCCCGCACAAGAATATGATAATCCACTTCAAATTGCTTTAGGTATAATGAACAAGAGAAGATCGTCAAAGTAGAAAAAAAAAATTGATTACTGACATTAACTCAACACCACCTATTTCGAAAGAAAGAACATTGATGTTTCGAGTAATAATACGTATTATTACGTAGAAGAATTTAATTATACCGGTTTGTAATTAAACTAACAACAAAGTAAAATCAAACTTATGTTATAAAGATAAATAGAGAGTTGAATTTCAGTAAAAACTCTAGAAAAAATGCCTTCAACTTGTTTCAGATTCAAGACAACTAATCAATGTTTAACAAGATGGAAATGAACAAAAAAATATATTTTCTATACTTTAGATACTTTTTGCAGTTTACATGTTTCCATCTCGTGAATTTCTATTTTTATTTACAAATTATAAATGTTTGCTATGTAATTATTGTCTCTATGGAACACCTATCTTAAAGACCAATTACTGTGAACCACTGTTAAATATAAAATATAGATGTATTGTTTATTTTTTTCTTCGTCTACGTTTCTTTTCCCTTTTTTTATGTCTATTCTATATTATAGAACTCAAAAAAATCCTTACCTTAATAAAATTTAGTTAAAAAGTTACTAAAAATGACGAATATGAACTTTTGTTGTTGTTATTATTATTATTTAAAAATTATACCCATCCTCCTCATAACAACGTTTAAAAGAAGTTGCATACGTATAAAACAACAAAATAATTTTATATATATATATGACATATGGAGAAATAATAGTAGCATACTGAAATTTTGTCAACCAGATTTCTTCTTTTTTTTTCGAATTTTATCCTTACAGCTTTTTTTCTATCCTCCGCATATATTGGTAATATTTTAATAGTAGTCACAGTAGTGACGCAGCAATCGAGAAGAAGATGATCTATACCCGCTTGTTTGCGTGCTTTCTGTTTTTTGTTTCTATTCTCATATACTACACATACATTTTTCTTTAAAAATCTGTTGTTTGTATTATGTTGAAAAAAGTACTCAACAACGGCAAAAAGAGAAAAAAAAGTTGGAATGGAAAAAAAGTTTAGTAGTGTATATGCTAGACTATTAAAAAAAAAAAATTTTTTTTTGATTGACAGAACACGGAAGTATGGAATGATTAGAGAACTGATTAGAAAGAAAAAAAAGGAGGAAAAGGACTTTCTTTTACATAAGAATTCGCGTCAACGATAAATTAAACTGAATTGTCTCATTAACTTGAATGGTATGGTACTATACCACTTGAATTATATATGAAGCGAAAATAGAACAACGGAATGATGACAGCTGAATACTTGATGGTGTTAATCCCATGATAAACACGAACAGACATGGAAATTAGAAGCGTAAAATAACATATCTCAGAGAAATGTTTATACTACACTTTTTTAAACATTCAATGAGTTAGTGTCAGACGTGTTCAAGTCTGTCTTATTATGTTTTATCTAAAAATATTGAATACTATCTCGACGCAAAACACACTTTCTCTTTCCTATTTACAAGCGCTGATACCTTTCAAGTATCTCTAGCTCCTCTCATTAGAGTCATTTACAGATATACATGACAGTAATATTCCAATAGAATTCTTTCCTTTACTCATGTAAGGGGTAGACGTAAAAGCAGAAAACTATAGCTCTTTTTTTTTATGTTCAAAAACATGTTTCAAAATCTACGTAAAGGAATTATTTTATTTGTGGTGACTATGTAAACTAAGTGGTCAGAAATCATCTGTTAAAATTTTAAGTTACCTTTCAGGTGCGCATCGCTCGAATCAGCGGACAAGTTTCAACAAAAAAACCTTTACTTTATCTTGCTTAACGTGAGACTAACTTTAAAAATTTAAACTGAAAAAGTGACCACATTTCTTGAGGAACTTGCGCGAAACGACTTGGACTTTATCCTTTAGCATCATCTATTACACCCTAATTCATTTTTACTGAAACAGTAAAAGAAATTGAAATATTTGCATTAACAATTTACTTCCTTTCTGGAGATACTATTCAGAACCAAGATTGATGAAAGGCGATACACGATAAACTCTGAAGAATAACGATCAATTACGAATGACATTATATATCTTGTTTTGTATTAGATATGCTCCACATTATGGTGATGTAATGCTTTCTTCAAATCCACAGGGATTCACAGTTCAACTTGGAGAGAGCATTTTTGCAAAAGGATCATGATAATAAAGAGCATATTCTTTAGCACGAAATCATTTACTATTATATTTTTTCTTAAAGATTATCACTTCACCCTTCTTCCCTGTATCTCGTTTCATGTATGATAAAGTTTCATGTCAAAAGTTCTCTCTATCGAAAGATTACAAGACAACGACACATACATACACACACACACACACACACACACACACACACACAGAGAGAGAGAGAGAGAAGAAAGAGTAAGATTCAAATGAACATTTTTATAATAGATAACAGAATAAAAGAAGAACATAATTACGTTGGTCTCTCAAAAAACTTGAGCATTTTACGCCCTAAGGCAGCTTATCCGACCTAAAAAATCTCATTAGTATAATTGACTGAATACGAACAAAAAGAGTTAGAGTGTCATCTCTGTTATGACTAACCTTAGATCAGAAACGACAATAGTACTAATTGTCTATTCGGGTGTTTGAAACTACAGATGAAAGAAATTTTACAGTTCAAATATGAGTGCGAGTGTGAATCTATTGCTAAGCAGAATATGAGCCGTCTCTAAATTTCAATGTGTGAAGTTTTCCTACAGACTTTCCTTCGTCTACACGGTCCTACGGTGAAATACTTTCTGCTTGACAGAGGACTATTTATTTATTCTTTAACTTTCTCATACTTTCGCTGATGAATTGTAAAATTTATTATGACAGCGGAAAAGGTGTATAGATGAGGTACGAGAAAGATCATTTGGCTCCGGAAAGAGATATTTAGTCGGAAGAGAGAAAAAGCTGCGGGGTGTACAGTAATTCTATTATAAGTAAAATGTTCTTCGTACCATTCCGGAACTTAGTTGAACTTTTTATTCTTTTTGAAAAAGAAAGTACCAAAGTAATGTAAAACTATTTCAGACACTTGTAGATTGGCTTTTCATTAATATATCCGAAGCGCTCACTGCACTGCTCGAGAAATACTTAGAATAGAAAAAGAAAAGTATTAAGTATATAAAGAATTGAGATTTAGGAGTGTATACCTCTATAGTAAACGGAAATAATAGGTTAAATTTTCAAAAGTGAAAACTAACTAGAACAATGCTAGTTATTATAAGGTTACTACCAGCGACACTGTTCTTCTACTTAATAACAGTACATAAAAGACACTAAATTAGACGCTAGCGCCTCTCAAACTAAGAAGATAGAGTGCACTATATAACATACAACATCACAAAAACGATTATTTTCTATGTGAAACACAAAACATTAACCTACCTTCGGATGAAATAACATTTAACACTTTAAATAATTCTCGCTGAACTTTTGCATTGAGTTCGATAATATCAATACAACGTGCGACGTTTTGTTCAGATGTATTCAGCTAGAATAAAAATCGCAATTCATAGAAACATAATATCGATCAACTTCGGCGCAATGTCAAGATTTATTCTTGAACACAAAAGAGTTGAAAAAATATTGTTTTGCGACACATAATATTTTAGGATACTATTTGAAATCAAATATACTTTTTAAACTTTTTAGAGTATATACATTCTGTAACTTGCATCCTATAGCTCTGATGTTAAGCAGCCATATTAAACGCAGTCTTACTCGTTTAGTAAGTACTGTATATTTAACTTTAATAAAAACAAAAGATGTTTTTCAAAAAATTTTGAAATTATACAGTTGTTTTTCTCCGATAGATCTTGATGATATTTTGTTGTTTTTTTTCAATGTATAACATTACGAGTTTCGAATATAGTTCAATCTCTCCTATTTAGCATAAAAGTAGCGAAACTCACCAAATATGTATCATTTAATCTAGTAAGCTTCTCCTGTAATATCGAAAATGATGAAGCATCCGTTAAACGTCTTAGAAAACTTTTTGCGGACATGTTTGTGGTTGTTCAAAGCCAAAAAACGCAGCAACCATGACAAGTCTCTCTCTCTTTCCGAACATAATTTTCCCTTTTTATTGTATAAAATATAGACAAAGAGAAATCGAGAGAAGAAGAAGCAAAAAAATAGTTTAGTAGAAGAGAAAAAAAAAACAAAAAAACTTAAAACAGACATACATTATATCTTAAAATGTGACATATACAAAACTCATTTAAATCTCAAACAAAAGAAATGAAGAGAAAAAAAGAGAGAATTTTACATCGTAGTAGACAACACAAAATGAAGAAAAAGAATACAATGAAGGATAAACTGTGTTCAAGATTTTTCAAAAAAAAAAAAGAATGAGAGATTTTCTTTTTAAACAACCTAAAAGACACATTTTGAAACAAAATATTTGTATCGGAGAGTGCAATAACGACTCTTCTATGTGGCAATCATTGCGGTTTCATATATATATATATATATATATATTCTATATTCAGAAGATGTTGGGTTTTATACATCTGTTTTATTTATTTTAAAATTCAGAACGAAAAGAAAAATGGACAAATTCTAATAGTACTAGAACATAGAAGCAGACATCATGTTGTGGTGTTATTGACGTAGATAATAAAACAAAAATTCAAAGAGTATATTTTATTTTAAAAATAGAAATGTTTTTGCTTTTTTACATTATTGATAGGAACAAATTTTGTTTTTGAATAGATTAATTAAAACTAGAAAAATATATTCAATTTCTTTCATTTAGAACAATTGTAATGAAATCTCTAATGAAAGATATATTAGTGTAGTATCTAAAGACTATATCCAGGGTTCACATTTGAGAAAAATGTAATTGAATAGATTTTTTCTGAGTGACACATGCACACACCATGATCAAAAACAATTGTGAAGAAATAAAATATCTTTCAAAAGATGGATCGAATATGTATCAGTGATGAAATTCTTGTACATTAACTATCATTTTTAATTATAGAAAATTACTTAAATATTGTGCTTTTTATTTTCTCTTTTTTTTTTTTTTTTTGTTTGTTAAAATCAAATCAGTTATATAATTTCTGCAATACAAACATAGTCAAGAGAAGAAAAAAACATTTTTTGCTTAGTATCTGTGCGACAAAAAAAAATTGAGAAACCTTATAAAAAGTTATTATACGATTGATCCATAGATATTTTTGCTTATAATAACTGTGATCGTTGAGATTGATCAACCTTGAAAGTTCTTTTATAAGTACAATGTATATATACATAAACAAAAAAAAAAAGATGGAAATAGATGTATGTTTCTTTCACACAAAACATATTGTTTCAAACAGCATGCCATTGAGAAAAATATTTCCAAGTGAAAAAACAACGGGTCATATATATAATCCAAATAATTTATATTTTTGTTTTCATTGAATTTCTCTTCTCGTTTTGTGAATTTTTGTTTTATTTGATTAGATAACGAACTATCAATTAAAATTGTCTCTTAAAGATATAAATCTGGTAATTATTATGGTCAATGATACTGCATCATCTTTTCTAGAATCATTATCTTGTTGTCTATGAACAATTGAGAAATTAACATGTCAGTCTAATGGTTACCAAATTATTCAAATAAGTCTACGTATGTTTTCATTATATTCCTATCAAGATATCAAATCGATTTGATGTTTAAAATTAGTAAGAGTGGGAATTGATTGAGAGAAAGTTAAACTGGAAAAAAAATTGTTAAATAGTAAAAAAAAGCAAATTTACTATGAATTTTTAATCAGATATTTTCTAGTGAGAATAATGAAAAAGTGAGAATTATTTACAAATATTGACATTTTCATAGTCTAAATCAAACAGTAGTTCATTATTTGATTCCTGTTAAATATGTCAGATAGTTTTTCAAGAACAAACTCAGTTCTCAGAAAATTTTCAATAAAGTAATAAAATAATCCATTAGAATATTCGACATATTCTCTCAATTTCATGGCTATCAATCTATATGAGATGTCATATCTATATTTAAAATACATAATCTATAAAAATGTAGACAAGAAAAAAAAAACACAAAGCATCGAATGAAAAAAGCAACCGATGTTATTTATTCAACTTTCGTTCGTGTTCTCTGTTTTCGAATTTCATTATATTTTATTATATCTAACCGTAAATTTTGTAAATCTTTTTCTATATCTATTAATAATTGTTCTTTTTCCAACTGAAATTTTTGTTTTTCATTTGCAAAACGTAATTTAAGTTCATCTTTTTTCTTTTGCACAATGTCAAATGCTTGTTGTTGTAATTTCATTCTTTCAAGTTCACGAGCATTATGTTCAACTTGAGCAAATGGATTTTCATGTTGATGTTCAATACGTAATATCGATTTTAACCATTCATAAACATCATAATCACTATGCATTAATTTATTTAATAAATAATTACGCATCACATGTAAATCTCCTACCGTTTTTCGTCGTTTCATACTCTAAAATATATAGTGTACGAACAAATTATACTGTCAGTTTCTTCATCTTACGAGAGACTATCGTCAGACGTAATACTCGGATTTCAAAGATCTTTGGCCAGTCATTTATGGCTCTAGTAAAAAACCTAAAAGGATAGGTGCCCATATTGTTTCTTTAAAAAGTTATGAATGTTTTAATTTCACTCGTACAAGCCGCACAAGCAGAAGATTAAAAAATTCAAAACTCCGCCAAAAACCGTCGTAGATATCTGAATTTTTTTAGAGAAATCCAAATAACTCTGGAACAGAAAGAGTTTGAAAGCTGAAAGTTTCTGTAGTTAGAATAGACATCTTGAACTGCCACTAGAAAAAATTTCAGATGTCTGTGACGTTTTGAATTGGTGTAAGTAGTGTAGTTGTCCAAAAACGTCACAGACATCTGAAATTTTTTCTAGTGGCAGTTCAAGATGTCTATTCTAACTACAGAAACTTTCAGCTTTCAAACTCTTTCTGTTTCAGAGTTATTTGATTTTCTTTAAAAAAATTCAGATGTCTACGCCGTTTTTTGGTGGAGTTTTGAATTTTTTAATCTTCTGTTTGTGCGGCTTGTACGAGTGAAATTAAAACATTCATAACTTTTTAAAGAAACAATATGGGCACCTATCCTTTTAGGTTTTCTATTAGAGCCATAAATGCTATCGACTGGCCAAAGATCTTTGAAATTCGAGTATTACATCTGACGATGATCTCTCGTTAGTGAAACTTACAAATGGATCCTTGTCACCGTCAACAATATGCATTCGAATTCTTGCTGTTATCTTTGCAACTGAAATGAAGAAAATAAAGAGACTTTTTAAACTAAAACGTATAAATGAACGTAATTATGACTTACTTAAAACTTCATAGGATGATTGATCTAATGGATGTCGTTGAACAGCTTTGACAAGATGATTCGTGTAATATTCTAAAATGTCATCCTAAAAAGTGATAATCAACATTTTACAATAATGAGACATACACATACAAATATACACATACTTTAGTGCCAAATTCTAACGTAAATAAACGTTTAACTTGTTCATCAGCACTAAAATCAAGAAAAATAAATAAAAAAGTTTTATAAAAAAAATTTTTATTTTAAAGCATCGATTTGCTTACGTTTTTAATTCCTCTGATTTCTCATAACCGGGACGTAAGATTTTTGTTAAATCAAAATTTGGATAAGGATCCAAATCACCTAAAAGAATGAATATAAATACAATTAATCAACAATATTGTGATCATTTTATCTAACCTGTATTCCATGGTTTTTTAGGTGGATAAAGATGCGCAGGCAAATTTCTTCTAGCACCACCTCGTCGAGAATGCGTAAACCCACCAGAGATACATCTGGATGAAAAAATTGTTGACTTTATCAATCGTCCTGTGACTAAAATTACTACATAGTAAATTTCAGTCCACGTTAAAATAAATTTTTAAACTTACCAAAATTCAATAATGTTTTTTCAATTAAAACTGACATTATTTACTGCATATAGTCATCTATAATACATCATAGTATCCAAACCAACACCGGATTATTCTAGTATCTTTGAATATAGCGAAGATTATTCATATTACTATGCGTATGAATACAAAATAATAGTTTTTATTCGCTAAATAAAGAATAAATCCTAAATCTTTAGAAAGATTGTTAAGTACTATATTTCTGTTTAGTTTAATTCAATTATTTGTGAAAACAACGTTTAACCATATCTCCACATGCATCTTACATCTACTCTCAATCATCTGTCAGAAAAAGATAAAGACAAAACGAAAGTTTCTATTAAATTCAACAATATGTTGATATATATAAAATAGCCATCGTTCATGAAATTTGTTATTCAAGTGAGATATTATCTTTTTTGAAGAATAGATAGATTATTAATATCATGTCTTTAAATTAAACATCTTAAACTCATTTTTTATTTCCGTTGTTCTCTCAAAGAAAATTATTGCCACAACAGATCAAAATAGTTTTTGATTTCTCAATAAATGTCATATCATGATCTATAGTGTGATAATAATAAAAAAAAAACAAGAAATGAAAAGAAACGAGCAAATTTTCGTAAAAAAAAAGCTCATTACATGTTTAATGAAGAGAACGTAAATTACTGGCCGTTTGGAAGAAAAAATAAAGCAATAACAACAAAAATAGCAGCAACAAACGATCTTTTTCTCATAAGACAGATTATGTAGATAAGAAAGTTATAACAGCTAAAAAAAAAACGGAAAAGTTTATTTTTCTTGCCAAAATGTGTGACACTAGAAAAGAAAGAAAGGGAAAAAATTCCAAAGTGCTAGTTGTTTCGCGTCATTTGAGATCATAAATAGATCTGATATGCATGCAAATAGAATGATATTCAGTAATATTAATCAACATCTAGGTCAAAATCCATGTCATTGTCATCTGAAATAGATGAATATTGATTCTGTTGTTGAAAAAATAAACTGGACATGAAATTGTTTGATGCTGCTTGAGCAGAGTTTGATGAAGAGGAATCAACAGGTGGGTTAGCCAAGTTTTGAAAAAGATTTTCAAACATATTTGGTGTACGATTTGATGATTGTTGCTGTTTTATACCAAAAAATAATTGTCCAATACGTTCCAGATACTGTAATAGCGTTGTATCACGATTTAATGATGGTTTATACAATTCACACAGTGTTGAAAAACATTTTACTTTTGATGTAAATGATGCAATTGAAGCTTGTTGTTCACGTTGTTGAGGATCAGTGTAGGAAGAAAGATTTGTTCTAATATCTAAAGAAAAAATAAGACAAGATATGCAACGTATCTAATCACGGTAATGTCAAAAAAAATCTCGATTCACACTATTTGCAAAAATGTTATCAAAAAGACAAGAATCTTCCTACTCTACTAATGTTTTCCTACAGTAATCATGTGAAAAAAAAGAAATTATCTCATTATTTCGTCCTACCTCTTGGATTTTGTTGTTCAGTCGTTGTACTTCTAACCAACATCTTTTTCAAACATAATAATAAAAACCACACAAAATTTAATATTGGATATAAATGAAATGGTGGTGGTTGTTGAATAAGAGGATGTCGTTCAACATATGTTACAAAAACAAGATAGGCTGTATGGAAATTTTTTAAACATAAATATTGCAAAACAACTTGTGTTATGAATAGATCTACTTCGGACGGATAACCATAATTTGTATGTAAATCGATGAGCATATTGGCACATTCGATACCATCATGGGAATGAAGAAAATGATAACGACTATCCTTATAATTTTTTTCATTCCATAATATTTTTGCAAAACGTTCATGCACTTCAGGATGTCCACTTTTATGATAAATTTTTGGTGGAGGTATTGTCGATGATGATGATGGTTCGGTTAATGTTGACAAAATTGATGATGAAAAAGATGTTCGTGTTTTAGGTGTTGCTAATGGTAATTCTTCTTGCTGTTGTTGTGATGTTGATGATGGAACTGTTTCAGACCACCTAAGAATATTATAAGCATATTCAATACGTTCATCTCGATAAGGACGTAACAGTTCATATAATTTACAAATTTTTGATAATAAACCTTCATTTAATTCCTTATATTTTTCCTGTTTATTTAATATTTCAACAAAACATTTACATAAATCATAGCCACTATTCGATTGTTGATGGTCAAGAAAATATTTGGCACCATTATATATAAAATCTAATATTTCAACAAAATTTTCTTGTTGTTGATGTGGTTGATTAATTAAACGAAAATAAATTGTACGATAGATTTGATGTGCTTGATAAAAATCCTTATCACGTTTACATTTATCTAATTTATCATAAAGACGTGTTGATGATAACGAAGGACGCTGATTTTGATGATGTTCATCGTGCGAATCAACGTTTGACATATTCACTACTGTCTAGTAAAAAATAAAAAGATTCACCACGCTAAGAAAAAGAATAGCCGATGCTATGCCTGATATTATCTAAAAATGTAAAACAAAAAAAATATTAAACTAGTTGAATTTTTGAGTAAACAGCATCGGACAACTGGATTGTTTTTACCATGATTGAATTCGATTTGATTGACTCTACTATTCTTTATCAAAGCTGAAACCGATTCTTACAACTAGATGATCACGATCGAATATCTCTTGTTTCTCAGATATTCTGTAAAAACACGGATTTATTCAACAAACAGTGCTCAATGTCCACCTTTGTTCTCGTCTATATACAATGAAATTAGAGTCTATCACTAAGGAAAGATTCTCTATCTAACCGTACCTAGTATTTCGGAACATTTTTTTGATTTTGATAACTTAAACTCAACTTGTTTGAACTAAATAAATTTTTGTTTTACAACCACTTTTTCGTTAAGAAAAGCTTTGGAAACACATTTTTTGTAACTATCGATGAGTTTGGAATATGTCGTGCTCAGTTTTAATAAAACAAATGATTTAAATTCTGAACTATGGTATGGACGTAGGTGGAAAAAATGTGATTATTATATGTACTTGCTTGAACAGACAGGATTTCATTTTCAGTTTCTGATTTTTTATATCTTATACGCTTATCATTCTATACCATCGAGAATACTGCGTTTGTACATATCTTAGTAATTCTAACAGATATAAAAAACAAACAAGGAAATCAAATTCCATTTATATACCTTTATTTTATTATAGTGTCAATTCATTGAATTTTTTTCCTTTCTAAAACAACAAAGTGCATGTAACGTATTTTTTCCATTTGCGCTCATATCACTAGACAAAAAATAGCGGACATCTCCGTTTATTAAACTACTTCAAAGTAGAATTGTGTTTTCCGATAGAATATTTTCCCAACTTTGCTTAAATTTGTATCAGAGGCATGAGTATTGGAAATAATCTACTTACCACGTATTACCCCAAAACCACAATACTCATAACTAAAAATTTTATCTTTTTTTCCAAAATGTGATTTTATTTTTATTTTATTTTTTTATCTATTTGGTTTATCAAAACTTGTTCTGTTATGTTGTACGCAATATATAATGGGTTCATGCGATTCGTTGTTTAATAAAGAAGGCTTGATACTAATGGCGTGAAAAGAGAATCGGTAAAAAACACTGCAGATAATAAAGTTCCTATGTTATTAATATAGCTCCCTTCACACGCACATATAGCATATTAAGTAAGTTGGTCGATATAATATTAAGAAGAAAAGTGATAATTAAATCGAACCATACCGACCAATCATAGTGCGATGCTAATTCATTTATCTGTGCACTATACGTACTATCAGAACAATTCATAGTGATTTTTTGATACATTTTTATTGATTTAGATTCCGCTAATGAAAATTCTGTATTGTTCTTTGTTTCGCTGACCGCTCGACCTGTTATGTGACCTTCGAAAATGAAAGAGTTACATAAAAGAAATTTAATAGATTGTTTACTTCTATTGACAATACATATTTTAGGTATACTTTTGTTTTAATATTAGTTTTGGTTTTTTTTAGATGACATAAGGTATTTAAACATATCATAATTCTGAGTTATGTTTTTTTTGCTACTAAATGTACATGCACGCTGATATTTTCGTAAAAATACAATGTGTACAGACAAATTGTTCAACATGTGTAGATTTCAATGAATAGTAAAAGAGTTCGGCTATTCCGAACATTTTCCATTCTCATTGCATATTTTCAATATAGCGGTGAAAATGGATAAACTAAGACTAGTTTCTAAGGTCCTCGACCTATAATAATAGTGACTCAAGTCAAAGTACATAAAGGTGAACAATAAACAGATAGAAGAAAACTAGTGATGAACAGAAACAAATAAACCAAGTAAACATAAATTAAAATAGGATAAAACAAATACTAAACAGAACATAAACATGATTGAAATTTACTGTAGTGTTAGCAACAGGAGGCATGGGAACATACTTCACGTGAAGAAAAATACGGTGAATAAATTCAATAAATAATTTAGAGGAGAGGATTTAAACGATGAGCATTTTTTAACAACTGTATGGATCTAAACTATTTCCGGCGAAGTGAGATTATAAGAGAAAATTGCGACTCAAGTAAGGCAGTGCAGAAGATCAGGGAGAAGGAGGATTTCCCTCCTGAAAATTTTCTCCCTTCTCCCTGGAAATTTTTGAAGTCTGTATGGTACTAGTGGCTTTTTTTTCTTGTTGAATCATACATGGTTGGATAGAGCTCGTCGAGCTGATCAAGAATATCTACTTTTTACTTTACGGGGAAAATCAGAATTCTGTTCCTAATTCGCAATTTTCTTCATCAGAACTCAACTTTTACACAATGAAAATATCATATTCGGGATCAGCATCAAAAAAAAACTACGAATTAAGGACAGAATTCCAATTTTTCCCAGTAAAGTCGACTGTTCTCAGCAAGGGAACAAAATTTTTCAAAACCGATGCCAATGATTATTGGCTATTTATGGATGATTCGAATGATATATGAATATCGAGGAAATCTTTTCAAACAAAAGACTACATAGGTTTGCGAGAACAGAGTGTCATTTTGCCCCTTGCCGGTCCTAGTCTAGCTTGCTGATGGAGAGAGTTGTTATGAAATTCTCTCATTCTTACGTGGATGTACTCAGTTTTTGATACTGAATCCAAATAGAATGATCTCAGAAAATTGCAATCAGTAAGCGAGCAGAATCTTAAATTTTCTCGAACTCGGTCAAATTTGACCGGTAACTTGTATTTTAAAAATTTCTTACCCAAAACATAGTCTAAGATTAAAAAGTAGATATTCCTAATCAGCTCGACGAGCTCTATCCAACCATGTATGATTCAACGAGAAAAAAAATCCGCTCGACTTTTGCATTTCTGATAACTGCATTCCGACAACTGCTTATAAATGAATGGAAAGAGATTAGAAGAAAAAGGAGCCAGAAACTTTTAGTTATATTGAAAGGCGAGATTAGAAGGAGACTAATTTGAAACATAATTTATACAGTTGCTGGACCTGTAACAGTTCCAGCTCATAAGTTCAGCGAAAGAACTGTTGAACAGTTCTTTTGAAAGGAGCTGATACGTTTGAACAGCTCTTTTGAATTTTTAAAAATTGAAATTTTTTGAAATTTTTTCAACGACTACTGCTAAAGCTTTCACGCTGAAGCAAGAGCTTGCTCAACTCGAAGCACTGGAGAACGGTCATACATTTGCGTCATTCTGGAGAAAACATTCAACTTTACTTCCAATATTGAACCAGATGGCACGTCGATTCGGTCCTATACTCGCGACCTCAGTTCCCAGTGAGAGCACATTCTCAATCGCAGACTATGTTGCTCGAAAAATACGGTCTTCTCTCTCAGCTAAAAACTTGAAATATTCAATGTTCCTAAAAGATAAACTTTAATCTTTTCTTTAGTCTGCTTTTCTTACAAAGATCATACTTTTATTTTACTTTTTAACCATACTTATCTGAGAAATTGACCATTTTACATGCTTCTATTTATGTTCAAACATATCAGCTCCGTTCGAAAGAACTTTTCAACAGTTTCTATGATAGAAGTTGATATGGAACTGTCATACCCCTAACAGTTGCTACAGCTTCTCTGACTCAACTAGTTATTTTTAATCGTCGTATCTTGCATGAGTTTCGTAGAAAACTTTTTTCTTGAGAATGCAACAATTTACTTCAAAACAGAAAATGATCTGTCCTTAGTTTAAATTTTTCAACTCCACTGGGAGTTGAAAAGTGAAGTTTTTTTTATATATAAATCAATGCTGTCGAACATCGATGGCAGTAATCGATTGTGCTGAGTCTCGTCGTAATATTTGTTTTTAGAAAAAGATTCTAAAACCCAGAAACTAAGTTTTACGCAAACCGTTCTCAGTCTGTTGACATCTCATATTAAAACATTTACAATTTACTCACAAAACATCAGAACGAGTTCAAAGCTTCATGATGTGCAGTATTTAAGTTGTTTTATATTCTGTTTATAACAAATCTACAAAAAGAAATTATAAAATGCTACGGTTTTCCAAATGGGTTTCTAGAAACTTCGGAACAAAACCATCATTTTTCAATCGTTTCAATTTTATACTAACGTCTAGCGAACATGTGACACCGTATCCTGAAGTTTTGAACTCGTTCTGATGTTCTGTGACTAAATTGTGAATTTTTTAATATTAGGTGACAACAGGCGGAGAACCGTAATTCGCTGTATACTGATCTAAAATATGCCAAAAAATAACTGAACATCAATCAGATGATATTATCTTAACAGTGGAATTCAAATCTATAAAAGACGCCAATATGGTGGGATTTTCTGCCTGTAGATTGAGTAATAAACCAAAGAAAGTAGGAGAAGTAGGAGAAAATCAATAGAGTAGAACGTAATAAGGCGATTTTAATGAAAAATAGGATGTTGACCAAGTCTGACAACCATGCATAAAAATGTTTGCACTTACCTTATAAAGTGAAGAGAAATTAATGCATACTCAACTAGGAATTTCGTAGATATTAACAGTGCATACTCATACATGTTTCCGTTTCTCTCATAGAAATTATTCAGTTATAGACTTTTAGTTTTAGTCATGAAAATAGAATTTATTCGATAAGAAGCGAAGAGTAACAGCAACAGTAACAGTATTATTATTTCTACGTGAGAAAAAAGTGTTAATAATCAAACAGGTCCACACATCTTTTTAACAGTCTCATAAAAATCAACGGGTGTCGGTTTTAAACAACGTTCTTCTTTAATTGTTTTGTCATTTGTTATGCATCGCACTCGTTTACTCGTTGTATCACCTATACTGACAATCTATGAATGAGATAAAACATTGAAGTAGTAAAGCGAAACACTAATCATCAGACATCGATCAGAACTTACGCAGCAGTTTTCTAAATCAAGACCAACTTTTTTACTTATTTCGTATACATTATTAAACCCCGAAGGACTAAAAAAGCCCAACACATCTGGTTTCTAAAGCGACAAAATACGTACATATAGTTTTATGTTGTAACAACTTATTCTTTACTTTTTCGACAAGATAATCTTTGAGCTCGCTTTCTAAACTAGCAGATATCGTTGTACCATACACCGTAAGTTCATCGAAAGCAATATCTGACTTATGGAATAGAAAGAAGAAACGTTTAATCTTTTAGTTTAGACTAATGTTAAATCTTTTACTTGCTTGTGTTAAACGTTCTGGAAGTTTGTCATTGCGCATCTCAGCACAAGGAAATAACAAGCAAAACTTTTCGTCTCTATTCACGTCTAAATTTGTCAATTAGCAATCATGTTTTAGTTAAAATGCAATAAAGACTCTCCATCCTACCTTTGACAATAAATTCAGCGAGCTTTTCAGCAGTACCTGTTTCCGAGCCAACAGATTGAGCACAAAATAGTTCATTTACTGAAAGAGTACAGATATATTTTGTTTAGTCAGCCTGGATCTGAAAGATCAGCACACACCAAGTTTTGCAGTGGCTGGACCTTCGCAGTAAAGTTTTTTCTTTTTCCATTGTTCAATCAGATTTTGTTCATCTACAAATGACATGACAAATTTTTATTAATTCGACTAATAAACTAAATGTTGTACCTTTCAATACAAATTGCACAGCATCCACAGCACGTTTACTTGTAAAGATAATTCCGTAGTATTTTGTCCAATTCTTCATGAAAATATCATCAGTAAATTCTCTTTTTCTATGTCAGAAATATCGCACCACATTTACCTTTAAGTATTCTTTCAACAAACTATCATTGCAATATTGGAATTGTATCGGAGAGATCGTTTTCACATACGAAAATTGTTCGTATTCCACCTCTTGTCAATTTTGTTTCTTATACAATTCACTACTCTTTATCGCTACACAGCTGCCACTGACTGGAATAAACTATATGCATCAGCAATTCGGTTATTTCTGTAGCATCATTTAAAAGACCTTTATCTCTCAATAAACATGCTTTCTTACTGTTATAGTATATTTTTTCAAAATGGAAGAGAAAATATAAAAACAACAGCAATGGCAATGAATGGTAAACGAGTATTAGCAAAATACCATTATATGTCGAGTGATGACGATGAAAACGATGTGAAAATAATAACTCCCAGACGTAGAACGCCAAGAATTCCCCGACTTCCTAGACAATCCACAATGTCACCATTGAAATCTGAACAACGAATTAATATTGATAAAAGGCCGACAACTCGAAATCAAAAAGCGTCATCACCGTTGAAGACAACACCGGTTAAAGAAAAGACAGCTATTATTTGGAAACCAACAAAAACATCACCTGTGAAAACAAAACCTCTGTTAGACGATAAAAAATTAGCACCTGATATTAAACCATCAACTACTGATAAAAAATTATCATTCACAAAATCAATGTCAAACAACGAAGAGAAGCCTACAGTTTCAGTTGTGAAACAAAATAATTCAACACCTAAGAAGGAACAGTTATTAACAAAAGCGTCAGAAAAGTCTGTCATAGAAGCAAGAAATGACAACGAGAACAGCGACAGTGATGCAACGGACATCTATGATATGGGTTCTGTGTATAATGAAGTTTTTGCTGCTGTACCAAAGAATAAAATAGAAAATGAAGTTTCAACATCACCATCAGTGAAGAAAGAAACGGTAAACCAAGTAACGACAGCTGTTGCTTCATCGTCAGCAATAAAGAAGGAATTCTCACAAACAGGAGTAAGAAATAGTATTTCTACACCTAAAAAAAAATCACATCATCAAATGTCTTCGTCTGACGAAGATGAGAGAAAACAAAGAGTTCCCATACAGAAAAAACAACGTATATTTATTAAAAGCTCACCATCTACAGCGTCATTAAATGAAAAACCTAGCAAAGCGATGCGTGTTGATAATGACGATGACGATGTATACACATATCGACCATCAAGAAATCCCAACAAAGGTATAAAATCGTCAGAAAATGAAATTATTGCTAAAATGGATGAGGTGATTGTCAGTGATGACGATACGATGGACGATGATGAATTAATTACGTTATCATCACAGCGTTTTTTGCGCGATAATGATTTGAGTGCAAAAACAAAACGTGCCTTAGCGGACGAGAAACAACGTCAACAACGTCTAGTACAAAAAAAGTTAAATATGAGTAATGAAGAATCACAACAGCCGTCACAACAAGTAACATCACCAGATGATAAAAATGGACCAAAACTTATTTTTGAAATGGATAAAGACACTAATAAACCATTGATTGAAGTACATCCGTCTCTAGTTCGACAAATGAAACCACATCAATTAGATGGTACGTTATTTTTATGGGAAAATGTTTATGAATCATTAGCAGAAATTAAAGAAGGAAAACCTGGTCATGGAGCAATTTTAGCACACCACATGGGTCTTGGTAAGTTAAATTTCAATTTTTTTGTCTGTTTTTGAGACAATAATGAAGAAAGCTCTTTTGTTTAGGAAAAACGTTTCAGACAATTAGTTTTATTCATACATTATATAAACATGTCGATTTAACTGGTATTAACACATGTTTAATATTATGTCCAGTTAATGTGACATCAAATTGGAAGGGAGAATTTGATCATTGGATATTAGGATTAAAACCCTTTGTTCGTGTTTATCAATTTGCATTATTTAAACAAAAACATGAACGATTAGCACTATTAAGAAAGTGGTATACAAAAGGAGGTGTATTACTGATGGGTTATGAAATATATCGACGTTTAGCTAATAGCGGTTATAAAGAATATCTGTTAGATCCTGGACCAGACGTTTGTATTTGTGATGAAGGACATCAATTGAAAAATATTCGAACAGGCATAGCAAAAACTATCAATAAAATTAGAACATCTCGACGTATAATATTATCAGGTAAGTTATGATATTTAAGAAGCAAACGGATATTTTCTTATTATTTCTTATTTTAGGTACACCGATGCAAAATAATTTAAAGGAGTATTATTATATGGTTTCATTCGTAAAACCACATTTACTCGGATCATATCGTGAATTTAAAAATCAATTTATCGATCCAATCAAAGGTGGTGAAAATAAAGATTCAAGTAAGTAAAAGAAAAGATACTGAAAACATTACCATAAAACTTTTTCAATGTGCCAGTCAGAAAGCCTATAATTCTGTTGATATTTTTTGAGCTAAAGACACAATAGTTTTTACTTAGAGAGTTTTGATAGAATGAGATAAGAATGTTATTGCTAGATGAAAATTATGAATTATCGTTTTATTTGTGTTTAGATGCATACGCTGTACAGTTAATGAAACGTCGATCATATGCTTTAAATGAACGGTTGAAACATTGTATTCATCGGTACGGTCTAAATTTTTATTGTATGAGACTTTTTTCATTTAAAATGATTGTCTCTTCTTTTAGACGAGATTTTAATTGTTTAAGAAAATATCTTCCTCCAAAATTGGAATATGTTGTGAAAATTTATCTTGGTGATTTACAAAGACGTTTATATTTAAGATATTTAGAAAAAGAAAAAATTGATCCAGAAGGTACTCTCATTCACTAAAACAAAAATAACTTTAGATTTGAAGAACATGATTTTATTTTCTATTTAGCTGGTTTAAATACTGCAAAGTTGTTTGCTGATTATCAATATTTAATGAAGGTAGACCGGAAGGAAAAATAGTACATTTAAACTAGTTAAAATTAATTTTCTTTATTTAAGATATGGACACATCCTTGGTTATTACGACCACATTATGCAGATCGATGGAAACGAGAACAAAAACGAATCAAACAAGAAAATGCCTCATCTTCATCAAAAGATGATGATGATCTTGATCCATTTTTTCATGATATTAATGAGGGAATGTCAGATGATGATGAAAAACCAATAAAGAAACGACAACCAAAGCAAAGAAAAATTGCCGTATGTTTTTATTATCTTCCAATTTCACTTCTAACTTATTCATTGATTTTATTTTTAAGGGAAAGAAAAAATCAAGAACAAATAATCCATTTTTGGATCTCGATGTTGGTGAAGATGACTCAAGTGATAGCTCTGATGATAGTTCAGAAGATGATGCTGCCTCACATTCATCATCCGCATCTGATTGTTTGAGTTTATTTAATAACAGACAACCAAAATCCACAAAATTACAAGATAATTTTATCTCATCAACTGGAATAATGACAAATAATACATGTGAAGCTCAAATAGAAAAAGAATGGTGGTATGAGTATTTTGATGATAGCGCACAATTTGATTTAGAATTAAGTGGAAAAATTAATTTTTTAAAAACAATGTTAAATGAATGTGTACTTCTTGGTGATAAGGTGCTATTGTTTTCTCGTTCGATTTATTCGATATCTTATATTGAACAATATTTAAAAAAATGGGATATGGAAGCACATACAAGAACATCAAAACGAGATGATATGGATCCAACAGTACCTGCCAGAGGTCGATGGAAATGTGGCGTTGATTATTTTCGAATTGATGGTAGTACAGCCATAAAACGTCGTACAGCTCATATTCAAAAATTTAATGAAATAACAAATATTCGATCACGTTTATTTTTAATATCGACATTAGCTGGAGGTATGTATAATTTTCATTATTTTTAGCCATAAACTTAGTGGCTACTTTCTCAACTTTTGCAGGAATTGGTATTAATTTAATTGGAGCAAATAGAGTAATTATTTTTGATTGTTCATGGAATCCGGCAAGTGATTTACAAGCATTATTTCGTGCATATAGACTGGGACAAAAGAAGCCGGTTTATGTGTATCGTTTATTGAGCAAAGGTACAATGGAAGAGAAAATCTACTTCAGACAAGTTACTAAACAAGCAACCGCACAACGGTAAATATAATAGGTTTATATTTGTTCTTTAAAACAAAAACTATCATTCATTTTTACAATAATTGCATGTAATTAATGCAAATTTATCTGTCTGTTTTAGTGTTGTTGATGCACAACAATTAGCCAGACATTTTACACAAAATGAATTGAAAGAATTGTATGCCTTTCATCCAGATGAGAAAGATGTATATGATAATATGACACGTGAACCGGTTGATACATTATTAGCCAAATGTATTAAAAAACATCCAAACATGATTCAAAATTATATTGAACATGATTCATTACTTGAAGATAAACAAAGTGAACAATTAACAAAAGAAGAAAAAGCTTATGCAATTCGTGAATTAGAAGCAACAATGGGACATTATACACGTGTACCAGATGATGCAACCTATTCCGATTATATGGAAGATTATCCCTATTCAACGGTTGATAATAATCCATATCATCAACCCTTACCCTTATTATATAATAAAAATCCATTTGAAACAAATTTCCTGTCATTGTTGTGTCAACCAGCACAAGAAGAAGAATCGCCACCGAGTAACTCATACTTTAAAATTAATGATCTTCAACAGGAAGAAATGACAAAACGAATACAAAATCTTACTGGTGGAACAACAACAGCATCACACCAAATAAAAGTACCATCACCTCCACCGGTGACTACACCTGTTGTACAAGCAAAAACAAAAATTGAAACAGCAACAGCAACACCAGTTCCTCAACAGAATTCGGTTCAAAAACCCGCTGCTGTTGCTGTTGCTGCTCCTGTTGCGGCTGCTTCTACAGTGATACCCACACCACCCCAACCAATACCATATAAACCTCCATCACTTCCTGTATATCCTCCGGGGAAAAAACCATTTCCAACTGTGGAAGATCTTCTCGATGATCCCATTGCTAAACAAATTCAAGCGGAATTACTTGATGATCCAGCAGCAAATCAAAAGCAAATCATTAAAAATCAACGTGAACTATTAAAAATGTATAAAGACAAAAAGAAACAACAAAAACAGCAGGAAAAATTAGAAAAACAACAAGAAAAATTACAAAAAACCATAACAAAAAAGAAAGCACCACCAATAGATGTAAGCTTTTTCTTTTCTCATATCGTTACAAACCTTTACTTGCTATTTGTTTTTAGACAACTTATATACCAAATCCATATCAAATACAAATTCATGAATCTCCATTCGGACCTCCAAGAAAAAAATTCTAATTAAACTCAGGGAATGAACGATTATGTACTGTGATTATTCTGCCAAATATTTCAACATTCTGATCTACCTGTACATATGATGATCTGTATTTGTTATATGTATTCTCAGGAATTTTTTTGTTCTTTTCTGTTTGAAAACTAGTCAGTGTTCTCTCGCGTGCTTTTCGTTTGTGTTAGATAACCGTCCGTATTTAGGACATTTTTTTGGTTGATTTTTTTTTTTTCGTTTATGTACTTTTAAAGTACAACTTTTTTATATTGTTGTCATTTTCTTTTTTATACTAATCTTAAAATTACCATTTTTTTAGCTATGTAATTGTATCGTTTCTGATTGTCTTTAGGTAGAATAGAAATGATTAATTTGGTTGCCATTGAAACGTGTTTTTTTTTTTTTAAAGCAAGATAAACGTGTGAATTTTCTGTGTTAGTAAAACATTTTTTGCAATTTAGGCAAGAATTTTTTTCAATGTTGTATTATAAAAATTAGTAATAAAATAGAAAGTAGATTATTCTAGGAAAAGCTGGAAGAAGTGAAAGTTCTTGTAACTTCAGTTTAACTAAATTTATAAAAAAAAATTTCACCAATTCAACAATCATTGTCAATTTATTATTTATAATTTAAAAAGAATCAACAATTTTCAAATAAAATCAGAAAAACTGTTTCATAAAAAAATGCTTTTTTTCCTTATTCATACAACAATATGGTGAAGAATGTAAGAACAGAAGGACGGCTAACGAATGGTGCAGTGAAAATGATGCTGCTTTTTCAACTTATTTTATTCTAGTCATATCAACTTCAAGAAACTTTGTTGCACACTTTGAGAACGAAGAATTTTTACTAGTTTCGAGTGTAGTGTTTAAATTCATGAATCTAAACATTACACTCGAAAATGTTCAGATGTATTTTAATTGTCTTTTTTACTATATTCAAAATATCGAAAGGTTCCAAAACATAGACAGTACATGTTGTTTTCTTATGTGAGCAAAGTTTTCGTGTTAATAGCATGGTTTAGGTAGAACAATATTTGTAGAATTAGAATAGAACTTCAGATTACTTAACCAAAATACTAACGGTGAATAAACTAGAAACCAAAGTTGTTCGTAATTACTTACATGCACATTAAATTACGATGTTAACAGTTCATCAGTCAAGTGCTACAGCAACTGTTTCGGGACATCGAAACTTTGAAGTTGTACTGTCCTAGCAACAGGTTCTAAGACCATATCGCCACTGCAAACTAATTTATTTTTGCTTTGTTTCGATGTTCGTTTTCTGTGAGTTAGATTTAGTCACAAATACTTGACTAAGGAGTATTCTTTTTTTTCTTGATGTCCCGAAACGGTCGTTGTATCACATGCCTGATGAACTGCTAACAACTTAATTTAATGTTAAGTGTTTGAAGTTGTAGAGCTTCAAATCTACATAAGCATAACATCTTTTCTCCGTTCGAATGCGAAAAAAGTTTTCTTTTGACCACATAACACTTTTCCGCTCACACGATTTCGATTTTTAAAATCTCATATATAGGTTAACCATCATTCTAAATCTTGTGGTAATATTTGTCTTCTTATCACCGAGCGACAGATCAAATGTGGAAAATTATATAGGTCAATTAGTCTTCTTTCCAATGTTAGAGGTTGATATGTGAGAAATCAGTCGCTCACTTGAATTCGAACCGTTTCTTCTCAAATTCCCAGTTGTCTTTGACCTCACTGTAAAAAAAAATGTTGTAATACTCATTATTCTGACAGTGACCTTTTCGAAAAATGTTAAGCAGAAAAACGGTTTTGAGCACACTTTGCTTTTTACAGTGTGGTCAAAATTGTCTTTTTCTCCTTGCATCACCTTATGAATCTGAGCGATGTTAGATTAGAAAGAGTAAACGAAATTAAACTTCTCGATTTGGCTATCACGAACGACCCAAATGGGACGTTCACATACGAAAAACTGCCAAAAAATGTCGTCAGGTGCCGGGTACAATCAATCCGACATTTTTCTGAGGCTCAATCCAAATTCAAACATCATTTGTATATAACGTGTGTAGGTCCAGTTATGGATTACGCATCCATTGTGCACGATAGCACGTTTAAAACATCTCCAACCTCTTGATGCAATGCAACGTCTTGCCGCTCCTGTTGTCCATACATAAAACATACTATTAAAATGAAAACTTCGCCCACAGATCCAGAGTATGAGTTTTTAATAGATAGCCACAAATTTTTACTATAAAGTGGCGAAAATCGATGATTTCTATTACTTTTTTTATGGCGGATTATTCGAAAAACAATCGAGTACATTCTAGTTTGGATAGTTGTTTTAAGTACTATCCGTTCATAAACTTTTTAACAGAAAGAGCTAGAACGATGCGGTTTTCACTGTTGGATAGAGGACCCTATGGGAAGTGAAATTATGCAAAATTCAGATCGCCAGATGAGATTTACCATGATAAACCGTCCAAAACAAAATTCGAAAGCCGTCCACTTTTGGGAAAAAAAGGGGGGTTTTAATTTCAGAATGTTGATTCTGTCCTCTGAAGTGTGCTCTTTAAAATTATGTAAGTCTCGGAATATCTGTCTCTTTTGATTCACGAGTTCCAGGCATTTTCTGAGGACCTACCTACCGGCTAAACTTCATGTGTGGGAGCTCTAAAACACGTGGAACATAGGTTATCGCCCCCCTGGCTCTTGTGTCAACGTTGGTTTGTCGGAACCTCGTAAAAATCTATATTAGGCAAAATAGCCAGTTTTCACCTGTTTTCGCGTAAAATTAGAAAATTCATATTTTACTCAAAATCGATTCCAACTATATCACAATACCAAGGTATACTCTATTTTATCTCAATTTAATGCAGATTTTGGAAATCAATAGAAATTACTTTGGCTTTTGAGAAGGTTTCCTAGAAGTCTTCAGTGGGTAGAGAATATTTTTACTAATTTTAACTACAGAATTATATTGAACAGATAAAATAGAGTATACCTTGGTATTCTGACATAGTTGGGATCGATTTTGAGTAAGATATGAATTTTCTAATTTTACGTGAAAATACAGTATATACAGACAGAAAAGAATACACACGTGTGGTATAGATACAACATGTGTGTATTGTTCTGTCTCTCTCTGTTCGTTCATCACGAGAGCGAGGGCGGCGGTTTGTAATGGAATTGTTAAAAAAATGATTCGAGTCGATAATCACTTACAACTGGGTCAAAAAGTGCTGGTCAACCGCAGGTTAATGTTAATATCTAGAGAATCCGAAGTCGGAGATCGACATAAAGGCTTCTGAAAACTGTCCAACACTTTAATCATTAAATGAAGTTAGTCATCTTTCTAATAGTCATCAGGCTGTGGCTGTCGTTCATCGAATTACTGACACACTTCACAGATTTTGACTTGCAATGCGAAAGAATTCCAAAATAAGTAAGAAGTTAAAGTTTACAAATAAGTAAACTGTGATTGTTTGAAAACTAGGTATAGATCACAAAGAGTATTAATAGCTAACTATTAAGGATGATATAGATAGATCAGTTATCTATTTCAAATACGACTTCACAGCTTTTTCAACCTTCTTTTTGTCAGTTATGAATAAAATTGCGTAAAGAAGCTTTTTAAAGAATTATTTGTGCTTTGTCTACTTCAACGTAGCTCTAAGACGTCAAATATTCTTTTGCAAAGAATACGTCAAGTTGTAGTTAGAATGGTGCTGAGTTGTCGAACTGCGACACACTAAAAATAGAAAATATTTGCCTTGATCCGAAATAGATTCCATAAAAATTTTGAAAATATTATATTTTTCGAAATTTTGCAGCTAAGTATCTAGAAAAATTTGTCTGTGTAAAAAACTGATAAATCTAAAAAAACCAAATTTTTGAACCTATTTTTCACAGACTTTAGTTTTTGGGCTATAAAAAGCAGTAAAGCCTTCTGAATCCAGAGTTTTACTCTAATTACCTTACACAGAATTAAATTCTGCATCTTTTGATATATAAACAAAGTTTCTCAATTGAAATCATTAATTAAAAAATTTACTTTAATTTAAACAAATTGTTAAGCCGATTAAGACCTAATTATGAGTCTAGCTGGCGTAGCAGAAACATTGTATGAAGTTGTAAATGAGTGAGATCGATAGGGCACAAAATTTTCTCTCTTTCTGCGTAGAAAAACTAACTATTGAACCACAGACAATGGGCTAAAACTAAAAAAAAAGAGACGGTAAAAGCACATCGCAGTTCAACAACTCAGCACCATTCCAACCAGCACGAAGTGATCATACGAGAAAAATGTTATCAGAGATTCAAATAGCGGGTTTTGTAGAGAATTCAATTCTCTACCGATTGAGCCTAAAACGAACTCTTTGAACAACTGAACTCATCCTCAAAAACAACGAACAAAAGTGACCCGTTTTTTCTGGGCGTTATGTATTGGATGACAAACTTGTTTTATATACGTACGATACAGCGTAAATGTTACCAATTTTTGTCCATGATCATGCATGTGATAAACTAATCGACTTATGTTATTATCAACATTTTGTCTCTATATTCGTTTTAAACAACATACTGTACGTGTCATTTCTTTACAACGACGTATTTTTTCTATTTTTCTCATTTTGTTTTTCTATACTAGTAGACAACATACTTTAACTCAAACTATTTTATGTGTTTACTTTTTTTGACAGATTGATATAATATATATATATATATATCCGACTTTTTTTATATATCGAACACATTTTTCAAATTCTCAGTCTATCGTATGCTGACAAATTAAAGTAAATACAAGTACACTGATAGATCAATTCTTTTTGTTTGTGAAGAGTTCGTTTTATTCTTGACATATGGAGATAGTTACATACAAAAAAAATGTTTCTATTACATTTTAACTTGAAATTGAGCGAGATTGTATCAAGATAGGACTCACATGAGCTCGACTTTTTACATCGACGCTTATATACTTTTAATGTGATGAAGTTTGTAACGTAGTAATTATTGATAATCTAAGCGTAAATTGAGGTCATAAGTATTTGATACTAATAGATAGCAGAGCTTTCATAACTAAAGAGAAGAAATCGTTCATTTTAGTTGTTATTGTGAATATTTTTATTTCATTTTAGAAAATTAATGGGTTCTCAACATCTTCGTCAACAATTTTTATTAGAAAAAAGTTCATCAAACGATAACAAAAATAATTGTGATGAAGACAAAAAGAAGAACAAACATAGCCGTTCAAGTCAAAAAAAAATATTAAAATTATATTTAGAACAAGTAGAAAATATCAACAGTTCTTTATGTAAAAAAGACAATAATGAATTTCTATGTTCAAAACAAGTACACGTCAATAAATTATATGAATGTATTATATTGAAATTGAAGTTGATTAAAGACAATAAACATGCGACTATTGAACAAAAACAACTAGACGATATTGAAACTAATATAAAACAATTAAGAAATGATATTCAAACATTTAAGAAATTATCAAATGAAACAAATTTAAAACTATTATCGATTTCATTGTGCCAGTATCAGAAACAACACAGTCTTAACAGAATGGTTAAAATTATATTTCTTAGTCTGAACATACCAGCCGTCCATATTTTTTTGCAATGTGTCTTTCACTTTAGTGATATATATATACACATACGATTAATTTGTTAATTCTTATAACTTTTATAATAAATTTTATATAAAAAGCAAAAACAAAAAATACAGTGTTACATAAAACTCTGCATCTTTCGTGAATCTCAAAAACCATATCTTTAAACTTCAAATTTTGTATACAAACTTGATTGCATAGCTACGAAAATAGAAGCGATTGATTTTTATTCAATAGAATACTAATAACTCTGGATTCCAGACAGTTGAACATTTAATTTGTGCTAAAATGAGTCTGAGACGCCCTTCTATCTGTAGTGCATTGATTACTAATGCCGCTTAGAATCACAGAATATATGGATACTTTGTCACCATAGGTGCTCATGGTTATACTTTGACATAATTATGATGTACAACAAATATACACATATCATCGATAGAAAGATAAAGTTCATTTAAAGTCATGAAAAAGTGGTTTTTCTTATTCAGCACCTCGATAACCCAGAAGATTTTCTATTTCTGGCGAGGAATATGGCTAAAAGTTTAGGATAAATTTTTAAACTAAAACTTCCCATGAAAATTCTTTTTCGTCATTTTGTTTAAAAAATTTTTTGAAACTTTTAGCACTTAAAATAGAAAATCTTCTGGGTTATCGAGTGTGCTGAATAGAAAAATGCACATTTCCGTGACTCTAAATGAACTTTATTTTTTTCTTCACGTTTATATGATCCTAGAATAGAAAGGGTGGACTATAGTTCCTCTCACTATGTGTATTTCATAAACATGTAGAGTAGTTTGAGATAAAAAGAGACAGAAGAATGGGATTCTCCGAATTTTGGATCTATTTCAAGTCGATCGAACATTCTGAGGAGATTTTTGCATCAGCGTGTAGAAAATTAGTTTGATCGACAGCAAATTGTTTTCGAACAAAAACAGCTGAGAGCTAGCAAAAATATGGTAAAAATTTCACAAGGTGTCTGTTTTTACTCCTTAATACTCTCTACGCGTTCTCAATAGATTTTCGAAATCATACAATAATTAATCATCAAGAGTCATCACATGAGAATTATACCATAAATATAAAAAGTGTCATAAATCCATGTTGATCCTAAAATAAAGTGTTCATTCTACTTGAATCACTAGTTATAAGTATTCTGCTGAACAAAACTGACATACTTATATTGCACGAATCATACAGCACTATAGTCAATATTTGTCAATTATTCAAGTAGGTCTTGGCATATGTACAAATCATCTCGACAAAAGTGGATGACTGAACGTATTGTTACTTGGCGCATTAAAAAACAATAACATTTCACTGGAATAAAAAGAAGTCAATTAAAACCTTATAAAATTAGTAGTGTTTTGTTAGAAGTCTTTGAATGGATCCAATTATAATACATCAAATTAGTTTGTTTATTATTATTATACTACATTACACGTATAATCTTGCTTCATCGTCTAAATCAATGAAACAAACACGTCTAGTAAACAGTACGTTGATTAAACCGTGGTAATGTAAATAGGATTTCTATTTGTAATTTTTAGTTTCGTGCAGGTTTGATGATGATTGTAGACAAACCAATTCTTCCGATCGTTGTCCTTATGATTTCAAAGAATGTGAAAACAGTGAATCAATCTTTGTATTTGGGTCAAAATGCGATGAGGAATTTTGTCGTTTAGTTGGAGCGGGATGCGAAGAAATGATTGAATATAATGGAATTGATGGTTATCCTAAAAAAGCATGTTATAAACAAAAACGCGGTGGTTTCTATCAGTTTATGGTAGGACCATCACCATATTATTGCGAATGTTATTATGGTCAAGCGATACTGAGATTGTGTTATGGATCAATGGTGTTTGTGCCAGATTCAAATCCAATTAATGCTACTTGTATTAATCCATGGCTTTTAAACTGATGGACAACCAAAGGTACTCATGTAAATTTGCTCTTTTATCTATACAACGTTTGGACTTTGTCAATCTGTCAGTGACCGCATACCGTATAGTATTTACATGTACACAAGTGATACGAGACTAGACAACCCAAGGTTCGTAATAGCAAAAAACAAAAAGTAGGATAAATGTAGGATGTGTGAAACAAGGCTAGAAAACGTACGCGCTTGTCGCCACTTTGGCAGAAAGAGATCATCTGATCATATTTCATATACATTTGTTATTTTTTGGTGCATATATAAATTAAAAATCTTCGATAATTTGCACGATTTTAATAATCCAGTACCAATGTTAAATAAACAAAACAGTACAAACAGCAGGAAAGTGTAACTACTGTACTAATATATTTAAGATACGCGTTCAAAAAACGTCTTAACGACAAGAGAGCTTTGAAAAGCAGACGAGCATTTTTTCTCTCACATCAAGGGTAACGTTATTCATTAAAACAATGTTAGTCACCTATTTCTATCCTTCTTTTACTTTATTTATTTTTTATCAGTCAATAAAGGGAGGATTTTTGTCTGTAGATTGAGTAATAAACCAAAGAAAGTAGGAGAAGTAGGAGAAAATCAATAGAGTAGAACGTAATAAGGCGATTTTAATGAAAAATAGGATGTTGACCAAGTCTGACAACCATGCATAAAAATGTTTGCACTTACCTTATAAAGTGAAGAGAAATTAATGCATACTCAACTAGGAATTTCGTAGATATTAACAGTGCATACTCATACATGTTTCCGTTTCTCTCATAGAAATTATTCAGTTATAGACTTTTAGTTTTAGTCATGAAAATAGAATTTATTCGATAAGAAGCGAAGAGTAACAGCAACAGTAACAGTATTATTATTTCTACGTGAGAAAAAAGTGTTAATAATCAAACAGGTCCACACATCTTTTTAACAGTCTCATAAAAATCAACGGGTGTCGGTTTTAAACAACGTTCTTCTTTAATTGTTTTGTCATTTGTTATGCATCGCACTCGTTTACTCGTTGTATCACCTATACTGACAATCTATGAATGAGATAAAACATTGAAGTAGTAAAGCGAAACACTAATCATCAGACATCGATCAGAACTTACGCAGCAGTTTTCTAAATCAAGACCAACTTTTTTACTTATTTCGTATACATTATTAAACCCCGAAGGACTAAAAAAGCCCAACACATCTGGTTTCTAAAGCGACAAAATACGTACATATAGTTTTATGTTGTAACAACTTATTCTTTACTTTTTCGACAAGATAATCTTTGAGCTCGCTTTCTAAACTAGCAGATATCGTTGTACCATACACCGTAAGTTCATCGAAAGCAATATCTGACTTATGGAATAGAAAGAAGAAACGTTTAATCTTTTAGTTTAGACTAATGTTAAATCTTTTACTTGCTTGTGTTAAACGTTCTGGAAGTTTGTCATTGCGCATCTCAGCACAAGGAAATAACAAGCAAAACTTTTCGTCTCTATTCACGTCTAAATTTGTCAATTAGCAATCATGTTTTAGTTAAAATGCAATAAAGACTCTCCATCCTACCTTTGACAATAAATTCAGCGAGCTTTTCAGCAGTACCTGTTTCCGAGCCAACAGATTGAGCACAAAATAGTTCATTTACTGAAAGAGTACAGATATATTTTGTTTAGTCAGCCTGGATCTGAAAGATCAGCACACACCAAGTTTTGCAGTGGCTGGACCTTCGCAGTAAAGTTTTTTCTTTTTCCATTGTTCAATCAGATTTTGTTCATCTACAAATGACATGACAAATTTTTATTAATTCGACTAATAAACTAAATGTTGTACCTTTCAATACAAATTGCACAGCATCCACAGCACGTTTACTTGTAAAGATAATTCCGTAGTATTTTGTCCAATTCTTCATGAAAATATCATCAGTAAATTCTCTTTTTCTATGTCAGAAATATCGCACCACATTTACCTTTAAGTATTCTTTCAACAAACTATCATTGCAATATTGGAATTGTATCGGAGAGATCGTTTTCACATTATATCCATCATTACTCAATAACTACAATGAAAGAAGCAAGACAAATTGAATCTATAAGCTGAAATAAAGTTGCAACAGGTGATCAAGCGATATTTGTTCCTAACTTTTCCTTTACAAGACAAATAGCGGTGCTGCTATTCTATAACTTACTTTTTCATAATTATCATCTTTGTCATCATTACATTTTGATCGGAAGATTAGAACATTTTTAACCATTGTTTTAGTTTTAAGGCCAACATGTATCGTCGAAGAAAGATAAGAGCATCTAAAAAAAGAAAACAAAGAGATATTCTAACACAAATGGTGTCTTATCTGGCGAAATCAACATCATTTTGTAATAAATACTGTTCACAGTAATTTTGACGAAAGAAAACTTGGTTTAAGCTTTAATCTTGAACCAAAACGAAATCGCGAATATAGATTTTCATTATATCATTCTAAAACTTAAACTATCAAAATTCAAAACCAATTCTTGCATGAGCCTAGGATCGACCGCAAGAACTTAATGTTTGCAGACGAACTCCACAAATAAACGAGAAGTTCCTTTGGTAGGATACCAGTTGAGAAACATAAGCGCCTTAATTTTAACATGAAAAGAGACAAATTCAAAAGCAAATTTTTTTAATTTTATCTAAAGTATATTTCCTGACATAAACAACTTGACGTATTCTTTGCAAACGAATATTTGATGTCATAGACAGGGATCCCAGATCCAAAACACGAATATCAGAAAATAAAAGTCCAAAATAAGAAAAACCTGAGAAAAAGAAGTAGAAAATCAGTAGACCTTAAGACACAAAGAGCAGAAACGAGGCAGAAAAAATTCCAAAAATCAGAATTTTTCTGCTAAAGTCAGAAGATCTGGGATCCCTGGTCATAGAACTACGTTGAAGTAGACAAAGCACAAATAATTCTTTAAAAAGCTCCTTTACGCAATTTTATTTATAACTCGCAATTTGCCAGTTCTAAATGCCAGTGGCAAAAAGAAGGTTGAAAAAGCTGTGAACTCGTATTTGAAATAGATAACTGATCTATCTATATCATCCTTAATAGTTAGCTATTAATACTCTTTGTGAGCTATAACTAGTTTTCAAACAATCACAGTTCACTTATTTGTAAACTTTAACTTGACAAAAGAAACTTGGCGGCAAACACTCGAAACCCAAAAAAATTCAATTTACTCTCAGTAGTGCCTGAGGGGGACCAAAGGCACAAATTTTGGACGAAATTTTTTTCTGTTAAATATACATCATTGAACTCAGTTTGGGAAGGAAGTGAGGGTGAGTGGAGGAAGGTTTTTCAATTAAAAGTAGCTGCTTACAAAACGTTATTAAAAATAAATATGATATTCATAACCTACGTACAAAGCCAAACCGAATGATGTGATTTTCTGAAATAACGTTGTTTCGTCATAACTTCTTGCCCTGGTCGCCCTCAGGGATCGAGCGAAGTTTTTAGAATTTCTATTCAAAACCAAAACTATATTCGTAATCTACGTACGAAACTGAGTTCAATAATGTATATTTAGCAGAAAAAAATTTTGTTCAAAATTTGTGCCTTTGGTCCCCCTCAGGCACTACTGAGAGTAAATTGAACTTTTTTTGGGTTTCGGGTGTTTGCCGCCAACTTTCTTTTGTCAATTTATAGGTTTTAAGTGATGCTCTTTACGATGGAATAGTCAAAATCTGGATTCCTTAAGTTCCCCATAAAGTGAACTTGTTCCGTTTTCAGTCACTTCTTACAGTCACAAATCAAATAGCAGTGGACTAGTGCTAAGGCTTCGGAAAAAACGTCCAGAGCTCTCGAATCATGGATTTTCAAGATGTCGCTTGGATGTAGTTTTGTAGAGGACACTTCGAACTATATATCTATCAAAAAAAATTGACCTATTGCTAAGTCAGTTTCAAAGATCCAAGCTGGCTTCCCAAAGCTCCTATAAAAAACCGGCTTCGGAAAATTTTCAAATATCGGTTTTGCCTATGAAAATGTAGCGCCAAGTGTCTATTTTCCAAAACTAAAAACCGCAGATTTTTATCAGTTTTCTATCAAAAGTTATTCAAAACACAACTGAGGCTACTTAACTATACATTTGGATGAACAATAAATATCTTTCTTTGTTTCTTGATACGAAGAGAACAGAATACAGTTGGAGACTTAGTACATCAATAGAAACGCCATTTATTGAACGATAGATGTCATTCGGTGCTGCTTTGAGAAAAAGAAGCAGCGCAATCTACCATATCATTCCTCATTTTTACTCCTAAATTTTTATTCATCTAGTTTTTATTGCATTTCGTTTTATTTGATTATTTCCTTCTTTTTCGCAATAAGTACTGAAAACTGCATTACATTAAAATGCATGCAAATCGCGTGAACTAGCTGAAGATTGATGATGAATTGATAAAAACGATCGTCACAGAATCTTTCACGAGTTTTATCAAATTAAAAAAAAGTTACAAGAAAAAGTGAGAAAATCAGAGAACAATTAAAGAAAACATCCGAAATCAGCAAAAATTCTAAAAAACCTTATATTATATTCAATGCTTACTTCTTTCATTACTTCATTAAGAGCAAAAAACCGTGACGATCAAGTTTTTTGCTCTTAATGAAGTAATGAAAGAAGTAAGCATTGAATATAAGGTTTTTTAGAATTTTTGCTGATTTCGGATGTTTTTTTTAATTGTTCTCTGATTTTCTCACTTTTTCTTTTAACTTTTTTTAATTTGTACTAGGGACGATGGCTTCTAGAAAAAATACTGACGTAACACCTCTAAGTTTACGTTGAGTTTCTTCTATTAGCCATCCGGGACAAAAAAGAATAAAAGGACAAAAATTAAAAAGAAATTAAGCTATGACCGTTTCCTCTATGTTTCGAGCATAAAAACACTGATTTTGGGTTTTTTCTTTTGATTTCTTAACCCCCTAAGTTGGCAACCCTAGTCTCTATGATCTATTTATGATGATTATTTTTATATCGGCGAGGAAATTGAGAAAATTTATAGAAACTCATAGGAAGTATGCCAGTTTTTCGGGCTGTTGGTGAGGAATAGCCTTAGATTTTACTGAAAGCCTAGCCTTAAGTATCGCGTGAAACACCATTAACGTTCATAGTTGAATAAAAATTATTATTTATTATTATTAAAAAAATATTATTTTAAAAATTTTTTAGAGATCGAATTGTTCATAAATTAGAAATCAAGTTATTTCTATTTATTTTTCTGTTCTATGTCGAATTGCGATTTTTGCTTATTTTCATATTATTAAAGATATGATTACCTCCCATCGAGTCATTTAGCGAATAAAGGTTAGACTGATACAAATGTAGATGATCGTTGGACTGATGCAATTCATAGATTTGATTCATTAAAATTGAATCAAATCTATTACTTTTTTTAGCTTTTATTATGAGCTAGATGTGAGATTCGAGCCAAATCTCGTAAATACTTTTGTGAAAGCTATAGTCCAATGCTTCAAATGCATACAATAAATGAACATCTTTAGGATTTATCTAAGAGCCTATATAACAAAAATTGGCAGAAAATCTTCGATTAATCATGATTTTTAAACAGAATTTTTTCCCAACTAATTGACGATTTTTCTGAAATCATGATTAGTTATAAGAAATTGATCAATTTTCGTGATATAAGAGTGATACAGTTATATTTAGTAAAGAAGCAATTTAAGCTGATCAACAAATTTTAAAGCTTCTTCTCTTAAAACCGATTGCAGATTTGAAATAGTCGATTACATTATACGGAATAAGTTTTGGATCGAAGTGTTTCTGAAGAATTTTTTTCTATTTGTCTAAGAAATTTTTGAAAAAAATTTAATAGAGGAGAGTAAAAACTAAACGATATGATGAAATTTTTTCTAAAATATATCGACTCAAAATTTGTTCCGTATAATGTAATCGACTATTTCAAATTTGCAATCGGTTTTCAGAGAAGAAGCTTTAAAATTTCTCGATCAGATTCATATGTTTATTTTCATTTTTGTTTAATGTTATAATACTTAGATATTTGTGATACTTCGGAATGTCACAATAGTCTTTTAAGATGTTAATGAAAAAATAAAAACGGATTGATTATTTGATACACAGAAGACCGTTGTTGAATGTATTCTTATATAACGAAGGTAGCATACATTCTGATAATCGAAGACTGTGTGTGTATGCTAAAAATACTTTTAATACAGATTTCTCGTACCATTTAATTTAGAATATATTTTTAATGCTTAAATTCACAACATTTAATATCGATAAAAAGTGTTCCTCGGTTAGAATATCATTGTTCGTTTGATACTCATTAATAAGAATACATAATAAATTGGTAATCCTTTGATTGATCGATCAATCATCTGTTGTATTACCTTTGGTATTTTGAATACCCGACGTTTGGCATTGTTGTTTCGGTCAGCTTGTGTTCGATTATTATTCTGTTATCATTGTCTTTTCTTTTTATTTCGTTTACTTTTAAACCTCCCTCCCAAAGATCTTACGAAATCCAAAACAAATTCTGCGATGAGACGGAGATAGTCCATAACTGACACAGTCAAAAACAATGACACCGTTTGTGTTGCATGGTCGAGTAGGCTTACAAAACCAACTGCTTTTTTCTCGTCCTTTCTCTTCGTGTTTGAGATCAAGAAGTAATTAAATATTAAAAAATGCTGATTCCTATACACCCACAGGATCTTCTTTTCTCTATTTATAGCGTTATAACGCTATAAAACATGCTTTTTTTAAATTATAGCATTAGAACGCTATAGATTTATCTTATTACAACGCAATAGACGTAGCTTGTCATGTTATAACATGTTCAAAGTTATTTTTAAGGACTTTATGGCGTTGTAAATGGATAAAAATTTTCATTGCATTACAACTCTATAAAGTTATAACATTATAATGCGTTTCAATTTTTTATCTCGTTACAACGCAATTAGATTTGTCTACCGCCTTATAATACGTTAGATTCTAATCTATTATAACGCATTTGAACTTTCCACTTCAATATAATGCGTTATAATACCTTAGATATTTTATCTAATTATAATGCCATAAATTTGGAAAAATCTTTTATAGCATTATAACTCATTAGATAATGCATATCATATTATAACGAGTTAAGATCTAATAGATTACAATGCATTATTCTTTTCTATCTCATTGCAATGAGATAAGAAAATGGAACTCGGTGTAACACGATAGGTATTAATGCGTTACAACCAGTAAGACAATATCCAAAACGAAAATACATGGTTTTCTCGTAAAGGACACATTTCCATAAAACTCTGAACTGCCAATTGATTCCTCGAAATAAGATCAACATCTACAAGAAAATCTCCTTTTTTCAATTTTTTTTGTAAGAAATCATTATTTATTTCGTTCAAAAATTAAATGTAGTAATGATTTTGATAAAAACAACTTCGAATATCATGAACTTCGATAATTAATAATAGATAAATAAAATAACTTAGAAGCATAATAATCATCATTACTAAAAGAAAGTTTAGCAGGCATTTGTTACAATGCTTTTCGATAGATGCATATTCAAAAAATATGCGTGTACGACTACACGCAAATTCAATTGTGTGCAATGATATAACGATAACAGCAAAGTGTATGTATTAACAGATAAATATATTTTATTAGTCTGAAAAGAAGTTGAATTTTTTGTCCAGTTTCGCTTGTAGCTGATCAGAAAAATGAAAGGGATCATCATAGAAAAAAAGTCGGTACGGTTTTCTTCCGAATATTACGAATATACGCATACATCTTTCATGTGCACAATGTAAAAAAATCATTGTCTAAAATAAAAAAGTGATAGAACTTGGATTTGCTTACGTAATGAAGCCGATAATGTCTCTTATTTCGAAGTTCTTCCGAAGAATTTACGTACAAGCACTTGATTTTTCACTTGATAAATGCTTTCAACAAAGTGCTTCGTTTACAAAAGAAAACAAGCATTGCAATCTTAGCGAAGTCATTGTAAAAGTGCATGGCAGGTGAATAATTCTGAAATTATTTGCTAATTTTCTCTAAATATCTATCAAATAATCAAGTATTTGAATCAAGTACGTCCACTAGGATAATATTCATTGTAAATGTAGAGCATATTGCAGTGAAATGACAGATGGCGTACGACTACGATAAATATCATGTTTATTCATTTGTTTTTTATATCAAAAACCATTTTAAAAAAAGTAGGATGATATTCAGAGTATGCTGTGAAGCATATTTCTTAGTTCACGGACATTAAAAATAACTTTTACCATAATATCGAGAAAACAGATCGAGATAAAGCCGCTAGTTACCTTTAGTTCATGTAAATGGTCGTAATAGTAGTTAAGATTCTCGAAGTCATCCTAAAATTACAGTTTTTACTCAAAAAATCTAAAAGAAAGTGGGGTACTTCTTGATAAATCTGTCATAGTTCGATTATTTGTCATTATCTGGCTATGTTTTTTGTAGAAAAACTAACATAAAGAATGTCTCACCATTGGTACGCTCCTAACATGAAATGATGTGAATATCTCATTATATACGACAACATGTCTTGTTTAGAAGATTTACCCGATTTGGCAATATTAGAAATATTTGGGTATTTGAAATCAACAGAAATTATTTTGTCCTTTTTTGACTTAAGTGAACGTATCAATAATTTGTTGATTGAGAAACATTATTTTGAGGATGTTTGTCATTTACCATTGAAAATATTCAATTATATGTGTAATGATATTTTTCCAAAAATGGGTAGAGACATGTTTTCATTGAAATTAAGTGATCAAATTTCTTGTGGTCAGCTGGAAATCATGAAACAACACCACTTCTGTGAACTATTACCCAATGTAACGTCGTTACAATTGTATGTAGTCAACGTTCATTCATTAAAATACTATTTTGACATATATTTAGCTCAATTACATTGTTTAACGATTGAATATGATGGAACTAAAGTACCACGTGTATTAGGAGACTCACTGTTTAATAAAAAGACACATTTGAACAGTTGTATACTTATTGGTAATGTAGGCATTCATTTTCGTCATAATGAAATTCAAAAATGTTTTATTCAAAATTTAACATTACGTTTAGATACAATTATTGATCTTCTGCTTCTATTTGATAATCTACCAGTTCTAAAACGTTTAAATGTCAAATTCAACCAAAAATCTTTAGATTATAATGATCGAAATATTCGTATTATTGATACATACGATTATTCATCATTACAAATCAAACTTCCTCATCTACATGATTTTACATTAAAGACAAACTACAATTTAACTTATGAAATTTTTGAGATGATTATTAAAAATTTGAAATATTTAAAACGTTTACATCTTTCCTATACGAACTATGCAGAACATGGAATTACGGAATCGTGCCTTCGAAATACATTATCCCATTTAAAAAACTTAACAGAATTAAATCTTCTTTTACGAATTATTTATTTTTCAATTGATTATGATAAATTGAAGAGTAATGATGATGATAAATGGAAATTCTATTTTTCTATTAATGAAACTCAAAAAGAATATGTGCTTTATACAATGCCCTATTTTAATTCAACATTTTCAATGTCATTCGATATGTTATTAAATACTCCTAATTCACATATATTTTATTCTGTTAAAAAACTTAATTTATCCAATCACAATGAACAAATTTCATTTTCTCAAATAGCGCATATTTTAAATAAAAAATTTCCGAATTTAACTTGTCTTACATTTGGTTATGTGTTAAAATTATCCGATAGTGGATTATTATCAAATATCAAATTAAATAAAGTAATGAACGTTGATTTTATTCATAATACAAAATATTTTCAACAATTTATTTTATTGTTACCAAATTTGAAAGAATTAAAGGTTAGTTATAGTTGTCTAGTGAAATGTAATGGTCTTGAACAAATATTTAATAAAATTCGTCGATTAGAGTTATTTAACTATGAATTTATCACGTTAATTACTGTTCTATCCCATTTTTTATCGTTAGAATGTTTGTCATTACATTTAGACAAAGTTGACAATCATATGGAAAAAGAAGAGAAGTACAGAATATTATATCAAATAGTAGATGGTATGAAAACTTTGTACAGTCTAAAAATTAGTAGTAATTATCAAGAATTTCTATACTATTTATACAAAATGTTTTCGATTAATTCTCATATGATTGTTAATCTATATGATCAAACATTGTCTATATGGAAATAAGATTAGTTTTGTTTTTTTGCGTTGTTTATATCAAGTAGTCACATAAGCGTTTTAAAACTAGTTTTATTTGAGACGAAAATAAAGTTAATCTCTCTAGAGAAATAACATTAGAAATTAATGTATGAAGAACTTAAACGTACACTGACACTAAAGTCATCTAATATAGAAGCTTTATTAGCAAAAATTCTCAACACTAAACCTTTGATTTTGTTTCAAAAATTGTAAATTGATTGAATATAAAGAAAAAAATTATCAAGAAAAAATGTCCATTTTAGATTAGAAACGAAGAAAAATCTGTTCCAAGTCAAAGCGGATGATGGAGGCATACCCTTGCACTTAAATGTTCAGCAATTGTTTCAATTATTATTTCAGTTTCTTCATCATCACTTTCAGTGTTCTAAATGAGAAGCGAGAAAAACAAGTAGTTTAAAAGAACTATTTTAATAAGCTAAAAAGCAAAAAATTCAAAAACTCAAGATAAAAACCGTATCGCATGTTTTATATGAACCCCGCGAGAATACAAACTTAAACTTAAAAATGTACTTTTTAAGAATTCTGAGAAAAAAATTCCGAAGTTGCGGACTTGAGAGATAGGGCTGAAAATATTTTGAAAAAAAATGAAAGGGAGCTTTTCTGAGACGACGATTTTGTTTAGAACTCGATGCTGAATCTAACCATATGAAAATATGGGAGGCGGAAAAGTGAGCTTACCACTACTTGTCCGGTGTTGGATTAATTTCAATACCTTTTTTTCTATCCGTTCTACTACTAAAACCGAACACATCGCAATTCAAATAATCTGTGAGGATCTAGCCCATCAAATTATTGTTAACGAGTATATTTTCTAATAATTTAAAAAATTTCTTGATTGTTATCATTGTAATCTTCGCATACTTTGATGTAAAAGGAGTAGTTACAACTGTTTTCCGTTCTGAATGATGTGTTATAAAAGAATAATACCACTGAATTCCTGATTTTCCATTTTAAAGTGATTTATTTCTTTGGGTGCCACCGTTTCTCTCCAATCATAAACAAAAAACAATTTTAAAACCTGAAGAAATATTCATTTATAAACGTACCTGGAGTAAGTTACAACACTAACCATATAAATTTCTTCAAGGTCTGCAAAATGACTGGAATATTCAGCGCCATGAAATAAATGCTTGTAAAGAATGATGGAAATGTAACGTTTATATTGGAATATTGTATTTCTTGGCAGTAGCACTAAAATCATCGCCGTTAGAAATTTCTTTGAGTGCAAGTTTAAAATCTTCATTTGACTAACGAGGTACTAAATTCTTTAGCATTTTTTTCAGATCATTGATGAACATATCATTTCTTTTTATGAATTTAATCGGTTTAATTTTAAGCTATTAAGGCATTGTTATATTTTTGCCTCAATTTTCACGACTCTCGCAACACCTCTCATACTACTAGAACTTTTTCGTTATCATACTCATTTATGAAATATTTTTACTCACATTCTTTCTTTTGTTTTAAGTGATAGAAAACTCATTCGTCAAAAGAAGTCAGAATTCTTCAGTTTTTTTCGTCATGTAATCGAGCAGTAACAACTTTTCGTTTAAATAGCAGCTGATGAAAATACAGAGATTGTAACGACAGAAATTCTATACTGATATACTATTAATTGTATTGAGATAAAACTGTGACTATTTACTATTAAAACGTCAGATGGATTGTTTTTAAAAACAAGATCTTGGTAGATCGGTCCCTGTCTCTCGATTTGATGCAGTACTTTAGTTTAAGTTTAACTGATCAAACTGTATTTTTGAGAAATGTTCTTTCTCAATACGACGAACGCAATTGAATCTAATATTATAATAAGGTTTTGTTAACGTCGATGCTTCGATGGCATCATTATGTTATGAATCATACAAGCTCCTGTTTGATGCTTATCAGTCTATCTTCATTTAATTATCTATTGTGTGTGTGTATTAGTCATAAGATAGAAAAAATCGACTGTTTCCAAAATATCTCAACAACTACAGATTAGTTAATATTTGTCTGCTGAAAGGACACATATACACAATATATTGAACATAAAGTGTGAAAGAACCATATTGATCGGATGAACTGCTGATATAGAAGTGTGCGTGACTAAGTTTACTCTTGGCTCATTTTTAAAAGATCGAATATACTAAAAGTTTAACTTGGACTCGCGCTATAGCTGTGACATAGGGTAAAAAACATTTGGCATAGCTTAAAGAGAATTGTACAATGCTTACGAAAAGTTGAACGTTTTTATCAGTTGATTGCCAAATAAGGTTCTAGTTTAAGTTTTCTTTCAATTTCAATGGACAAAAGTCCGTTCAAAAAACAGGAGTGGTTATCTTCTGCACAGGAAACGGTGAAAATACACTTTTTTGTCCGATTTTTACATATATGATCGAGTTCATGTTACTGAACCACTCTGCCGTTTAGCATGTCATCAACATCGGCTTATAAACGGCAGTGAAAGCTAACTCCTGTCTATCCTCTACGATTTGCATGGACTATTACCTCAAACAAGACAAACGGAAAACACGACTGTTTTCTTTTCTTGTCGCAATTACTAATTAACCAGTCAAGGATATGTCTGGAGGACTAGCAATTTACAAGTCAGAGAGAGCTCGAAATTCTCTATAAGATAGTATAATCTTTAATAAGAAAGGTGAAACTTTGTCGTTTGAAAAAGTTATTTTACTTTCCTTCTGGCATTTTACCGGACTGTACAAACCGGAAATGAGAGATGTTCACTTGATAGAAGCTCTCTGAAAATTGATGAGTACTAATCAATTTTATTGAACAAGACTTCTGCATCGTTAGATCTGTCCACTTGTGAAGTATCGTCTTTTCCCGAGTAAAAATGATTCAGGTGCGCTCGAAATACTGTGAAAATAAAAAAATACTATCTAGAATTACCCAAACATACAGTTTGGCGATGATCTATTGACGACACTGTAGTCACCTCTGATCGCTACTATTGTCATAAATCGCTTGAAGATAAAACATTCGTTTATCGACGATGGTCGTAGGTGATGCTTCTCGTTAACATAAGAAATGAGAAGTAGCAACTGAGTAGGGCCAACAGAAAATGGAAGGAAAACGAGGACATTATAAATGTATTCGTATGTGACAAAGAAGTCTTCAAGATATTAAATCTATCAAAAATGCGTGTAGAAAACTGCGTCCAAGCGAAAGAGATATGATGATTTGGATACTTTATATCTTATGCATACTAGCTACATTAGATCCGTACATATCTTCTTACAACGTAAACTATATGTGTCAGTTTATTATGACTTGTATTATGATATTTTTTTGTTGTACATGTGTTTAAAATAACTGGAAAATAAAGAAAAACGAAAATAACTAAAAGGATGATGAAAATAAGGAAAACTTAAACAAATTTGTAAGCAGTAGAACGAAATTAATTGTAATCGAATATAAAAAATATCAAAAAAAAATAATTATTATAAAAATCTTGCAAAATCACACAATGAAGCAACAAAAATACGTGAAGTTGTCATAAATGAGTGTGAAAAGAAAAAAGAAGTCAAGTATTGGCTGCACACATATTCATTCTGAAGTGAGAGAAAAAAAATAATCTCATTTTAATTAGATGAATGTTATTTGCACACATAAACAAATAGAAAGTGATCTAATCACTAAAACGTCTTTTCACATTTTCTCTTGTTTTCGTTGTATAGAAAAATAAGTATCGACAAATAGGACCTAATTTTGATAGGCTTGTTTGTTTGAAAAAGATACGTAAACACAAGTGGAAATACAAGATTCTGTTCTGACTTTTTCTGTGGTATTTTTATATTTGCTTTTTTTTAATCATACGACTCTTAGGTAAAATTTATAAGATACAAGATTGTACAAAGGAAACAATAAGCGACTCAAGAATCTACTGTTCACCGGACAATGAGAATTACAAAAATAATTTTTGATTTATCTACGTAAAATGTGGGAGAAAAACGAAGTCATCAGACAAAAGAAATATGTGTTCTATTCACGATGACCATGCTGATAGTCAATAACACCGTTTTGTTTTTTCACTTGTGTTGAAGAAGACGCAGCACCATAACCATTTTTCTGTCGACTAGTTGTTTTTTGATCATCATCGGTTTTTGATTGTAATTTTGAACGTTTACGCTCATTGGAACGTGTGATATATTCTTGAATGTAAAAGTTAATAAATAGAATGAGCATTATAATCATATATCCGCCCAATAACCATTGGCCCCTAAAAAGTAAATTAGACATTGATGCTCGTTGATTACAAGTCAAACCTTATATTAAAAAAAAGCAAAATCAAAGCTTACCATAAAGGATATTCACATCCACCAATTATTCCTGCAAAGAGACAATATGTGAGAACAATCGTTAAAAAGTCATAAATCTCATTCAATCATTTTTTATTATTTTATGAGATTTAGATTATGTCTATAAATCAAGAAATACCTTGCATCGTATGAGTAAATATGAAGCCAAATTGAATCTAAATAAAAATAAAAATAAAGTCTACATGTGGAAAAAGGAGAAAAATTGTTAACAGAAGTAATTATTTACTACTTCATTCCAAAATATTTGTAAATTCTATTTTCTACATCCTAACAGCTGAAATTCTTATGTTTCCAAATGATATCTCTTACCAGTTGAGAAAGAGTAATGTATTTTTTCCACCACAATTTGTCACGTAATGATGGTATTACCGATAAACCATAATATGCATACATCATAACATGAACGAGACAATTTAATGTTGGTCCGAACCAAGATTGACCACCGGGAATCCAAGTCATAACGATCCACCAAATAATTAACATCGTTGAATGATGAAAACAGTGTAAGAATGTTACTTGTGTGAAACGTTTTCTAGAAGTACATAGAATAGTAATTGAAAAAAACTTACGCTAATTTTACAATTTGTCATATATTAAGAAGACGTCTAGTTCATCTTAATTATCCGGACAATATAACTCTTCACTACACTCGTGAAGAAAAAGAACTAAAAATCTAAATAAAAATGGTAACATCCTAACTTACCTGATGATCATAAAAACTGTGTCCATATATTCAATAGCTTTTGATACAAAATAAATCCACAGTGCACTAATCACCTGAGAAAAAATAAACAAAATGTATATGACTATCTGCACAATGATAATACTTACTTTCATTTCACTTGGCTTTCGGCTAACATTTAATTTCTGACACACCATACTATATCCACTCTGATATACACCGACTACAATCTAAATAGATGGAAAAAAATTTATTTTATTAACATTAGATTAAATAGTTCAGAAAACAACAACAACAATAACTCATTCGCTTGGCTATCTTGAGTAAAAAATATCACTGCTAATAAGAAATTTGAACAAACCTCTTCTAACATATATAAAGAGAGAATAACAAGGCCCAAATTATAAGCAATAAGTAAAGATGATGGTACTCGTATTGGTTCACGTTTTCGCATTATACGCGGTCCAACAGTAACAAATAATAAGTAACATATTGTGAGAAAAATAATACTGGACGGATCATTCCATAATAAAAACCAACTTTGTGTACGTGGATCTAAAATCAAAGATGAACAAAAATGTAATAATTTTACTTCGAAAAGAAATAAGTAATTACCCGCTTGTGTTAATGCATAGCGATATTTTGGAAAACGTTCTTTTAACCACTCATTTAGAATCGTCATGGCTGTTATTGACGATGTTCTTGTTACTATCTAAAATAAAACAATACACACAACTTTTTAAGAATCCAAAATCTGTTTTACTGATGGAACGAGCAAGATCAAAAGAAAATATTTTATATTATTGCCACAAACGATTTTTAATAAAATAAAAATAAAAAGCTTGAAACATTTGATTCTAAAAGATGAGAACTACGTGTTTTAGATGATATCATTAATTTGACTAACAATTTCTTGTGATAATGTAAAAAAAATCACTGTTGACTATATTACTACAAAAAGAAATAGAAAAGAATATGTTGAAGAGTTAAATTAGTCAACAGTCTTACCTGTAATCGATATCTTCTTCCATAATAGTGTTGAAGTCATCATAAAACATTAAAACATATTTGTTTTTGTTTAAATGAACGTGATAATAGATCCTGTTCGATAAGATATGTTTGCTGCTTTTGTATGATGTAAACTAAAAAGGTAAAAATTTTTAAAATGTTTTTTTACTAATTGACATTGATTATAGAATTTTTCCCAGTTGGGATAATATTCTCGTAACTGTATAATAGATTGTGCTTACATAGTGATTTATAATCGATGAAAATCAAAATTATTGAGCCCGCGTGGCCTAATGGATTAAGGCATCGGACTCCTAATCCGAAGATTCCGGGTTCGAGTCCCGGCGCGGGTGAATGTTTTGCATTTTCTACTTATTCAGAAACAGTCTTTTTATAAGTTATTTTTTCGTTTTCTCCTTATTCTGTTTAGATAAAAAAATTTTCTTTTCGTTTCTACTATTGACGTGTTATCAATTGCTCGCATATCAAGTTTAAAAATTTCAAAAATGTAGTTTCAAAGTTGACCAAGTTGTTTAAAATAAAAAATGACCTACATCAAATATCGAAGAAAATAATGCTGACCGTATTATTGACTCATTCACATTTGTTAATGAAATTTTACGTTGAATATTTTCATAGAGTAGAGAGTATCAAAGTAATTATAAAAAATAAGGAAAAAGAGTTCACTAGGAATTATTCTTAATTAAGTGGCTATCGCAACAGTCTAATATTAGTTTTGCAACAGTAAATTTTAGTTTTGCAGTTAACTGCAAAACTAAGTTCACATGTTCGAATCTCTATTCGTACAAAATTGATTTTGTGTTCTTTGATAGTTTTAGTTTAGAATACTATAATGGAATATTTTTCCGCTTGTATTCTGATAGAATAAAGCTTATACCAATAGTCTAATAATAGAACTAACTTGAAACAGTTGTACCATTTGTCAAAAATAGTTAGAATAATCGATATTCTAATCAAACTAAAATGTAGTTCCACATTTTGGCATACTTAGTATGTAGACTGTCGATAATTATTTGTTATATAAGAGAATTTCTTCAGTGAAGGAATGCACATAATGACAATAAACAGTGGTACACTCAGTTATGTGTTTATTGTTAACATCAAATAATCTCAGAGGATTGACAGATAACTACTTCATCATCGTGTACCATTATCAAACTATAATATCTAGGCTTACCTAACCAACACATTTGGTTGATTGCGTTGTATCCACTGAAATATTGTTTAACATATTTTCTCCTTGTTTTATAGATTAAACCTAAAACAAAACACGAAAGTGGAAAACTTTTCTTGTCAGTGACTAAAAGCAACTATTCAAACGTATGGAACTTTCAAAGGATATGCAGCTCACCAAAAGATATTCCTGTTAATGGAACACGAGAGAAATTTTACACTTTCTGGCGAGACGGTATAAGATCGAGGCCCCGGAACGAGGTGAATTTTTTGAAAAATTTCACGGAACGGTAAAGAAATCTCATATGGCTCATCTCTGAAATATATCTTTACATACAAAAAAATCTTCAACTAGATAAGTGAGTAATATGTCAATGAAGTAATGCTTGCTTAGAACAGTGAAATAAAAAATAAAATAAGAGCCGCGTTAAAGAACACAAATCTTTCTATTAACCTGCATAAAGTTTAAAAGTATGTGAACATATCGTTGTTGGGCATAGATTAAGATGATTTGCCATATTATTGTTCATTATTTTTTCCGTTTGAATACGACTCTCTGACTGTCTTCTGTACGCCATGACTATCCCCACTTTTGTTTTGGGAAGAAATGGTGCAATTATTCAAATAATCATTGGATAAATTATTATCAGTCGATAAATGTAATGGAGGTGGCTTTTTTTTTTTTGACGAAGCATTTGTTGACGCGGTATTTATATGAAGTCTTCCAAATGAATGTAAAAGATATAACGACAATAGAGTGGAGCTATTATTACTCATTATCTGCAATAAAACAAGTTGGCTAATACAAAGTCTACAGCAGGGACAAATATCGCAGCTCTAAGTCACATGAGCCGTGAAATTAGATATTAAAAAGAAAACAAACTTGTATCGTTCTGAACAGTCTGCCGCACGCTGTTCATACAATATATCGAAGAGAGCATAAAGAAAAACAAAAATATGATACTTAACGTCCTCCTAAACGATGAGATGTTTCGTTTATATATTGTGTGAAAGATCAGAATCCAAAAAGTAATGATGGGGGTAAGACAAAGTTAATGTTTCTGCTCATTCCAGCTTTTACCATGACTTCTTATTGATAAGAATATTTTCTTTTTGCCTTGTTTCTAGTAGTTATTAAACATTGAAGATGATCAGGCCATATTTCTTCAGGTTATTAAGTTGTCACGGTCATGAAGAGACGATGGTCAAGGTGCACTTCAGTCAAAAACAAGCCTACAAATAAATTTGGTTGAAGTCCAAAAATATCGAATTAACCAATAAAATACAAAAATTTGATTTTAACATTATATTTTTAGAATACAAGCGAAAATAACTTTATCATAGTATTCTGAAACTCAGACTATCGGAGAATATAAAATCAGTTTTGTACGTATACGCAATCAAATTTTGAGAAAAAAGTTATTTATATTTGTAACCAACAAACGGGCGACATCTGCTTCAGAAATTCTGTAAATGCACTGTTCTATACTATTTAAGTTGTGGCCAGTTTTGTTTATTATGGTCAGTGTGCGCTACGATCAAAAATTAGGCCTAAAGCGCTATATTTATCGCGAATGAGGTCTAACTTTCCATTTTAGCATACGATACCTTGATTGGGTGCTTACCTTGATCAGAAGTAAGAGGACACATTAGTCATATCTTCCATAGTATTTTCGAAATAATAAATGATTAGTTGCTAAACGGTTAAATGTTTTGCAGCAATGTCTGTCATATGGTACGTTTGAGGCATGATGCGTCTATTGAACAGATAAAATTGGGACTTTTTGAAAATTACTTACATTAATACATATGATTAAAATCTTTCAAACCTCATGGCCATGCATAATCCACCCGGAACTTAGTTAACCTTATAATTTTACATTAGAAAAAATCACGTTATCTTGTAAAAAGTCTTTATGTGGAAGCAACAAAGAGTAGAAACTCCACATACTCTCTTTGTGGATCTAAATGTTTTGTTTCTAAAATCCGAAGTATATGAGCAGTAAAAAAATGTTCTGTAACAAACAAAAGAAATAAAACTTGAAGACTGACACATTCACAAAGAAAAACGACTAAATCAAGTTGATTCAAACTCTTCTCTAAGAAATTCGATTTTGAAGATGTAAGCTAAATCAACACGACCCTAAAATGCAAAAGACAAATAAGCACTTATCATTTCTAAGTTAAGACTGTCATATAAGATTACTATTCTTATTAGCGCATCTATGATATCGTTCATTGTTTTATAAACCTTAAAAACATTTTGCCGTTTTAACCATTTCAGTAAGGTTTCTCCTTCTAGACATATTTGTGATTTTGATTGAGCCGTTGCTTCTACATAATCTTTACGTTTCGAACTTTTTTCTTGTTCATAAATTTCATGCATCAGTGCTGGATGAATATTCAGCGCTTCTGCAAACTCTCGTTTTCCTTCGTTTAACGCGTTAACAACACCTATAAAAAAATCAGATAATTTTTGTGGTTGTATGTTGATCTGTACAGGTTTGGACTGTGTTTGTGGTAGTTGAAATGCAATTTTAGGTAAACGAATACGAATAGCACAAACAAAATTGGCATTATTTAAATCACGTGTTATCAATCGTTCAAAAGCGGATCTAGCCATTGCACCAGGATCTTTTTTAACACCATTAATTTTGCCATCTTTGTCATCATCATGAACGGATGTTGGAGGCGTAAAATTTGTTTGTTGTTCTGGTGTCTCCAGCTCTGTAAAAAAGATAATGATGTTAACTAAAAGGTAATTGATACTACTAACTACTAGTAGACAAGTTTACATAGATTGATTATATAGTAGAGAGTGCTTACCTTGGCTACTTCTCGATGAACTTCTCGAGGTAATAACATTTGTCATGCTTGCTGAACGAAGCGTTGTAGAATGCGTTTGAATCATGTAAATATTCAATGTACCAATAAAATCTACATCTGTTTTCTGTCTGTAAATATCAATGGGATAAATGTCGAACTCTGCTATTACTGGAAATTGAGCATGCAATCGAAAACTAAGTTCGGTCTTTTCATGTACGTCAATGTTGCCTGCAGGAACAATGCTGACCTTGTTTTAGTGAAAAGAAGAACATTTTAGTAAAAGAATTTTGAAATGACGAACATTCTTAGCGTAGTGGATAAACATGAATTGAAGATAAATTAAACGGCTTACATATGTTCCTTCTGATAAACAAAATTGCACATATTTTCGAACATCAGTCGATTTATCCGAGAAAGTATGTTGCATTGATTGATACTGCGATTGTCCTAAGCGGATTTCATCGTACATACGTTCTAAAAATAAGAAAAGAAATGAAATGTTCGTCTATTAATGAATTTCATTACCAACCAGTATAGTTTCGTCGTTCCAACCAATCTTCTGCTAGTTTTTGCTTTTGTATTGGTACAATACAGAGTGCATAACGTGTAATATTATTTGGATCATGCGCTAATACACAACAAAATAATTTAGCCGATGCTAACAACCTAAATGAGAAAATAAATAGGAACAATAAGAATACAAACAGACTGTTCTTACCATAAATTTTCGGCTAATTTATCAAGTTTTTGATTTTCGTCGGACCAACATCTTATCAGTACCATTCGATCAATTAATTGCAATAGACCAATTGTATAAACATCTTTATCGTTTGTTGATCTTATTGTTGCAATATTATTAAAATTTTTCCATTTACGATTTTTATAACCCAAAATGATGATTGGCGCGTTTGTATTAGAAAATCCCTCAAGTCTCCATTTAAATGATGTAAGTTTTGAAGTATCTGTCGATTTACTCAAGCCCATCTGACTTATTGTTGCCATGTTTGTTACTCCAGAACTCGTTGTTGGTGTTGATGGTAAACTTGATGTATCGTCCAATTTTTCTTGTTCAAATTTTTTTCGTAGGTATGATATTTTACCTAGAGAAAAAAATAAGAGAAATATTATTCATTGTAATATACACGCTGAACACTAATTACCTTGTGCTTTTCGTCGTCGTTTTATAAAATCATCATCCGATTCAGAAAATAATGAAAAATTACGTGTCAATTGAACATTAATAAACACTTGTTGCTCTGATTTTTCTTCTTTGAACCATTGAAATTCAATTAAATCAGATACGGCTAATAGCTCGACACTATCAGTTTTTTGGTGAGCTTTAAAACATAACTTTAAACATAGTCTGAACATTAAAATAAAATGAATTCACACACACGTTGCGAAAATTGGCTAACTTTTAACAATTAATTGCGATTTCAGCAAAAATGGTCTATTACTCGCGATCTCTATAATGAATCACAAAAAAAGCGCTGATAACTTTAGATTAAACGATGACTTTTGCTGAAATTGTAAGCATAACCGTCGATTTTACTGAAATCGCGATTACTGATAAAAAATTCTGCTAAAAAATCGCGATGAAGTGCACGATTAATCAGCAATTTTTGCCAAGGTTGACGAAACGGGTACTAAGTTACGTACACTGCAGACACCGGATTAATTCACTGTTAAACGGAATTATTCGAACTTTTGGTGGTCGTAAAAAGACATTTTTTTCTGTTTCAATACGAAAAATCGACGTAGGTTCATGAGTGTACACTGATAAACCACCTTGGTAAGAAAGAAAAAATAATAACAACAAGAAGTTCATTGTGGAACTAACCTTCGTTGAATACGTTCAAAATGTCAAATGGATATAATAGAACGGCTTCAACTGAAATTTCACTTAGTGCATGTGTGATACGAAATACGGCATACGATGTTTCGTCATGGTTTTGAGCAATAGCTGGTATATTAATCAATGGCTCCAAAATTTGTTCTAAATAGCAAAATATGCTTTATTACTAAATAGTATTGGTTACCTGCAAGCTTACTACACCGAATATAAATTTTTTGTTGTTGTGTAGATGAGTGTTGTGACGGTGGAATTTGAAAACACGGTAATGCTATTATTAACTGATCTAAGAGCAGATAATACTATTAAAATCATCTCTGTTCTTCTCATTATTCGTGTTTATACCTATTGATGTAATAACTCGTTTGAAATGAATATCATACGTGTGAGAATACTTTTCTGATGCATCGTAGGTCGCTTGATGTAGCAGATGACGTGGATTTTCTGCACATATTATATTAATATCGTTTCGTTTTAGTTGGCCACGTATACATCGAACATGTATGTACTGTTTTATTACGGAAATTGTATTAATTGGTGATATTTCATAAATATATTTATCGTACAATGGAGATTCTTCAAATAATCGTGTTGGTAAACGTGGCGATTTTTCAATTTCATGATAACGTTCATTTTGGGGTAAAACAGATTTTGTCAATAGTTCACTCAAAGTTCGTAGTTGTATACGCAATCTATCGGCTCGTTTCAAATATGAAGATGCCAATCGACTGTACTGCACACGACGGTTATATTCTAATTTAATTTGTTCATGATCTGTCGTTGATTGTGTATCTAACAACGAGCTGAGAGCGCCATCAGGAACAAATGAACTATCAGGCGCATACTTTGTGAGATTTTCTAATTCATTTGATGTCATATCATATGAACTATATCGGATATTTAACCCGAGAACAATAGCCGAACGACATGCCGCACAAAATAAACTTAATTTTTCACCGATTAATTTGGAATTTAGCAGTTGACTTTCATAATGTGTTGTAATACGTTGAGCTCGTTCCGATTCAATTTCAAGATGTTCTAACTCTTCACTTAAATTTTTCAATGCTGTGTCTAACTGATCAACATCTATCGTTTTACGCATATCGACTAGATTCTTCAACGCATTTATGGTATCACGACGTTGTAGTGTCATCGTTTCTAATTTATCTTCATTAGCATCAAAATGGTATTCATTGGTTAATGAAGGAGATATTCCGAGGCCACTGCTACTTGAAAACGCTTGAGAAATTTTTTCATCTTTTTGATTTGCTGTTGCAAGTCGTACACTACTCGTATCACCAGGACGTCGTTTGCTTCCTTGAAGTGAAATTTCATGTTTATCGTTCGATGATTCACGTGTCGGAGGAAACGATTGTTCGGCAAAGCGTAGTGATCCTCGAGGAATCGAATTAGTGAGATCATATGATGGTCTATTGACGGTTTCAGCTAATATTGGATTGGAAAACGGATCGAGAGTAGGATCAAAAACAAGTGGTGGGGCTTTTGGAAAATTACGAGCATCATTCGCATCCATCTTAACTTAGTGCATTTTTTGATTCATTTAGAGTTGATAACAAATTACAGAAGTATTTGATGGCGCTAAATTTTTAATTTAGCATATATACTCAGTGAATTATGAGATGGTTTTCATGTGTATATTAAATATTATTCTCTTACAGGTTAATCTTATCTACGCATGTAGAATCGAATTCTACAATTTAAAGGCTTGTAACTCCAAATGCATTCTGTTAGAATCTTGTCCTAGTGAAACTTCCTGTAATCGATTTTGAAAAAAATACCAGGTGGTCAAGATCTTGTACGGAGAAATCTAGAAATCTTGAGTAATCTAGTCAAGTTGTTTGAAGACCTTGACACAGTAAATTTCTTCAACATCTTGTATAAATTTCTTTTTACGCTTTCTCTTTGTATATGACAGACGTATAGCCAGCAGATATATGATCATATATTGTCCTACACTCATCCTTGAACAGCTATGTTTAGAAAGAAAACGTTTCAAGAGAAAAGTTCTGAGTACGAAGATTCCCTTGACAGTTGACTAGACTAAGTCACACACATCTGGACTTTTAACACATTGAGAATTGTTTTTTTTTTGAGCTGAAATTATTAAATTTAGATTATTGAAAACCAAGAAACACTTTAATGCCAAAGATGATTGACTAAAAACGTCAAGGAACATGTCATTATTAAGTCTCACTGGTGCCTGTAATCGGGCAAAGGTTTTCACTCATGAGCATCCTTCCAGCAAGGATCCAGTGATTTGACGATGAGCGTTGCTAATGGGTGTCTCATAAAAAATGAGTCATTTTGCATTTTGCTTATATCTCTGTCAGGGTTTATCCGTAACAATTTCTTTTTTCAATAGAAGAACTGTCGTAAAATTTTCTATAAAACATTTGATTTTTCTGTAAAACGAAAAAGAAAAAAAATTTCTTATGTAACCAGTTGTAGTGGGAGAAAAGTCTAATTGCATATATAAAAAATAGAGCTTTTCAAACGCTATCAAATGGCTATCTAGAATTTTGTATATCTCATCAAGCAAACGAATTAAATCGAAAAAACCGTTTTCTGATTAGAAGATTAACCATTTCTTAAACAATGTGTATGGTCGATACAATTCCGTATTACTTTATCGATAAACTTTTGTGCTTTCACAATTTAGAAAACACATTCAGTCAAGGTACCGTGAATTCAAGATAAACGCTGCTTGTAGTCATAATATCTTTCTTTAGTTGAAATTTTAGACCGAAGCACCCTCTTTCTCTCAGACACGTAAACCGTAGTAAAATTCCTATGAGTTTCCTGACCGGATCCGAAACATATCCCACCAATGTCCTGTTAGGATTCGCTTTAATTTCTTAAAATCTTAAAATCCTAACAAAAATTCTACTCGACAGAAAGTGCGTAGGATTTTGCCTATGAAACATACACATTGTCTAAGAAACGTCGTAATGCTTAATTTATTAATTGTTTATGATAAAAACTTTTGATCAATGCGTGATTTGTCTTCAATATTAAATTGCAAAACATCATAACACTGGAAAAGATCATTCAGATTTATTTTAACACACAGATGAAAAACAGAGAAATAGAATGATAAAATCATAGTATTTCCCTATATTTTAACAATTATTTGTTATTTATTTAATCAAAATTCTATTCTTATTTAAATTTTTACAATTTGCGCAGTTGTACTTGCTTTTATATTAACTGTATTGTCTTTGTATCTTCGTCAAAACAAATAATTCAATAAAAAAAAGAATAAAATTAAATTAAAGAATACATCATCTTCCGAAGTAGATAGACGGGAGAAACTTAATGCATATATCGTGAAGAAAATTAATGTAAAACTCAATGATAATATTTTCGTATAGAGAACGATAAATATATATTATGTAGAACAGACATGAAATATGTACTATTGAAAATTTACACGCAAGTTGGTAACATATAATAGTTGTGTGTTAACAATGATGGTCGCAGTATGTATTTTCTTTTAAACATATATTTAGCATACGTTGAACACTTTCACTTTTAACATCATCTTGTAGTGAGAATGACTTGAATTGTATTGTATGAACGACTTTTCTTCTTGCCATAGTTAAATAAAGTTTTAATAATAAATTAATTTTTTAAAATAATTATTTAAAAGTTGATTAATTAAAATAGAAGCAGAAAACGATGTGATATAGTTTAATATTCATTTGATCAACTATTTGTAATACATGAAAGTTTTTATGCACGATTTCGTCATCTGTCAAATCTTATTTATAGATCTCCTGTATTGAACGATTATAGAAAAGATTCCCTCAGAAATTTTTTCATTAAATAGACGATATTCTAATAAAATTGACAAAAAACAGATATTTTCTCTCTTATGAATAATTGGTATTTACTTGAAAAAACATGAAAAAAAGAAAATAAATGAAAAGCAATTACATCTTACTTTATTCAATCTACGCATCGTTCCATCATCAATGAGAAGAATAAAGTGATAGTTTATTACATCGAAAACAGTAAATTTTTTTCTTCTGATCTTTTTATCTTCTTTTTTGGAACAACAATTACAACATTTTGAACTACGCTAACTTTACAATTATTTCTCGATAGGATAAGATATTTTGATCAAGTAAATAATCTTTTTTTATTATTGTTTTGTTCACTTAAACAATAGATCAAATTACTTTTTTACCACTCTGTTAAACAAGGACTTCTTCAATATAAAAACAGATGACAGTATGAGTATAGATATTGATGTAAGTACAATTCTTTGTTTTTTAACCGCCTAATAAATACATTTTCTGCTGTTAACATAGACAAAAATGTATTAAATATTTTTTTTTATAAAAAAAATGCTTGAGAATTTCTAATTTTAGTGCATTTATGAGAGTTAACAAACCATTCGTTTAATTAAATTAACGTCTACCAATATATTATAATAATTTTTCAAATAACTATACTCTCTCCATTTGAATAATTAGCTTTAACAAGTTGGCTCTTTTCAGAATCGTACATAGCACCATATATTTAGTGCATTAACATATGTTCGTATTTTTAAATGATACATACGTGTTCATATATATCGAATACTTTACGTATTCGAATGCGTTGAACTTGTCTGACACATTAATAGACTTTTATTTCGAGATAATTGCTCCATCCAGACAAAAAAACTTTACGGCGGATCTAGCTAAGAACTCATTATATCATTATTTCGTACCAAATGTCAAAGCTTCCAGGTCAAGTCTAACTGATAGTTAGTAATACAGAAATAAACTATTAACTGTATGGCTAAAAACAGGCTTTTAATACGTTTTAAAATGTAAAAAAAAACGGCTAGTTACTAAACACCTTATCATTTAATCATTGATAACGGCTTGAAAAATCCCCGATCAATACTCAAAGTCGTATCATCTTCAAATGGTAATTAATTGTCCGTTAAGAAAAAAAGCAGAAAAACAGTCAATTTTGTATTTTTTTGACAGTTTATCAATAAGTAAGTCACTCACTCTTTTGTTTTGCTGTCTACTATATATACAGTTCACTTTTTCATTAAAACCCTGAAGTTTTTCTTTCCCTGGACTATACGCATTATCAAAACTTGTATCAGAGAATTGGTCACTGATTTTGGGTTGGTTTAAACTATATTTATTATAAGATAAGCTTCCTGACACTCCCTGCTAAATCGACTCGCCATTGTATAACAAGAAGTGCAAGTCCACGATGTCATACGTTACCAGTAACAATCAGAATGACAATTAAAAATAGAAGTAGAAACAATGAGTAAACAGTGAACTAGAAGAAAGTTAACAATAAAAAATAAAAAATGTTTATCTAACGAGGGAACGTTTTGAAGTGATACCACGCTTTTAGATCGAAATCTAGTCAGTTATAGGTTATCGACCATGCTGATTCCGAATATCAATGTGAGACGGACCGCTAGGCCTCAGGAGATTGTTTTTTTGGAAAACTAGTTTTTCAGAAACTCTAAAAAAAAACCAAAACCTTTCTTAATGAGACATGGTTGTAGTCCGCAAATTTCTGATTAAAATGAGACATCTTCCAGCTCTACACAACCTTTCTTTGCAAAGTTAGAGAATTTACAAGAAAAGTCCTGAATGTTCATTGTCAACTCAAAGCTACAGAAATAAGAAGAAATTAATTTATGGCTTTTCTTGTAAATTGTCTAACTTTGCAAAGAAGCGTCATGTAGAGCTGGGAGATATCTCATTTTAATCAGAAATGTGCGGGCTACAATCATGTCTGATTAAGAAAGGCTTTGGTTATTTTTTACAGTTTTTGAAAAACTAGTTTTCTAGAAAACCGGATCTTTGAAGGCCTAAGAACCACCCACATGATCATATTCATAATCAGCATGGTCGATAACCTATAACCCACTAGATTTCGATCAAAAAGCGGGGGGCGGGTTTAAAAGGGCTTTTTAAAATGTGTTGTCTTAAAGTCACAACGCATTTGACAGAACGCGACGTTGAAAGCAAATAATAAGTTTCGAAAATGTTGCTCAATATGTTTTCCTACAAATATAACTAAAACTTGATAACAATAGAAAAAAGATCTGATTATTTTAGTAGAACGCGAGTTTGTGCGCTAGTTAACGCATCATGACAAAAACTAATCTATAGCAAAATCGTTATGAAATTCACGTGTAAGAGTGTGTTCTACAGAAATAATTTAGACGTTTAATTAAAATAATTTTTGAATAATTAACATGTTCTAAGTCATTTTATTGCTTTGAAACTTTACAGAATCAATTTTAATGCGTACGAAAACGATTTTTGGTTTTGTTTTACCTAGTATTGAATATCAAAAAATATTTCGTGGAAGTTAAATAAACCAGTTACTACAATAGAGTCTGATTATGTTTTCAGAGCCACGATCAATGTGCCTTATTTTATTTCAGGCAGCTCGACGCTCTCATTCGCGGGCGTCTGCCATTATATCCGCATCACCACCAAATAAAAATTCATTAACATTTGAGAGTGTTGTTTGTTCGCAACTCGAACTTAAACGGCGAGCTCAATCGTTTAGTAGTCGACGAAGCACATTGTATCGTCGAAAGTCCATCATGGCCACAAAAAGACGACAAACTCAATATAATAAAACTTTAATCGATCCTCCAAATAAACCTCGTCGGACAACGTTACATTCACCATCACAAACGAGTCTAGCATCAACTGCACTATCAGCAACAACGACTCGAACTACAAATACTACACGAAATTCATCATCAGTTGGTATTCCATCCGAAATAACGTACAATTTATTGAAGAGAGAAACAAAAAATTCGTTACCGATGATTTGGGATCCAAAAACAGCAAAAAAGGTGCGCTTTCATTGTTTTAATTGTCTTTCGTGACGATTTATTAGTAGAGATTCTTTTTGTTCAATCAGTTGGATGAATCTCGCGCTTCAAAATGGTCAATTGATTTTCCAAAAGATGTACCTCATTATGGAAAATTGGTTGCTCGTTTAACAGAAGAATATAATGATTCAGAACATTTATTCGAATTTGCTCGAAAAACCGTTCTAGTTTTAATGAGAACAAGTAAGTATCGATATTCCCATTGTTTTCAAAGAGACTTCAGATCTGTTTTCATTTTAGAAATTGTTTCAATTTTTTTTGGAGTATTTCTTATATTACCAGTAATTATGATTTGCGTGGGTCAGAAATAAATATTTTTCTCCCTCATCATCTGACAATTCTTTTCTCTCTAGGTGTGAGCCATCTAAGTGACTGTCCAAAACAACCGAATATTCCTATTTATTTATTTGTTGCTGGAATTGTTTTTACCGTTAAACTTTTACAAAATCTATGGCATAAGTATCGTTTACATCAGAAAGAACTGTTAGATGAAGAAACACCAAATCGACATGATGGTCTATTTATTGATATTCTAATGACATCATTTTTAGTTGTATGGTTTTTTCTTGGACATTACTGGCTAAGTACCCTCGGATTTCCACCACAGTTTGAACCACCATTAAAACAACCGGATAATTGGTGTAATAAAACAGTCTACATTGTCACACTGGTTCAAGTTGCATTCACATATTTTTTATTTATATTCTTTTTTGTTATTGTTTTAACACTAATTTTATTTACACGACATACAATAATTAAAAGAACAACAAGATAAACATAATTTTTTGTTTGTAAATTCTCATTATTACTAATTTATTCATTGATAATGAATAATTAGAGCAGTAAGTATATTAGTTAAGCAATAAATGACGTCACTGTAATTAAAAACAAAATGATATATGACTAGGGAAAATTTAGAAATTAATAACAAGATATAAACTCGAACAAACCGTATTTTTACATCAATCGATAGGTAAGATTCAGCCATGAAATATTCCTTTTTTCCGGTGGAAAATAGTTGCAAAGCTTCAAGACTACTGAGAAATTTTTTACCCTGATCATAATTACCTCAGACTACTCTACACTCCTGTTTATCTCCACGCATAAAATCATGTAGTAGATCCAAAAGAAACAAGATCTAGGTAGATGCGTTCCTGTCTCGCTGTAATGCTAGAGTGTAGAAGGTAGTGAAGTTAGGTAAGTTCGGATTCAGAGTAGTTTTCGAACGAATTAGCTAGTATTCTGCACAAACAATTACACTTATATTATAACCGGATAACACTTTATTTTATTATGTACATTACTATTAATAAAGACAAGTTTAATTACATACACATAGACACTGTATCATTTGGCGTACGCAATACACTTAATCGTGACTCACATACCATAACGCACATCGTCTATCGAGAATCACTTAATTATCGTAAGTGTGCCTATAACTCAGCTCATAAATAGAATAATAACTATGGTGAAAAAAAGTAATATTTACGATGTAACTCCCGAACTATCGCTCGAATAAAATTTCGTCTGTAGAAAGGGACCATCTACATACTATATATAACAAACGTAAAGTTTAAAGGAACCATATTGATCGGACGAAGCATTGATAGAGAAGTGTCTGTAACAAAGATTTTAAATTGTCGATTTTACTAAAATCTTAACTTGGCCTCGAGCTATAGCTGCGAGACAGGGTAATAATAAAAAAAGATACGCTCTTTTTTCTTTTCTGCTGTACGATATATACCCTCAACATTAAACCAACTTTGCATAAATCCCATAATCCTCAACATATAGAGGAGAAGTCTAGAAAATTCAAGTAAATGCACATAATTGTTAGGAAGCGTCTATCGATTGAGCACAATGCTAATATTCCATTAAAAAAAACTGATTTTTTTTAAGGAAAAATACCAACATAACTTTCATTGCATCATCACTTCTCGTTCCACGTCATGAAATAAAAATAGGCCGGAAAGGAAAGAGAACCATATATTCTTTTCATTTGGACTTTTCTTTTAGGATACGATTATTAATCGTATATGATCAAATAAAATGGTGTTTCTTTAAAAATTGATTAAAAATATCTCAATGTCATAACTTGACATGTCCACATATGTTTTTTCTTCGTATAACAATCAATATGAACGCAGGAATATGATAGAATAACTCATATCAATGTTAAGAAAAAAGCAAAGTTCGTTTAGAGTCGTGAAAAAATGCTTCAAATGTTCAGCTCACTCGATAACCCAGAGATTTTCGATTTTTGGCGAAGAGTAGTGCCAAAAATTTAGGAGAATTTTTCGAACAAAATGGCGAAAAAAATTTTCATGAGGAAATAATAATAGTTTTAAGAATTTTCTTAAACTTTTGATAATACGTCTCGCCAAAAATAGAAAATCTTCTGAGTTATTTCTATTGTGAATCACAAAAACACAATAATAACCTGTGAAATATCGCGATGTCAACAAATGAAACTTATTTCATAGAAGAGAAAAAAAAGACGACAAAAATTGTTGAGCGCGCTTCTCTCTTGTCAAAATGATTACACCATGTTGTCAAGGTGATTATTTTGTTGTGAGTAGGTGACATTACAACTTTCTAGGAAAACGAATTCACAGATAATAAGGATAGATAGTTTAGCTTGGAAATAATCTTAGAATATTATTATCCTGCATACAAAGAAAAAATAGTACTTTTAATAGGAAAAATATTTGGGGACAGTACCCAACATGCATGATGATGATGAACATATTTACATTTGTTGACATAAAAAGATATTAGAAGACAATGACGTAAATATTTCATTTATTCATGAGAAAAAATATGACTAATCGAAAACATTTAACAACGTTAACATTTTATGTTGATAACTATCGTGGTGGTGATCACAGTAGAAATTGGAAATTTCTAACTAAAAATCATCCTCCGCAACAAGAAATTGTGTTAAAAAGGGAGAAAATATGAAAATAAAACGGAACGAACAACAATTGAAAGTAAAAGAAATCAATATCTGTATACAGCAGCAAATGGCTTTAAATCAAAACCACAATACATCGCAACCCTTGTATTACAGAAGTAAGAATTTAATTATTAATATCATATTGAATATTGAAAATTTTTCTGTAGCGCTACTATTCGATTCTACTATTATTTGATTACGCACGACAGAATTCCATTAGGTGTCATGAGAATCATTGCATTAGTTTTCTTAAAAAAGATGTTCTTCACAACTTAAATCTTGTCTTTGACGTTCTGCTTAACTTTTACTATGATACTAAAAGCTTAAGTAGACCTTTTTAACTTAAAATATTACTATTAGCTCAAGTTCTTGTGTAACTTAAGAGAGTAACGCTAAGTGTGTCATCCTAACTTCATAAAATTCTCTCAATTTAATTTAAAAGAGACGAGGTGTGAGAAATGGTATTAGTGCGCCAGTGGCATCTTCAAACAGCGCTGAGTTATAAGAGCATATTTCTTCAGAGAAGAAGAAACTTATTCCATTTAATGACCAACTATTCAATCGATAATGATGTGTTATCGTCTTCAGCGATATCTCATCCAAGACATATCGAACACCATTACAATATTCATCCAGTCAGTGATCCAGTAAACACAGACAATAGCAGACTTAAATTAATTTTTGATTACATTACGATTCACGCCGCTAGATGTTTCTGCAATGTTGATGCCAACATCTGTGCATTAGAAAAACAAGTATTAGCCGAATTATCTTCAGAGTCTCTTATCCGTTGTTACACCAATTTTCGATTTTCTTACGTTTTCAATAGATCGTAATGGAATAGACTCGATAAAACAAAAATACAATGATTATTCCGACTTTCCAAGATGTACCGTGCACCTTTAGTCTGATTAAAATATCAGAGGAGAATGACGTACAAAATATCAACCGAAAAATCTTCCACTCAATTGTCAAATTGTTAATGGTGCAGATTTATTAAATTAAAATGCTCTTGTGTAATGGTTTAAGTGTTCGTTCTCACCCTTCATTTATATTAAATCGATCAATGAGTGGTGAAAAGTTGAGTGATTGTAATGTGGATTAGTCTGGGTACTTCCATAGCAAAAAATATGCTGTTTTGTTTGTTCTCTTGACTGTAAAAAAATGTCAAGAAAGTTAATCTTGGTGCGAATGCGCACAGAACTTCAGGAAGTCTTGAAATAGATGTAAGCACTTCGTACCCTGTATATCCTAAAAGAAGGAAGAAAATATGAACTTATTGTTTGAACGTGTCGGTTTTGAATGGTCGAATGAGAACCACGAGAATCTTATATTTTTTAAAATATCTTGCGTGGAAGCCCGTCTGTTGCATTTTACGAACTAAATGCGTTCTTCTAACTCAAAAACAAATTGCACCGTATTTCTACTGAACACTTCTGTTTTCTTGTAAAAGAGATTTATTGTTACAAAAACGAATGACTAAGACAAGGAAATAAATATCACACACACTCTTTGATGGATTAGTTTAATAAATAAATAGGAGAATATACTAACCATCGGGAAAAGAAGCACGATGGCCAATTTCTAATGTGCTGTTTATATGAAACAGGTGAACGTTTTATGATAGAAGCCTTCTTTCGATCAGCCTTCACTATGTTTCCTATCTGAGAAAGAAGTTTATCGACTTATTCAATAAAACTATGGTGTTCTCTAATTTGTGTTTGTAGGTAATTGCACCTTGTATATCGAATAATTCAGAAAAAGATACCTTTCAACCTTTTTGATTTTCAATCAAAGTCGGTACACCACTCTGTTGATTGTATAGTTTTTGACAAATCATGTATCATTTTTAAATGTTAATCTCATCTGAGAAAAGCGTAGAAAACGGCTTGGACTAATTTTTAAAATTCGCTTTTGTTTTTGAGATAAATGATGATTTCAGCAACTCAAAAACAGACGTTTTTGAATTATCTTAAAGCAAACACGATCATTGCGGCTATTTCAAAATCTGAGAAATTTTGTATGAACAGCTCTATTCTGCAGTTTTTATCGCCTATAATTTTCCAACATCAACATTTTACAATGTAGAAAAAAGATTTATACCAGCTCCTTTGGTGATTGAAAATTGCTTCGGAAGTGTGTTTGATACAAATAAGAATGATCTCAAATGGTAAAACAGATTTACAGAAAAGCCAGATTCTGCGGTAACAGATGCTGAGGTAACAAAAAGCCAGCTTTTTAATGTAGAAAATTAAAGCCAAAAATTTAAAAGATTCTCAGTTTCCCTCTACAGCTGATTGTATTCTGACTTTAATGAAAAATCGACTTTTGAGTTCATTATTATGGGTATTTTTATATCAAAAATGCCGATATTTTGCTATCATGCGTCAGTTATTTTCATCTGACGGTTGAGGAAATGTTTAAACGGTTCACAAATAGGCAGTTAGAGTGATTTGAAATGTTTTACGATTCTTTGAGAAATAAATAACAGAAATAGCATTCACTGGACCAGGATAGTGGCAAAAGATAATTTAATGAAAAATATCAAGCTCTTCTAATCGAACGTTATTTTTATTTCATTTTAGACCATCGTGATGTCATGAACGCATTACAAGTGGCTGATGATGAAAAAAAAACTTTTTATGAAAATAATTCTCAGGTAATGCACGCCGAACTAGAAATAAATCTCAATTCAATGATGATGAACGATCGAGACGTTTGGTCACTTATAGCCTTAGATCATTCAAGTATGAGTGAACTTGTTACATTCATTTCTCCGCATGAACAACAATGTGGCATGATGCAAGAAACCTATTATTATTCAACTCAATCAGATGATCAGTACCAACAGATTTCTCACCATCAACACATACTTGTGTTGAGAAATGCCAAGGTGAAATACATTTGTTCAACTCCAAAATGTATGAAACAACGGAAAGAATGGACAACAGCTAGAGGACGTGCCCTGTTTCTCTTCGAAAATCCATCATTCCTAACATCCCAGCATCTCATCGTTTATCATTTATTCGAACAAAACTGTAATTTGTGTCATCAAAATGTACAGCCAAGCTGGTATTTAGATGAAACATGTCGTGTCATACGAGAGATAGCCCAACTGATAATAATGAATTTTTATCCCAATTTAATTGATATTCAACCGGTATATTTATTTGGACAACTTGTTCAACGATCGTTAAGGCAACGCCCGAGTGCAATGAGACGTACCCACGATAATCGATCATGTCAACCGTGTAGAGATAATTGCTGTTTCAGAAGATTCGTATAAATCTAGTTCTTTTTTATACAAAATTTTCTTTTTCATCTAGTAATTCCTTTGCCGTAAATTAGAATCTTCTGTGCTAAAACGAATACTTGGTTGTCGACATCCACTACTTGTTTTACCAGTGATACTTGCTTGAGAAGAGCGTTCGCTCTTAAACTGAGAAGATTGAGTAAATGCTCAATTTAATCTTAATATGGAGATTTTGAGGATAAACTATATTATCTGTACAAAATGATCTATTTAATACTTCGTGGGGAAAACCATGTAAATCAATATAAAATACATTTCGATAAATTTTTGTCTCTGCAAATGTGCATTCAAGCCGAAGTTTTCCTTGTTTTTAGAATTTGGAAAATATGATTATATGAGTAATCTCTAAAGAAGAAGTGTTTTACGGAACTTTTAAAAGGTTTTTCAGTTAGATACCAGGTAAGAATCTTTTAAAAGATTTCATAAAACAGATATATCTTAAGATAAAGATAAGAGTATATCGTTCAGTTATACAGTCTGCTAATGAATAATCTTAAAGTTTTTTCCATGTATCTTGATCTCTCACTTTCCTAATAGCGTGCCTTTTATTATATCAGAAATGTTTCATTAGACATCCTTTTCTACAATGATAAGAATATTTGTAATGAAACACTCATATGTCTGGAATGTTATCTTGAAGGTTATCATGTATTAAGAGAGAAGCGCATTTAATATAATTATTTATTATGGCGGTAGTATAAAAACACAAACATAGATTTTTTTTGTCTTCTATGGCTATTTTTGTACATAAATACAGACGACAAATAGACGGTATGACTGTTATTTGTCATAACGAATAGAAATAAAACCCTGATTTTTAAAAGAAAAAACAATATTTCTTCTTTCTTTCGTTCTCATTATGTAATTACCTTGTTACACAAAAAGTGGCCTTATATTTTTGTCTATTAGCTAGGAGGTCACAACTCCATTGTTGTGATAAACAAAAGTCATGCAAATTTGTTGAAAGAAAGGCTTGGGAAAAACCTGGGAGAATGATGCAATGTTCTGATTATTTTGACACGTACACATTTAAACTACGTAAAATCAAACGTTAATACAAAAGAAAATGTCCATGACAAAGTTTATGTCAAAATCGAAGTTTTCTCTCTTTTTTGAAAACGGCATCTTCGACAAGATGTTAATACATACTATTGCCAAATGATTTTTCTAAAATGCCTTTAATGTAAAAGATGCTATTATTTTCGAACTCTTCTTCATCTAGTTCACATTTTCGAAAATGTTGAAAAATTAAAAAAGAATTTTACTTCTTTGTCTAGGGAATGAAACAAAAACCGAAGAAAGGCGTTTTGTCTTGGAAAATCTTTCAAATCACTTCTGCTGTTTTGATAGATATCTCAATTAAATGAAAAGTTTTTTAAATCAGAGAAGAGTAAATTTCCAAGAGAAGGATGGTTACATCCCTCCATCAGCTGCCATGGAACTAATTGTTCGATTACTCTCGACAAGAAGTAGAGAGACCAACTATAGACTAATGATATCTGTGCACTTTTCATGTGGCTCATAAAAGAGAAAACTTGTCAAACAAGATTTTTTTAGACGCGTAGTATTATAAAATTCCATTGTTATGATTGATCAAAATCACAATTTTAGACTATCATGAATTTGACCTTAACTCTTCTAAACTATAGATGGGCGTGGGTCTTTGAATATACTTTTTTCTGTTTCTTCTTTCTCTATTCAAAGCTAAAAGAAGGAATGACTCCGTGACTTAACCTTATATTCACCGACCTTGGAAGTGGTGTCTTTTGCGTAGTCATTCATATCGTTTAATGAACTTTTTCTTCGTGTTGACGCAATAACAATTCACACCTAAGCCATGTGACCAATTTCTTACGATATTTTCTCAAGAATTACGAAATCCTACTTTTTAGCCAGTTAGAATATTTTGTTTGTTATATAGACGTAAATACTATGAGTACGAATCGAACCAAATATGCTTCTTTTGTTGTGATTCAGAAGCAGTTGGTTGGTTTGTCAAGGACGTTAAATTTTGTGATCCTATTTAAGCAAGAAAAATATATGGCGTGAAAGATTATCTAGTAGTTTGAATGAAAGCCAAAAAGGAATCACTGTACTTCATGGTCTCTTTCAATGAAAATTTTTTTTGAGTTCGAAAGTATTCTTGGCAAAATCCCAACAACAAAATCCCAGAAAAACCACACTCTTTCTGCTGGTAAAAACCAACTACTTTTTATAGTTAAGTTTTAAATTTTTTCTCTCTTTCTCTCTTTTTCTCTCTCGGTACGGAACACTGTACCTATCTATATATATACATAGCTAAAAGTTTTTTCTTTTCTAGACAACGATTCTTTCATATTGCATAAGAGAAAGAAAAAAATTAAACTAGCGATATTTCTTTTTTTCTCTTTTGTGAGTCATCTTGTCTCTTTTGTCTCGTATATATTCGATATATGCAGCAATTTTAAGCTCAAAACTTTTTCAACAAATTACTGTTAAGACGCATACATACACTCACACACACTCTTCCTAAACATTTACAGTATTTCTGTTCCAATTTGGAAACAATGGTAGGACAAAGTAATACAGATGTTAATCCAACATTATTAAAACAAAAATCAGTTAGTGAAACGGTCGTTGTATCAGAATTGGTATTTGATGTTAACGCACAATCACTACAACGAAGTAAATCATCGTGTGACGATATTAGAGCTAATCCAAATCAAAAAGGAAAGTTTCGAATTAAAATGAATCATAACAAAAGTATCGTGGCTCCAAGAAAATCTCATCATTCATCAAGTGATTCTGACAGTGGTATTGAAGATTTTCGTGCTGGTGAGAGTATCGATACATTCAAAGCTATTGAGACATCCCGACAACAATATATAAGTATAAGTTCAAAATCTGTGGATGAATGCTCTATTGAAGATGATGATGTAAAGAATCTTTCGTCAGTCACAACGACACCACGATGTTTGACACCAATGCCATATATACCAACGCTACATGGCGATGGTAAGTTTTAGTTTTTTATTTGTTTTATTCTTCTCCGACATGTTAGTACTAAGGTGGATCTTTTGCAATGATGATGAAATAACACGTCATTGCAATATGACTAAGCAATTTTTTGCTAGTTTGGGTCCACAACAAAAACGTTATACCTGCAAGAAAAAAACAAAATTGTTGATTCAGAAAAAAATTCTTCCATCAAAGACAGTGTTTTCTGTCTATTTCATGAAGATAAGTCAGTTAGTAATTACAGTAGTAATCAACTACTCTGGAGGAATTTTATTCTAGATTATGCTTTGAAATCTGTTCCCATATTATTGACCCATAAAAGATCAAGATAATTCCACATAATAGTATTCATCGATGAACGTTTCTTTCTCCATTTTTTTGAGGTTGCTGTCTATAAAAAACACTTTGCACACTAGCGGAGAATAAGCTTTTCTTATTTCTCTTTTTGACATTTTTTTTCATTTTTAGCTGAATTAGCTGCTAATATCCCAGATAGTGAAAAGAAAGATTTTTGTGCTAACACGGCTGTAGTATTTCATGCTGAATTTGCACGTTTAATACTGGCAGTAATATCAAAATATAACAAAAGTTATACTTTAATGGTGTATGATGCAATGCCGGTAGAGTCAACTAATATCCAATACGATTTTCTCAAGGTAAAGTTTCTTCATAAAAGATTCTTCTTGATCTTGTTGATTATATCTTTTACTTTACTGTTTAGGTCGATAATGCTAAAGCACAATTCAAATGTACATGTTGTGGTCATGCGTGGACATCGATGAGAGCCCGTTGTTCATTTCACCTATCACATCCAGATGTTGGCATTATTTTACTTAAAGTATTTAATCAAATATGTTCAGTATGCTCACAAGCAACCGAACCATTGTGGTATATCGGTAAGTTGATCATTTTCTTTTCAAAAGATAAAATTGTTACACTTTTATTCATTTTTCCGTTTTCTAGATGAAGTATGTCGTGTTATGAAAAATTTGGCTGCTACAGTATTTGAGAGATATTTTCCAGACGAGTGTTACGAATTAAAGATGACTTATTTTGGTAGTCATAATGATTCAATTCGTCAACGAAAAGGTACCATGTCAACGGTACACCTTGAATCATTATGTGAAGCGTGTCAAATGGGTATTTGTTTTCCTAAAAGTATGAAAAAATATAGTCATCATCAATAATACCCATATAGACAATTTCTTTTCTCTGCTTTTGTTCATATATTTAATCTACTCTTTTACATGTGTGTTTTCTATTCTTTAGTTTTTGTATTTCTTTGCATAAGGTGTCTGAGCGACCGTGTTATCTAATCTTCTTTAGTTAGTTTTAGTTCTCGTCTTAATCCACCTGTTCTTTCGTTTTAAAAACATGTTTCATTCCATATAATCGTTGTTTTGATGTTTAATATGTTATTCATATATATTATCCAGTGTATCGTTCTGACAAAAAACAAAAAATTCTGTCTCTTTTGTACAAAAATATTTCAAAAAAACTCTTTATTGTGTTTGTTTTTTAAAAAGATTTTATATTCTCATGGTTGTACACCCTTCGATCTCTATATGAGTGTGTGTCTGGTAAAAGAAAAGAATATTGTTAACAGTCATCGATTTCTTTCTTTTATTCTACATGTAGTGTTTGCTCGGTGTTTTCAAAACAAAAAAAATTTCTTATTCTTCCGATTGTTCTGTCTGTGTTTTTCATTGTACAGATTTATTATTTTTTTTACCATATTGTTTCCTATATTCTTTTTTTCTTATATTTGTGTCTATGTTGATATAAAAGATATTGTTTTTATTATTCAGTTACAAAAACCAACGAAAAATAAAAATTATTATTAGGATTGAAAACAAGCATACTTTTTCGTCTCCAAATAAAGGTTTAATTTAATGATCTCTTTTTTTTTAACTAATATTGATAGAAAAACATTTGAAATTAAGAAGGAAAAAAAAATGTTCTTAAAGTATTTTTCATTTATGATCGCTTTTATTCTCACCGTTTCAATATGAATTATTCTTGAAGAATCAAGGTCAGAAAAACTTCAGACTCAAATCGTATCAATAGCTACTGTAAAAAATATGAATCATTGTGAAAATTAATTTAAACAAGTTATTTGTTCTGATTAGCGAATAAAACTTATCTGTTAAGTGATGTCAGAAAATGCCACACGTCTTTTATACATTTGAGAATTTAATTACTAAATATTTTTTTTATTCAAAAATACAACAAATCGAGGTATCACTCCATTAAAACTAGGCATGTGAAGGAGACTCAGGTTTATGTTCGTGCCTTTGATGGATGATCTAGATTTTTTTTGTCATATATACTTTTGTCTACATTTGTACTGTAGTTTAAATCTGACTATCTGTCTAAAAAGACAGTAACATACTAGTCTACATTTAATTTGATTTATAGACTATTATTAGACTTCTTCCACGTAGTCGATTATTGAAAGCATGATGAGCAAATAAATGATGTCATACACGTGTACGATCAAATGGGGAAAAACACAACTCATTCAATTCTATGGAGAAAAAGATCATGATTTTTTTCTTTTTATTTTCTTTCTTTCTTTCGACACACTGTATGACTCGTATGTGTCATAACGTAAATTATACATAGTAAAGAAATAATATTATGATATTTATGATACTCAGTAATAATAATGGCTGTTAATCAACATCAGTTCTAACGCAACTTATTTATCACATTTTGTACTCAATCTTAAAATTGAATTTTTAGACAATATATAGTCAACTCTAAATTCGAAAATCATTAGATCAATAATGCTTTAATTAAAGTGACGTTTAGTAGTTTCTGAGAAAATCCATTTTTGCACACGCACCATGATCGACGAAAGAAATTTCAACGTTAAGAGAATAAAAGTGGGAAGAATTCACTTATGTCTATTCGCTCAGAACCAGGCGTCTCAAATTATTTTTTTCGAATGTGGGACAGAAAGTTCCGAATGGGAGACGCTTATTTTAACGAAATAACGGCATGTCAATCTAAAATACCTGATGAGCTCAACTAAAGTCACATATTGCAAATAAATTAAAATCAATATTGTGAATTTTTTAACCATTTATCATTAGATATCACTGTCGTTTCTTCTTATAGTTCTAATTTAGAGTTCATTCTTTCAAAGCTAACTTTTCAAATTTCAAACAATAGATTTTTCCTTTCAGTTAGGTTTTATCGACAAATTCATATCGCACATCTGATAAACCCTGAGACGCGCACGACAGGACGATTGGTGTTTTTGGGACGGCTCGAATCTCAGAATAACTCTATTTGCTACAAACTATCCAAACACCTATATGATAATATTCTATGACAAGATATGCTGAAGAGGACATAAATCTTTGTATATTATGTAATAACCCACCAATCTTTTCCTCTCAGATATGATGCTGAAGTAGTAGGACTTCAAATAAATTGCCAGTGGGGGACGAAATATGTGCCCCATGGGGGATTTATTTAGTGGGGGAAAAAATGATCGAATGGGGACATTTGAGACACCCTGCTCACAACATAACAAATGCCTTGTATTATATAAAGAACAATAGTCCACGTGTCTGCCGTATAAATTATATAAGAATGTTAACTACATATTTGGATTGAGGATTAAGCGAGAGCGTAATGTCTGAAAGTGAAAAGCCATATTCTCGATAGTAGTACAGTAGTAGTTTTATCGTAGAGCATAAATTCGTCTTTTTCTTGATATTGCATACAAATATCTGCATGTGAGACAAATGCGCATCTTGTCGTATGTGAAATAAAGAATTTACGATCTACGATACGAATATGTAGTTAACATTCTTATATAATTTATACGGCAGACACGTGTGCTGTTGAGGATGTTTTGCTATTCCTCTTTTAAACGAAATGTGCAAAAAGAGAATGGCCTTGTCTACACTACAAAAGTTAAAGGAGCTTTAAGTAATTCTATTGGCTAAAAGTTAGTTTAAGTCAATAGAATTGCTTAATGCTCCTTTAACTTTTGTAGTGTAGACAGGGCCAATGTTCTTTATAATAGAGCCGTATCAAATAAGGAATATCTCTATCTTGGCAAATGTTAGCATACGCCTATATAGACATTTCCTAACATATAGACATTTGCTAACATTTGCCAAGATGTGAAAAGATAGAGATATTCCTTATTTGATACGGCTCTAATATAATCGTATAAGGCATTTGCTATGTGATCGTTCTTGTATACTGTACTGATCGCTCTTGTAGCAGCTATTTTTGAACTTTAGCAAATAAGATATCTTTTTTCACATAAGGTACCCCGAAGGTATATTTTTTCGGCTTCAGCGAGTCGATAGAAAAGAAAGATATGTGCGAAAAGTTTGAGAGAAACAAGTAATTACTGAATGGTATTATTCAGTAAAATCATTCAGTAATGTCAGATTCTTGCCAGTAACATCTGTAAACGTCTGTAACAAGGAAACTCTGTAAGAGGAATCTTTTTCTTCATCTGTAAGACGTTTAATCGTATACACTTACCTTACAAATAGAGAGCGATATGTGAGAACTGGCGGTCATCAGTCTTGATATGGGAAAGTAAAGGCAGGTGTGCCCCGGAGGACTTTTGCTTTTCAACTTTAATGTTAACAAAACAAAACTAATATTTTCAACTAATAGACGAGATGCAAATTTTGCACCACTAGCAAGACTTGCACTTAGCCAAAAATATCTTTCGTACGTTATATCATTGATGCAATATGGACTGGTGCTCTACGGTAATACGCCTAAGACAAATATAGATACATGTGGATAATATAGACTCTCGAATATACGTGGAGCTAATTTTAACTAATTTGTAAATTAGGGTTAGTTTTGAATACTGCATGTTACTTCCATACAATTTCCGCCCACTTTATATAAAAGTACGAGAAACAATAATTTGTGTCGGTTCCCTAGTAGTAGACTTGAAAAGTAAAAGCTCCAATTGTCCCCGCAAAGAAACATGTATGGAATGAATTATGGAAGGGAAATCGAGAAATAAATCCTCTACAGAAATTTGTTTCAAATATTATCCTAAGTTTTCTTCTTGATTCAATTCTCAATATGTTCGTATTCAGTAATAGTCTTTTGTTTATTAGGTGTGTTCATGAAATTCAACTGTGTGTTTGTTTCTTAGCAAGTTCTAATAAGTGTGCTTTTCCAGAGGGAAAGTACCTCATTCTCTTCAAATAAATTAATTATTCTACTCAAACCGTTTTTAAGGTAAAAGATGTATTAATTTCATTTTTTCAAACAAAACAAAAATAATAAAAATATTTCTTTTTATATATCTGATCCAGGGATATCAGATCTAAAACATGAGAATCAGAAAATAAAAGTTGAAAATCAGAAAAAGATCAAAAGAAAGAAATTCCAAATCAGAAAACCAGAATACCTTTGAAGAAAACAAGAGCAGAAACGAGGCAGAAAAAATTCCAAAACTCAGAATTTTTCTGCCAAAATCAGACGATCTGGGACCCCTGTTCCGATCTGTCTTTTATCTATATAAACATTTTGTTGCTGTTTGTTAAAGTTTAGGTACTTTCAATGTGGAAATCATCAATGAAGCCAAAGCGATCATGATTAATGGACTTGTATAAGAGAAAAGGGCTAAAAAACTAACGATGAGACCAGCAGCAGTAATTGGTAGACCAACAAAATAATCTTGTGTAGGATTGACTAGAATAAAAAAGAAAATAATTTTATTAATCAATTATTTTATATCTACACTACAAATCTACCATTGAATCGACCAAGACGCCATGCACCGGCTGAAACAGATAAGAGAGAAGAATGGTCAAATACGTCAAAAAGTTTTTAAATGCTAACCTGATGGAAATACCACAAAAGCAATTGTCATTAGAAAAGACCAATGAGATATAGAATAAGCAAGTATGACTGGTGCGACACCAAACGAAACAATATCTAAAAAGAAAAAATCAAACATAATTCAGATGTCCAAGAGATTACAATATAATACCTGCAAGTGAATCTAGCTGTACACCCATAGGGCCGTCAGTTTTCAAGTAACGAGCCAAACGTCCGTCGAATACATCACATACACTTGCTGCGATAATAAATAATGATCCAAATCTAAACAGTCCAATTAAGAGAATAGACATTCATTACAACAAAATAAAAAGTGTCCTCAGTGTCTATTATTCTCTTCTTTTAAGATGATCAGTAGCACTGTAGTAACTGTATGATCGAACCAGAAGTACGCAATAACCGAATATCTCGTAAATTCAGATTTCTTTTTAGTAAAGGGATGTCTAACGGATGGGCCGTAAAGAACGGGCTAGAATCATTTCCTTTTCTTCGGACAGTTTTCTATAATTTGGAAACTCCGTTTTGAACTTATTCGATAGAAAATTTTCCATTCTGCAAGACTGTCACGTTGGATTGTCGAACAAAAGATTTCTCCCGGAGTAATATTTAAAACTTCAACGTATACTCAATGTTCATACTGGGCCGAGCTTGTTCTCTCTCTTTAAACAAATGCTTCCGCTCATCAAATTGATCTCAGGAGCAACTTCTTTTAGATCAAACGATAAAGAATTTTGCCTTCTATCAACCTGATCGGTCTCGGAAGTTTCAGACTTAGTATTCGAGTTTAAAAAATGGTTACAATTATTTTGTTACGATGCTTTCTTCAGTAATTAAGATATTTCAAGCTTTTGAATAGAAATTTAGTTTCAAACTTTTTTTATTTGACATTTCCCAAGAGAGAATTTAATTTTGAGCAGTTCTATATGATTTGGTGAGTTGTACCTTAACAATTTTTCAGAGGATATCTGTTGAAAAATGCACAAGGCCCCAGATCGGAACAGAAATCTCAACCTTTTTGCACTTAGGGCACTGTTTTACTTAATAATTCCTATATGGAACTTTGCTCTGAAAATTACGCTGTATACACCAGACAATTCAACTTGACAGTCTTGTAGAATGGAAAATTTTCCATCGAATGAGCTTCGAACGGAGTCTCCAAATTATAGGGAACTGCCCGAAGAAAAGGGAATGATTCTGGTCCGTTCTTTATGCCTCATCCGTTAGACGTATCACAGAACTATTAAACCACACATGCCAGAAATGTTTACGTTATTCTGTATCTGATCTCGATGAAATGTTGAAGGAACGTTGATCCTATGAAGGCATAGTTACAATGAAGGTTTTATCTACTATAGTTCAAGCAATACTATTCAAATAATGGCCATGTGGAATGATTTTTGTATTTTCCAAATTTTGCCACCCAGCCGAATACTCGAAAGCTCGGATAATATTAAAATGACATAAATATAGGTAGCTAAAGGTGAATAGAATCGATCTTTGATATTTTGAGTTGAGAAGTTATAAGAGGATTCAAAAGTCAAAATTTTAAATACCACTTCGCAAAATATCAAAGAAAATACTCTCATTCAAAAACAAAATCAAAATTTAAAAATTAGGCTCTATTATTGCCTGGTCACTAAAGATGTACAGTAACCGATAATTTACGGTCGGTAACAGTAAAAACCTTTTTATCTCGGTAACGGCAATATGAATTTATCGAAAATCGAGATTTCCTTGGTTGCGGTAAAAAAGCTTTTACCGAATTCTTCTCCGATAAAGTTTTTTTACTGAACGTATTTCTGATATTTTGTTTTTATTTCTTTATTTCGTTCTAATTCTGATCATTCTTAATTGCGTTAAACAAGATGTTTCATCGTTTTGAAATGATAAATGAAGTTAAAATACCAATATATTAGATCGAATTGCTCGTTTGTTACTATGTGTTCCAGGCACAAGTATGTCCAGTGAGAGCGTTTTTAGTATATCTGGACGACTAATCCAAAATGTCGTTTATCTTAAAGCTGATGGGCATAGTTATAGTATGTTTCTCAAAGACAAACTTTAATTAATTGAAATAGACGATATTTCAGAATAGAAAAAGAATATGTAGCGCAGAAAAAAAAATTGTTTTGAATTGTTGAATTAACCTTTTCTTACCGTCATCGCGGTACCGGTAAATGGATTTACCGATTACCGCACATCATTATTGGCCACATGTTTTAGCTATGATTTAAAACCAACGCAAGTTTTCTAGCATGCAGTCTGCTAGCGAAATTTTAAGAAATATGATAAAAAGAAGCACAATTCTATGAAAAATGTAAAATATTTTTTTCTTTCGAAAAATGAAACAGCCTTCCGGTATATGAAATATATAGAACTCGTTCAGATATTTTTAGAGATTTTCGATCATGGAATATCTGATGAATGCTCACGGTAAAACGGAATATCGACAACTGAAATTTCGCCCTCGGAATTTCGGCATTGTCTTTTTTGTTTAATGTTTTCGACAAATTATCGAAAGTCCATCTGATTTTCGACTATTGTCTTAAGTCCTTGTAATTTCGACAATTGTCGAAAATCCATTTTTGCGGTGGTATATTTTTACATTTTTAAATTTCAAGAAATTGGAAAAGAAGTTCATATAATGATAGAAGTGGAATTTCTACGATATCAGACATTTTCCCGAGCAATATGAATATGCTACAGAGGATCGATGAACTGCAGTCTTCTAATAATTCACAAATGAAAATAAAATGACAAAATAAGACTTTTCTTTTCTCTTTTTCAAATACAGATCCCACATAGCAACCAAAAAAAATAGAGTTTCTGTATCTCACAGCAACTGAACTGTGACAAATAAAAAATCATACCAATTACAAAAATACACAGATTATAGATTATTCTTTTATTATTATGCCCGCTGTATGCTATCAAAAATTTTACTTCAAGTGCAATTGAAAATTACTGTCGAAATTGTTGGTGGCTTTGCTCTGTATATTCGACAATACTGCGAAATTCTACGATAGCATGCTCGCATATATCCGGCATGTGAGTATATCCATGCTCGTTTTTTTCACACATTTTTGCTCGCTTTTTTTCTCGTGCTTTCTAAAAAATACTTCAATGATTGAAGTATTTTTGTTTTTTATTATTATGATACGATTGCGATACGATTGAAGTTCAATCGTATCATTGAGAACATAAAAGTTCGTCCGTTCAAAAGTAGATCCTAGAACATCTATACTTTTCCAAAAATCTATTTTTCTGACTTTGTGGAGGATGGCGCTGTATAATTTACTTTACATTGATGGAAAGAAAATTCGTCACTTTGAACTTCTTGAAAATTAAATTTTCATAGCGATAACGTCTTCAGTGATCAATCGAAAGATGCGAAGCACGTACTCTAGTGAAGAAGAAACTCATGTACACACCTCAAGAAAGGCCTGTTCATATCTCAAGAAACTCATGTGCATACCTTAAGAAAGTCATGTATTATCGATTTTCCGCGCTGTAAATAGCTCTAGCTTCGTTTTTTAGACTTAATTACACACCATGTTTTACTCGGACTTTTCTTCGAGAACATGATGCAACCAGTTTTTAGTCTTTTTCGATTATCTAGCACTCTCACTATGCCATAATCTTTATCTACAAAAAGAAGTGGTGTTCAGTGGAAAGTTCATGACAGTTCAAAGCGAGTACACAGCAATTTTGACTTTCTACTATTCACTCCACTCTCGAAAATTTTCATGTTGTACACTGTTGAATATAATTTTCCGATAATCTGTGATGTTTATGTTTGAGAAAAATGGTCCTTTCAGATTGACTAAGTTCGCTCCGCGTTGTGTTTCTCAGTTTTGGTTCGACATGTGACTGGAATTTGATCTCGAAATAAAAGTGAGAAAGATTGACGTCTTTTAAGGTACGCCTGTGGGTTTTGCCGATAAGGTAACGTTTACCATATGCGAAAAAAACATCCACGCTTGAAGTTCCAGAGCAGCCTATCCGTAAATAGTGGACGCTAATATCAGTTCGTTGCTAGAGTCAATCTAGCATCCTGTGAATGAGGCGGTATAGCTTGACATCCAATCCTGTGCATCAAACAGGACCAAACTGATACTTGCTACATCCTGGAAGCCGCCAACGGCAAAGCGATCTTACACCGAGGAAGCTCACAATTGTAATGATAAACATTAACCATTTGGTGCATGTCTCACTTTTGTGCATTTTTATTTGAAGATCTTGTCCAATCAAAATTTTTAACTGAGCCTACACACCGGAGAAAGGACCTTAGATTCGGTACATTATCTGAGAAGACCTTTCGTAACTGTTAATGAGAAAGATAGTTCAGTTTTGTGACAGAAAAAACGCAGAACGATTTAACTCTCTCTTTCTTCGTCTTAAATTGCTGTGTACTTACTTCGAAGTTAACCTCTTGAATGCCGTAAGGCATCTATAGATGACATGAAGGAAATTTTATATGTTGCGTATGCTTTTTCGTTCTATCGTTTTCACGAAAAAAAAGTGCCAGAGGAACACATGTGACGAAAACAATAGAATGCAAAGAGAGATATTTAATCGTTATATTTTACATAGAATATGCATGCCTTTGGACGCGGAAGAAGAAAAATAACAGCATTCAAGAGGTTAAAGGTTCAAATTATTTAACTTTTTATCCTTTTTTATGACAAATCAATAATAAAACGCAGGTTAAAACATGCAAAAAATGCGAGTAAAAATGGTTTTCATCTTCACAGTACGTTAAAAAAGAAGAAATGGCTGTGGAGACAACGTGCATTATTCTCTTGCATGTACGACATCCACATGTCTGCTCTATACACCGACACGTCCAGTCTATTTCTATATATTCACATTGAAAGAACGAAATCAAAATGTCGAATTTCATTGGTCAAAGCAGATCGAAAGACGAGACAGAGAAAAGTTTGGCTCAAGAAAGTCAAGCGCATGGCATCGGAAAAAATGCGTTTTGCATGAGTAAGAAATGTCTCCACGCCATGAGATTCTTACTCAAGAAATTCAAGAAAGTTAGGTGCTTGAGAAAAAAAGCTTCACTAGGGTAGTTTATCCCTTCAAATAAATAAATTTTCCCACTCTTCTCAGATTAAGGAGAAGTACTAAATAACGTCCTTTTCACTTACCGGTAAAAACCATTCATAGACATTATTAATGAAAATAAACCACAGGTCAGATTGGACAAAGTTAAAACTAACCAAAAATTTGACTGTATTTCTGTTTTTTGTGTGAAGAATTTTGATTTGCCTTACTGTTTGGTGTCCCTTGAACTACGTTATGTAACCATTCATCTGCTTTGGCTAAATAAATATTTGTACCTGTTAGTGTTTGCGCAGGAATAGTACGTTGTCGTTGATCATTTTGAAAAGTAGCCATTTCCTTTCAATGTACTGTAATAAACATTAAGATAAAAGTTTACTATACATATATGATTTTTATTTAACAAACATACTACTCTCCTTTGTAAACTTCGTAATCAATAATTAAACTTACCAAACAACAGCATCAATAGTCGGAGCACTAGTACTAATAATTTAAAATGAGTAATAAAAATAGCCTCTGTATCTATAATTGGTTCGTTCCACAACAATAAACATATATAGGTAATTCAGAAATGTGATATAAAACGTGTCAATAGGTTGTTTTTTTGATAGAAAATACAGTAGAAAGAAAATATATATTTATTATAAGCTATTTTATTTGAAAGTGGAACATGTGGATTTGTTTTCCTCTACTGTCGAAAGAGAGACATTATTATCGATAGAAAAACACGATCGATACAATGTAGCCGCGAATAAAGAATCTTAGTCTGTGGATCGGTATTAACAAGCCTCTTATTTTGTGCATTTTTCTTGCGTTCGAAAAAGGCAATTGATTGGATGAAAGTTCTATAGAAATAGAGCTGTACTCTTTAAAAGAGAAACAGATTTGAGAATCTTGATTCACAACTCTATCCAATCAATTGCCTTTTCCACCGCAAGAAAAGTACAAATATTGACTTCACAATATATATATGAAAAATCCTCTATCGAATTTTACATTTAGTGCAAGAAGATCAAGACTGAGGGTGGGAGAGTTATTGTTGAGATGCTTTTTATAAGAATTTTTCTTGAAGCGTGGAATAGACACATATTCCAGTAGATAATGCTGGACTGTCCTTCTGTCCACACGCACACAATCCTGTTGTTGACAATGATTTTTTGTATAAATCAGCTTTTAAAGCAGAAAAATTTGCGCGCAGTCTACTATCGGTGCTTCTCGGTATATTGTATACCCGAAAAACAGAAAAAGAGTACCGATTATGGATGAAAAGTTTTTTTTTGAAAGTTTTAGTTGAAGTTTCTTTCAGACTTTGAGGCAGCGCTGACCAAACCTTTACAGTAAATGGAAAGAAAGATCTGTCCGCCGTCATCGAATCGATTGTGTAGGTTTTGAAAGTTGCGTGTCTACTTATATTGTACGTAGTTACCTCTCTACTTTGAATGTAGGGAGTTCGATAGGTAAATACTTCTCCCCTAATTATTACACAAAATAAAGTTACTTTGCGAATATCGTATACACTTTCTGTATATCAGTCCGGCCTAATATTTCTAATACTCTCCCTCTACTAGATAACTGATTGACTCCAAAAACTAGAAGAGCAGTCTTATACTGTAACCTCAATATAGGCTACAAAGCCGTCTTGTAGTGCATGAATAGATCACATCCGCATAGTTCAATATTATTAAAATCTATGATTTGTATAACTGATCAAGAACGGGAGTGTAAAATGTGTACTTAAACTTCATCCTCATACCCAAAGTAGAGTTGAACTTGGAAACAATATAATTAATATGACGTTTCCAAGATAGTGATGAAGTAAAGTTCACATCCAAGTACTTGTGTTCCTCAACTCGATCAAGAACATGACTTGCAATCATCAGTGTTCCACACAATGGTTTTTTAAAGAAACACATTGAAATTTTGGTAAATTTAATGGTATTGAATGGACCACTGTTGAACAAGCGCAAGGTCATTGTCCAAGGTCAAGTTGACCTTTAACTTTTATTGTAACTTTTATCACTACAACAAAGTAGTATATCATCAGCAAAAAGCTGAGTTTTTGAAGTCAGATTATGCCCGATATCGTCAATATAAATGAAGAACTAGAAGGGGATCCAGTATACTATCTTCAGGTATAATACTACTAATTCATGTTTTTGGGAGTCGATTCTGTACCTTGACTTGCACAGTACATTCTCTGAAAAGTTGTAGGACACTTTCGAGAGAGTATGCACAAGCAAAGTCTGAAAGGAACATAATTTAAAATTCAGTTATATTTACGTTGATGCTTAGATTTTATATGCACGTATGGGAGCCAGTGGCGGATCCAGTCCGCGAGCGGTACAAGCGGTCGCTCGTGCCTTTTAACCAAAAAACCTGTTTTTCTCCAGCAGATCTCTCTTAGAATAATTTATTTCTATGACGACCGCACATACCTCGCACTTTTATCGTATATCGCACGTACCAAAAAATAATTCTGGATCCGTCACTGATGGGACCTAACAAAAGGGTGAATGAAAATGGAATCATCAAATCTTATTCAGCTCTTACCTAAGATCTTAGATTTTAAAGCAAGACCTTAACTAGAGAAGTGCCTAAGGGAGTTAATTATCTAGTTTACTTAAAATGTACGTCGTATATATAGATTACCGGATAGAAAACGGGCATCTCTGGAGACTGTATATATGGCACCTAGTCGTCTCTTGCATACAAGAATCACATCATACACATGCTCACCGTACGTTAAATTATGCAATAGTCTAACACCGAGTAGAACAACAGACCATAGTGAAGCTTTTTCTCTCAAAACATAACTTTCTTGACTTTTTTACTCAAGACATTTCTTATGCAAAACGCATTTTTTTTGTTCACTTCATGCGCCTGAGTGTCTTGAGTCAGGGGGTAACCACCCCCGTTTTTTTTCATAACTTTGTAGAGCGCATCAAGCTGTATGTACCCTGAAGCGTTTTCGATCAAAAGACTTGTAATTGCTGAGAAAAGAATTTTTTACGAATTTCATACGATTTTGATTCTCTATTTAAAAAATTTATAAAAAATTCCAAATTAAAGCTGGAACTCTTATTATTGCGCAGTTCGACAGCGCACATTAAGTGACATATACTCACAAGTTATAATGAAAATTGAACCAACTGTGTCTGAGAAAATTAACAGTTTTCATTCTAGTGAAGTTTGAGCCTTTAAAGTAATTTTTTGAAAGTTATACACGCATTTTAAAAACAACGAAGCATTTTAAAGAAAAATTTTCGCTGGTACAGTTGTTTAGAATAATCCTCTTCACTTCCGTAAAAAATTCATATCTCACTCAGGAAAAGGTTTCAGAGTCTAAAAGCTTGAGCTTTTAAGTAACTTTGAATGCTCTATTAGATGAAACTACGAAATAGGTAGGTTAGCTTTTGACCAGTTAATGTATTGCTTTAATACCCTCGCGAATTATAAAGACTAGGATAAAATTAATGAGGTTAAACTTTTCCTAATGAAAGAAGCATAATCATCACCATACATATCGAGAATTTTCGGAATGTTTTAAGTATCTCTAACAACCTGTGTATTTGCCAATGAATCATAAATGCTCGATATTACTGGAATACTGATTGATTGTATACAATCGAACAAAGTAGAGCAGGAATTCGAGATCTAAAACACATCTAAATTATCTCTGAGTTCACGTATTTCAGATCTTTTCTGACAAATTAAATATTTGTATTAACATAAAAGCAATAGAGAGAAAAAAATGAGTATATCATTATAGAAATAAAATCCGTTTGAGATAAACATATGATACAAAACAACAAAAAAGTTTATTCCAGTAAAAGAACAGCATCATTTATTACCTCAAAGGATTACTGTTTTCAAATAACTTTTGAAAACTCATCCTATCAAGTTTCCATCCTGATGCTATACCTAGGTGTTTGTATATAGACCTGCTAATAGAAACTAAATTTAGTAAAAAATCGAGGCAATCTACAAAAGTTGAAAATAGGAAAAGTGACTAGACAAATATCTGAGAGTCGAAGGAAAAGTGACGAATAACTTTTTTACGAGATTGCTATTATCGGAAAATAGGTAACTAAGGAGATTAGTGACGATCTAGTAGAAAATAAAAAATGTGATACTAAGCGATCTGAAATCGTGGATTAATAAATATTCTTCCACTATTCTTTTTAACGCATTTATTGAATGAAACATGTTCACATAGTTCATACCCTTCATAACCAGAGTATTTACAGCTATGTAAATATTTTGTTGAATATAAACCGAAACCTCCAAACGATGAATCTACTTCAATTAACGGATGTTCACGTGGTATTGGTTTTTGATGAATGGAAATAAATTTTTTAGTAAGAGGCTTAAGATCGAATAAGAATGGCGTATTTTTTTTCACCATTTCCCAACAATCGTATGGATAAAGGGTCGTTCGTAAGGCCCAAATGTCGTAATATTCTGATACTTGTGTAGCGGTCATTGCTGCCCATTGTTGCATAGGATATTCGAAATTTGATAAAAAATTTTCTAAACTGAGAACATCGTTCGATGTTACATCAACGTCCATGACAAGATAATAGCTTGCTTTATAAAAATAAGACTTATTTTTTGCTAACGTTATCAAACTATTTCGACAATGAGCAATACGTTGTGCTCGTTTAGAAAAAAATCCCATTTGAGCGTATGATTGTACAATAACATTTTTATTTGATAATGACCAATTGTAAAGATAAGAGAGTGTTCGATCGCTAGAATCGGACTCTCCAAGTAAAATCTTATAATCTTTGAATACCGAAACAATTCGTTCAACATTACGTCGAAATACTGGTAAAAATCGATGAACATTTCTACAACAAGCCATTGCTATAACAGATTGATTTTTTACTATTCGCATTACTGTTTTATTTGAAAATTGTCGTTTTGGTAACGATGGATCACTAGTCTCAATTGTTTTCCAAAACGTGTCTGGAAAAGGAAACGTTCGCAAAAATATCCTGTAAGTGCGTATCGAATTAAAGATGTAAAAGAATATAAGTAGTAACAACCACAATAGAATGAAACAAATAATACGAACTGGAGATCGTCGTTTTGCTCTTAAAATCATAAGTAGATTGACTTGTTTAATTCTAGTTGAATGGGAAAGAAAATAACGTAATTTAATCTATATAATTAATAACTCAATTCTGAAAATGAAGTTAGTCCAAAATAGTAGGGACAAAAAAATGCATATACATTTGATTCTATGTGTTCATTTTTTTCTCAAGAAAATTTATAGAAGATATCATATCACTCTGTGTAGTTTATATAGTAATAATAGTTCGACATCTGATAGGTAAAACTACACCCCCCCCCCAAAAAAAATGCGACTTTTTGGATCAAATTAAGTCGCATTAAGGAATAAGGCGCATTAATGCGATTTAATTTGATCCTAAGTCTCATTTTCTTTTAAAGTGTAGTGCTTCTAAGAAGCTAACTAATGTAGTCGTCTCTTTACACATTGGAGATTTTTACATAATCCGAGTCTTATTGAGCACATGTGAAACTTGAAAATAGTTAAACACCTTATCAAATTCATGTCACATTTTTACGTAGAGTAAGGGTAATGATTTTTGAGGTTATATAATAACTAAGCGAGAAAAAACTTTTCATTAATTATGTAGAATATGAATGATGAACATGTAGAATCATGGATGGTATGCTAGGGCAAAGAACGTGTTATAAATAAGAATATTTTTGTAAAAACTTATTTTCATATTTAGAATATGTCTCTATGCATTAGTAAATGTTCCTAGGTAAGCTGTTGAAAAGAATAAAAATATAAAACATATATACATTTATTTTTATCGAATCTTTTTCGCTTTCACTTACAGACCAAAGTCTGAACTTCGTAAAACATAGACAACAAATTTTTTCCTGATTAAGTTTGAATGAGAAAAAATTTAAATAGCAAAAATATTATAATTTTTAATTCTATTGGAAAGATTTCTGATGGTTTTTCTTTGCAACAAGTGGACATGGATTAACAAAAATGTTTTCTTTATGTTTGATATTTGTTTTGTAGACATGTGATCACATGGTGATCGATTAGATGTGTGAACTGCATTTTGAAGATTACCTTTGATGAAGGTTACGAGATGAAGGCTCACAGGAAATCCACTGCACACCTATGATTAATTCGGCTCCTATTAAAGCCGCATTAGACTCACCACAATGTGTCTGCTAAATTTCGATAGTGGTATACCCAGAGGTGCATTTCGTTATCGATCGAATTTGAATCTTCATTCAAGCGTGACAAAACTAACGAATGTTATTGACAAGGAGGAAAAGGAGACTTTTTTCTTTCTTAGCATCGTTCAGCATCGGAGAGTATCTTTCAGCCTCGCTCAGCAACGGATGCTTCGCATCTCAAGCTCCGGAAAGCATTTCAAGGGCTCTGGAAAGCTCCCAAAGCCGCCTCTTTCCCCTTAGTTATTGACATTCTACGTTACATTTTGAAAGGAGAAATAAACAGGACTGAGTTCGATAAATCTCTTTGCTAAGAATAAGATATAGGCAGAAAAGGTGTCGATGGCAAACGTCGATTTTTGCTAGATAAAATTTTCGTGTACATTCTTAAACTCGTGTTCTATGAATAAAATCAGTGAACAGCTAGAACAAGAAAAAATACAATTTGTGCAGAACAGTACAAAAAAATTAATTCTGTTTGTATTATAGATCGACCAAAAAAATAGGCTTATACGCATAAAAATACCGTTTTCAGTACGGTTTCTAGACTGTTTGATTCATGATAAATATACAAATAGTGTAGTATATAAAGATAAAACATGAAAATCAGAGGTAAACAAGTCCCATTCCGAACTGATAAGCTTTTTTAACCGAACTGAGGATCTGCTGAATTGAGACTTGACTGGAATTAATTATTTTCGCAGGCGTGACTGATGTTTCAGATCAGTCCTTCAATTTTTGGGTTTTAATGTAGAGAAAAATCTTTGATATAGGCATTTAGAAACAGTGTCATTTCGGTAAAAAGTTACAATAGGAGCAAATAGGAAAAAATTTCTAGCTCGGACTGATGTTTATAAGAATGAGGCTGGACTGAGACTAAAAATTTAGGCTTTGAGCGGACTGGGACTGGATAGAGAGAGACTGAGATCCTAGTGGACTGAGACTTGACCAAGGTTACCAACCGCAGTGCTAGTATCAATGTGTTTTTCTGAAAAAATCAGAAAAACGCATTGATACTAGCGTTGCTGTTGGCAACCCTGGACCTGACTCGATCTGAAAAACAGATGACTTATCCACGTCTGATGGAAATAAAGAACTATCTGAACGACAAAATTTATTATGAGCTATCGAACACAAGTAAATGAAAAAATCTTAAAATATGGTTAAAAAAAATAAATGATATTGTTACAGCTATGTTAAAGGTAGCATTTATTGGAAAAATGGAGAAGGTATACCCATGCAGAATATAAACGGTGTGTACTCCTGTGAATATCGCGAAATGAACTGTGATCACATGTGAACATCATAAAATGGTATGTGGGCACGCGTGAAAAATATATTTCACTTGTGACAACGCGTGAACTGTTCACGAAAACTTTTTGAGTCATATTTTTCGCACGTGGTCACTAATGAAAATCGTAAATTGGTGTGTGGACACAAGTGAAAAGAAATTCTCGCTTGGAAACGCGTGTGAAATTATAGAAAGTTCATAGGTAACCACGCATTTGATGTTAGAATTGTACGACCCCAACATCGTGAAACTTCGACAAAGTTTTCTCTTGGGTAACGTACGCTTCGCGATGGTGCATGTGGTATATAAGCGTGTTTATAGGCAATAAATCGTTCAAAGTTTCCTTACCGTAAAATTCATGAACAAAACTCTATTTTTAAGTCAACTGAAATTAAAACGATAGGAAACTTATTTTTTTAACATCGAGCATTGCCTAGCAATATTTTTCTTTGTTTCTTTCTTTCCACACTGTGTTTTCTCTTTTGAGTCACATACACACTATAAAGTCGGAAAATATTTATAGAAAATTTCTGGCGAATTTCAAAAAGTTCATATATAAAATGCCCGAGAAAATCCAATGTCGAAGTATTGTTTTGAGTCTTTATTATTCTTCAGGCAATGAGAGTTACAGAAATTGATGGATAATCTTTTAAAATTCTATCGATTAGACTCTGTAGCTCTTTGATAGCCAAATGAGAGTTCTTTTCTGGACAAGGTGTTTGTTCCAATTAGAATGCACACTTTTGTTGGATTTTGAATTAACACGATCTTGTTTTTATCATAAATTTGAATCAAACGATCAATCGTACACCCACGGAAAATTTTAATATTTTTTTCGTTTTCTTTTGCTGGCAAATTAACAGCTGAAATATTCTTTATTAGACTGCTTCCAAGCAGCAACATTTCCATCGTAATCTAGAATTACTCAGAAGAATCGTTGGTAAAACGTCCAGCAGGTGTACAGTGCCGTACAGTCAAGCTTGCGTACAGTAGAAAAACTCTCATTTGTAGACACAAAAATGCTGAGCCGTATGCGCAAATTTGTTACACTCATGAGAACAAAGACAAGAAACAGCTTTTTGGCAATTGTTTAGGCTATGAATAAATAAAACCCTAACTAGCATCGATAGCTCATCCAAGAAATAGAAATAGTTTTCAATGAACGAGATAGACTTAGACGAGCAGTTTCTTAAAAAATCTTCTCCCTCCATCAAGTTCCAGCTGAAATTCGACGTCGAACTTCAAGAATGTTGGGAATATTCATAGAAAATTGCCATCGATTTTCTAGCTTTTTTACAAATTCCTTATCGATTTTCTGAATAATAAGAAAATTCAATTTACAGAATTTGAGTCGATTTTCTAGAAAACAGAAAATGAGGATTTCTAAAAAGTCAGAAAATCATAGCCGATTTTCGAAATCGATTTTCTGTATTAGAAATTAATTCCACTTTACTCGTTCTCAGTTATCGCTGATCATACAGATTTCGGGAAAAGATGATTCGAAAGTTGAGAAGTCGTAGATTATACAACTGAAATTAGTTTTCGGATATTCACTTTAGCTATCCTATACTTAGTGTCACAAAATCAGTATATTTTTCAGACAGTTCTATCGTTTTTTCTATTAGATAATTAATCGTCACGTGATTCAGTTCATAGTGAAATATATGCTACAGTGCTTGATATGATGAACACTATACTATATTATACGATGCAAAAGAAATAGAAAAAATGTCGAGCATTATTTGTACATGTTTCTAATGCGTTGGCGATTTAATTGTTTTTCCGTTAGAAAGAGCAAAGTCTGAACTTCAAAAGAACATAGAAAATTTTTTTTTGTAACTGAGTTCCAGTAAGAAAAAATATAAATATCAAACGTCGCCTAAAATGCTCTTGCAAAGCACTTTTTTCTTTAATGCAACCTGAGGAGAAAACCCTTTTTGAAAACTAAATAGATGAGAAAGCCGACTGCGCAAAACTATATTGATCCGTCTACTGTCGAGAATTTCCCATTAACTCCTTAATAGTAAACATAAACATATTAGAAAAGTCAGATTTGGTGGAAAACTGTACACTGTAATTTGGAATTAATTTCTAGTTTATAGAAAATCGATCTGGAAAATCGTGGAGCTTTTTCTGATATTTATAAAATGCTCGTAGATTTTCTGACTTTTTAGAAATTCG